AAGGAAACTGCGAAGGGAAGATCTTTCACTGAAACTGCTGTTGAAATTGCATATTCTATTCATCTACATGCAAACTATTCTTTAAAATGTCCTTAGCGCGATAAAGTTATTTCAAATATTTACTGTTCTATAATAGCTACCGCTACAAACATATTTTCAACTCTCGATTCCATATCGTAGACTAATTTTAATAATGACTACAAAAAAAAAATCGTAACTCACTCACGCGATTTCTAAAGTAACTCTAATAGAGACATCAATGTCTACATTATAGTGCAAAAAAAAAAACGAAATAATATTTCAATCGTGAATGGACAACAATAGAGTTGCTGACAACAATGAACACAGCGGACTTTTACACGTATGTCATAACTCGAATAGCATTCTGCGGATGCGGTGTTAGCGCCGTTTTCACGAGTCACATGATTCACATTCAAATCGCAAAGTTCACACGACCGTTGATGTAATAATATCTTTAGCGCCTCTTAGTTTAACAAAGCTATTTTTCGTTAAATACTACGATGGTGCTATTGATAAAATTTGAGAAGCGCTGACAGAAGTTACAATTAATTGAATTTCAATATATTGCAAAGTAACAACGCTGTTTGTTTAATAAACGCAGGAAGGCGGTGGTAATGGTCCTAATTTATAGAAGCTTCTTTAAATTTGGCCTCCACTGTGGACCGCGTTGCCTAAAATCTTGCTGAATCGTGAATTGTGATTTCAATTGTAACGGTAGCCGTTAGAGAAAAGAATAAATACGGAACAATAAGCATCACGACAACGATTGTGTCAAGATAATCTTGCATATTTACTAGATCTAAACATTCGGATCGTCGTTTTTTTTTTGCTTAGATGGATGGTCGATTTCATGGCCCACCTTCTTTAAAATAATAACCGATGCCCTTAGATATCAACAACATAAATGCCGCCATTTTAAGGCATGAGCTAGAAGTCCCAGTTTCGTAGTACGACAGCTACTGCATCTTTCAAACCAGCGGTGGTACGCACCGTAAGGGCTCACAAGACGCCCTAGCACTAACAATTACGTTTATTATAATTTTGTGGGTTTGATTTTTATTACACGGTTTTTTTTCCTTCGCTTTTGGTATCATTCGCAAACCTCTTAGTACGGTAGTAGTTAGCACGTAGTTAAGTACGTATTTCGTCAGAAAAATTGGTATCTGCCTGCAAACACCGGCACAGACGCATCGCTCGATACGAATGCACCGGGTGTCTTATCCTTGAAGCCACGACGATATATCGATTTAACGAACAACAACCCGTCGATGAAGGATCTTCCCTTTAACGATTCGAATATCTATATGATTCATTAAAAGTACGCTGAAAAAATTCATACCTTTTGGATCCATTTTTCTAAAGCTTTCGAATGAAACTTTATCAAAAAAAAAATCCTGAAAATGGCAAAAAAAATATCTAGTACTGACGATTACATTACATTACACAACGTATGGTAATCCCATATGAGTATCAACAAATTTTATAGCCTTGTTTGTGAATAAACCAAATACAACTAATTAAATGTACGAATGAAATGTTGTTAAATGTAGGTACATAGCCAATTATACGATGTTGTAATTATTAGAAAACATACAAATCAAATTCAAACAGAGGTGACTTGAATGGGAGTGGTACATCATTCGATTATAAATTCGTCTCGTGACCATTATAAATCGATTCCTAATCAGAGGCGAAAGTCCAAAAATAACAAGTATTTTATGACTTCGAATATTTCGTAACATTTTAGTGTTTTGGATGAACGCTGGTCTATTGGAGCGCCTTTCTAGACGGCAGTCGGTTAGACTGGTTCTCCTTCGAATAATTATGCTACGTTACGAACAGAAGGCTGAGTAATTGCTTACAGAGTACTTTCACTCTTATTTCAATACCGATGCCCTTCTTCTAAATTGGACGAAAGTATTTTTTTTTATCATTACATTTTTTTCAATATCAGGCATTTTCATTTCATTTTAAAATTTCTTCAGAATACTCCAGATACTTTATTGATAAATATTGAAAAAAAAAAACATTTCATTGTCGGTTTGTTGGCATTTATTGGTAGTATTGTATACCAACATGCATAACCTCCAACGTCTGGCCTATTTCTGCCGCGAAACAGTCGCGCGAATTAGTTAGAATCTGGTCGGCCGTTACACAATTAATAACAGAGACTTCAACTTGGTGTTTAAAGCAGGAGAGGGGGAGCATTGACGTTCTCATGTCTACGAACCGTGGACTCGTTCTCATCCATGCAATATAAAAATCTTTAAAACTGGATTTAAAAACTTTACTAGTCCCGTTTTAAAAGAGACATCTCAAAATTAGCCAAAAAAAATGTATCCTACACCCGTTTCCATATTACGTAAACGAACGGTTAGAGAGGTTAGGTCCGGTCAATCGATAAAAATCACGTGATTCCTTTGTGAAAGGTGAATCTCGAGTAAGAGAAATCACCGCTATTTATAGCGTTATTGATATATTGTTTATGGCTAATACGGTAATGTTTTCTATCTTGATTTATGATCCTAAAGTATTCGTTGGACATGAGCACGGTCAATGTTACATCATAAGTGCCAGTCCCGTTGAGATTATGTTAATCTTCACTGTAGTAACTGGATTGTCTTGAAAAGTTTCGCATGCGAATATGTGCCTCAAGCAAGTACAAATAAGTTCGTGAATTAAATGCTAAATATTAAATTCTTCACAAAGGTACTCCGTAATATACTATTGGGGCGTTATTTGACAAAAAAAATTATAGCATAGCTCATATTAAACTAAACTAACAGTGAACTGTTTACATATATAAAAACAGACATTCTAGAGTAGAGTTCGCTCTGAGAATCATAAAATTATCTGCTAGCTAGAATGATGTGAAAGTCAACAGTCATCAATTGGTGATCCAAGTCGGGTCACCAACTGATGACCCTTTTTATTTTGACGATGCCCACTTTTACATAATTACAGTAAATCAAATCAGCAATTTAAGCATATGTAGGTAGGTAGGTATATAAAGGCATGTTTTAATGTTTTACGGAGAATTCTTATTTAATCAAATTTAATAAAATTGTTTTTTTTTATTGCCTTTGTAGGCAGACGAGCATACGGCTCACCAGATGGTAAGTGGTCACCGTCGCCCATGGACGTCAGCAATGCCAGGGGCACAGCCAAGCCGCTGCCTAGCATTAAGTACCATTACTACACTAAGTACAATTCGTATTATTTATTATTTAATTTACAAATTAAATATTAACATTCAGTTTCTGTGACTGACTTAGAAGACTAACTACTGACTTAGAAGAAATATTTGTTCAAATTTATAAGGTATTGGAGATTTAATGAATGCAAACTTCCAATGAAAAATCTCTTAGTCTATTATGAATTTTACTTGAAATGAATTAAATTGACAAACATCTATGTACTAAAGTTGATGCGATGACCGTGTCTGTGTCGCAAGTGACACAGATAAGCAGACTGATTTATCGCAACTGTTGCTCATTCGGGATACAGTCTGAATAAAAACTGAAGTTGCATCTTGCGAAAAGCATTGCATGACGAGCGTCACAAAACAAATCGATACGATTCATTTTGTTGCAATCTAAACAAATTATCCGGTACGATCACATAACAATCGATTATTGTTATCGATAGTAATATTTTATCAATGTATTGGGAAAGGTTGTTCATTCATCCGTACAGATTTGAATTAGTGTAATAAAATATTTGTCAATTGTTGGTTTATTAAGCGTCAAATTGCTAACTAATTTTTTTTCTTTCTATGCAACACAATACTTACTTTCTGTAAATTTTACTGTCTTAATCAGATTACAAAGTTAAGATGTAGTACTTTAGGTGTATTATTTTAATAAATAATCTTTTTATGTAAAGCGAACACACAACACTCAATGACACATTCAACACATTCAATAAATTTGACTAAACAGTACAGTTTGTTTTCGGTATTCTTAGTGAAAATAATATAGATCGATATGAGTCACAATTATATCTGTTCAGTTCACATGGTTGATGTATTGTTTCACCGCACCTTTCTATTAATAACCAATGTGTACGGACCCAAAACTATGATTCCATTGGATATGCTACTACTTGATCACATATCTAATAGATTTGAGAAAGATTAAGTCCGCCTAATTACCCTAGTAAGAATATAACTTCAGTGAACGTTTTTATGAAACAAAGACGAGACGTTGGTCTCGATTTTTTGTCAAGAATGATGATTCTACTGACGCCCTGCGACTGAAATGATGATTATGTTTGACTGAATCAGTGGTGGTGGTGGTGGTTAGCGCCCCTGAATATTGAATTTCGACCAAAAAAAAGAAAAAAGAATTATCAGAATCGGTTCAAGCATCCTCGAGAAATAGCCTCCTCCTCCTCCTCTTTGAAGTCGGTTAAAAAGCGTAATTTTGGTACCTTAAATAGCTCCTTAACATTCTATTTCTATCTTACTAGAAAATAGTTTCCTCACTGCTGAGGGTCGTGACCATCATAGTTCGACAAGATTTTACTTCTTGTAATGTTCCTTCCAGCGCCTCCAATCATTAGTCGCATGAAGCCAATGGACAGCCTAAACCTTGAGACACGAGGACAAAGTCTCAAGAGTATTATTTGAGGCTGTCACCCCCCTTAAAATCAGATGGTATTATTGAATATACATAATGGTAGTACCCACTAGTACAGACGGTAACAATACACCCTACTACTGGTAAGAAGTTACCCCACAAGGCACAGCGTTGATGGAAGGTTGCGCACATCGTCTTGCGTTGCCGTTCGGAGGGCGATCCGTACTTTCATCAGGCTTCAACGCGCCGCCACCACCGTTTGCCATCAGTGCCTACCACGGCGCGCCATCGACTGGTCGCGCTCACTGTAATGGACACCACGTACTGACTGTGGCTTGTGATTTATTGTGATCAAGTGGTCAGGACTAATTCTGTGAACAGTGTGTAATATATTTCAAGATGATCGTCAGGTAAGATCGAAAATACGAAAAATTTTCATTTGATTTTGTCGATAAAATTTAGAACCGAAACAGCTTTCGTTGAACTTTTGGGAACTTATATTCAAATTAATGACATTGACCTATTTAATCTGTCGGATAGCCCGTTGAACTCTTTAACTCCGCAACAATTAATCGTAGCGTCTACGATCCTAAGCTACGAAGCTATGAAGCGTAGCGTCCTATTGTAACTTTGTATTATTTTACCTAATAAAGTTAACTCACTATGAACTTTTATTAAACTATGTCTTTAGGTCAGAAGAAAGCGTGCCTTTCAAACAAGATTTTTTAAACGTCTTTTATGAAATTTGATCATTTTGAAATTTATATAGCCGGATAGAGTATGTCTCAGATTTTATATGTGCTAAAAAAAAATCACTTTATTATTTTTTAGCTTCATTCTTTTGTAATTGATCTTCAAATATTTTTTTATTTTATTGGTTCGACGAAACTCTTATTTGGTTTTAAGTAACCACCGCTTTTTTTTAACTTCCGGAGCCTATAGACATAATTCACTGCGTGAATAAAGTCGCAAAATTATAATTTGCGTAATTACTGGTGGTAGGACCTGTTGTGAGTCCGCGCGGGTAGGTACCACCACCCTGCCTATTTCTGCCATGAAGCAGTAATGCGTTTCGGTTTGAAGGGCGAGGCAACCGTTGTAACTATACTGAGACCTTACAACTTATGCTATGAATAATGCTATACAATGTCTTTGTACTATTTTTATTGATCTATTGTACCTCAGTGCCCATCAATAAGTTTTTTTAAGATACTCTTCTTTTTTTTTATTGCTTATTGCTTAGATGGGTGGACGAGCTCACAGCCCACCTGGTGTTAAGTGGTTACTGGAACCCATAGACATCTACAACGTAAATGCGCCACCCACCTTGAGATATAAGTTGTAAGGTCTCAGTATAGTTACAACGGCTGCCCCAACGTTCAAACCGAAACGCATTACTGCTTCACGGCAGAAATAGGCAGGGCGGTGGTACCTACCCGCGCGGACTCACAACAGGTCCTACCACCAGTAATTACGCAAATTATAATTTTGCGGGTTTCATTTTTATTACACGATGTTATTCCTTCACCGTGGAAGTCAATCGTGAACATTTGTTGAGTACGTATTTCATTAGAAAAATTGGTACCCGCCTGCAACGATGATTCGTGCAATTGTCACACTCATCTCTGCTTTTAAACATAAATTTAAATAAACAGACGTATTTGAGAATATGAGTTTGATATTTACAATACAATTCAAAACCAAAACATCTTAAAACATCAATCAACTAACTAAATTATTATACGGTACAAGAAAATTGAAGAAATTCGACAAAAAACCTAAAGAGCATTTCCAAGACAATCTTGCATATTTCAAACATACCTTTTCACTCCTTAATAATATTAATATTTAAATTTATCGTATGTACTCACCACACTTAATTAATTCGATATTTCCTTTTCTCGTGTAATCATTATAATAGTTACCTAACTAACGATCGGAACGATGACCGGGGTTGTGCAATCATCTCGTAGTTATAAAAATTGACGCCGACATTAGATCGCCAAGAGCGACCGTTTCACTGTAATAAATTCTATTAATGTCTCATCGTTTGCAAAAATTAAGTAATTCCGGCGCCATACTCGAGTACTATTTATGTATACTATATAGTTAGCACAGATATGAACTCAGAACTCTGACAGCAATCGTCCTGCTCATAATTTTATCAAAAACTGAAATATCTACTTGTATTTGTCCTGTGCTTTGATGTAACCTTTTCGCAAATAAACTTAACAACAGAACACATAAATGTGAATATGTTATCAGGATTACACTGTATGAGTAAATGCATAGAGCATGTTTAAAAAAATCAAAAATTATTTAAAATAATTGTAGTTCAAATTAAAAAAAAACCGTCCATGTGATCCATTATGATGTAATATTCTATCAATAGTTTTAATCAATTTAAATCTTTGTATGATAGTTTCAAAAAAAGATCAAGTTCAAATCGTATTTTAACGAATTGCATCGACTAATCCAGTGTTTCCACTTAAGAAAAAAAAAAAATATACTAGAGGTTTGCGAAAAACTTTTGAACGCTTAGAAAACTTTTGAAATCCTATCCTATTGACAAAAACATGAAAAACTCGTTCATCCAGTTAAATCAGGAGTGGCGTGGCGGTTCGAATTCAATGCGTTGTAAAGAAAGCGAAAGCACGACCCACTCGCCTTGAATGATTTAGATAAATGTTAGTTAACGCTCCCCTATGTGTTCGATTCATAAATTAACTTTAAATTTCGTATTATCTTTCGTTTCTTTTAATACCAGAAAAATTGAATTGTTAATCTTGTAAAAAATCAATGGAAGTTAAATATCCAGATGAATTAAACAGAGTATCAGAGAAAGCGGTAGGCAGCGGCTTGGCTCTGCCCCTGGCATTGCTGAAGTCCATGGGCGACGGTAACTACTCAACATCAGGTGGGCCGTGTGCTCGTTTGCCTACAAGGGCAATAAAAAAAAACATTGCTCAAAATGTATGTTTGAATGATATAATCAAAGGTATCTTTAATATCATTGTGTAATTTTAATTACAAGTCTATGTTACATACTTACGTTAATATAAATACATTTTTTGTTAATTATGATAATCACAAATGATTTCAAAACATAAAACAAAGCTAAAACTGATGGACCAAAAGAACTAAGTATTGAAAAATAGTGTTCAAATAATTAATGCTCTAAACTTTAAAAAACAGAAGGTTAACGTTATTTTTTCTATACGTAAGATGCAACTGACCAAGAAATCTTAAGCCAATATGGCTATTAAGTAGATAAGGAACATTTATCACAGACCAATGTCAAATGTTCGCGGGAAAATGTTATATTTTATATTATTATGTCCTATAAATTTTCGACTAATGCATTTTATGTTAGTCAATGTCCGTTTTTATTACTTTTATTTGCGTAACGTACAATTACGAAAAATGTAGAAACCGTACATCAAGACACGAATTATTTTAAGCTGGATGTTTCTGATGCAACACTTCAAGGAACGCATTGTACAACGTACTCTTATAGAATGTCCAATTGAAAGAAAAGTATTTAAATACCAATACATTCGATGTATTACCAAGAGTTTTCGTTTTCAGCCTACTTTAAAAAAAGAGTAAGTTCACAATGCGATTGCATTTTTTAAGTGTGTAAACTCAGAACTTTCTCTAGGATTTTAATAATTATTTTATTTGAAAGTTGATAGTTGTCATGTGCTTCCGTTTAAAATGTATCATGATGTAACCAGTAGTTTTTGCGTTATCCTTAATAATGTATAGTTATTTCATTGAGTTCATCTTATAGTATGATTTTATTTTGTGATTAAATTCAGGACTACTTTTTTATTTAAATCTTGTATTATGTTAACATAGTAGCAACTTAAATATACGAAGTTATACTAAGATGCGAATATTTAATAATATGATTCTTAATATAAACATTATTATAGCACACGAGTTTAGTCTAAGCTAAATTAAATGCAATACAAATCCTTGCACATGAACTATTTCAACTATATTTATTTTTTGATACGAATCATTTTTTTTTATTGCTTAGCGAGCTCACAGCCCACATGGTGTTAAGTGGTTACTGGATCTACAACGTAAATGCGCCACCCATCTTGAGATATAAATTTTGAGATCTCAGTATAGTTACAACGGCTGCCCCACCCTTCAAACCGAAACGCATTACTGCTTCACGGCAAAAATAGGCGGGGTGGTGGTACCTACCCGTGCGGACTCACAAGAGGTCCTACGACCAGTATATAGTATAGTATATACCTTTTAACAGAGGGGCAGTGAATTTATTTCATTAAATGTAAACAAGAACAAATGTTTGAAGCTGAGCGCGGACCACCAATAAGATTGCGTCAGCGGCTCCAAACTATGGAGATTCTCAAGCATGCCAATTGCGCAATTCATTCACCTCACATGCGACAACAAACGAATTTACCTGTTTATCTTAACTCCCGGTCTATCACGTAACTTTTATACATGGAAGAAATCCGCACCTTATATAATATAATGATAGGAAGTCCAGCGCACAGGTTTTTAAATCAACATACATCATTCTTTTTGCGCATACAAAATTCATAAGCTTTCAACTTTCAAACAACTTAAAACGGGTGCTTTTTATATACTTGTATAAAAATACATCTCTTATATTATATTAATTACATTAATTCATTTAAAATATTTTATTAACGTCATACTTAACGTCAATAGCATTGAACTTGCAAAATAAATAAAAATGCTAACATCTGTATACAAGAAAAACACTGATCGTTTATCATCATCACAATTATCAAATGAAAAATATGTGTTTATACCAATTGTATATATAATGTTGTGTAACAATTATATATAATGAAGCCAAATAATGAAGTTAAAAGTAAAACTTTATAATCAATTCAAACATTAGACCAAGCTTGTCCTTTAAACAAGAAAGTATCTGGTTTTTTTCACTTCTGTGTTTTCATCCGGTACATCACGTGAGATGAATAGACTCCTGACCTTACATAAGAGCAGGAAATTTAAAAACAGGTTATGAGTGAGTTGGTGCTATCGCTTAACAAGGATGAAGTGCTTCTCGGGATATTACTGGTTATTCGAGATCGTCATATATTTAGATTTATAATATAGGCCAACATAGATACGAAACACCATAATTGTTAACAGCAAATAACCGCGAAAACAAAATGTTTTTATTTTTTATTTTTTACGGCGCCACTTTTGGAACTTCTGCCTTGATTAGACGCCTAAAACGAACAAACACACGCAGAACACAGAATACCAACTTCTCAAACAAAGACAATGTAATCTCTAAGCAAAGATTGGACTGGGAGACAAATTACTCAGGATAATCAACAATTAAGTCGATGAAGCCTTGAAATTATTTGCAGAAAAAAGTCTGATTTAGAAATAAATATGTATTTCCATTTAACTACAAAATAGTTATAATGGTATAGCTAAGAGTTATATTAATAAAATATGACTATTTAATGTCTAAATAGATGGATACTTAAAAAAATAACCTAAAACTGCTAACTATGTAGGTAATCATAAATTTGAGGATTATTACAGTTGTCTCAAAACAAACATTTCAATGATAGAGACAAAATCGCTTTGAAATTGACAAACAAATACTAGGATTTGTGGTTGAGCCATCATTATTTGTCAAGAACGTACCAAAAATTTTTCAATAGAAAAGAAAATTGTTTTATTGTGGCTCATAAAATACTAAACTTTCTGAAATGCCTCAAACACCTTTAAGAATTGAGCAACAAAAACGTTACGAGTAAAACTCCCAACTAGATAACTGTAACCCAATTATTTTATTTAGATATTATGAATACTATTTTACGGTGCGTTTGGACAGATCTTGCTATATCGAATGATAATTATAATGTCGGTCATCCAACCGACTACTCTCGAAGCCCCGGTCATCGGTCACTGGGCCAACGAAACCTCTGTTATAATAATTACGTCACCGCAAAAAACTTAACATAGCATTTTGAACCACAAGTGCACTTAAGTGTTCTTGGTGTACGTAAAATAAACAAATATATGTTTTTCAATAACCAATACTGCATGCATGCCCAGACACTTTTGTTTCCGGAAAAGATGACCTGATTGATGTGTGTTTATTTTTGTTGTCTTTGAAGCAGATGATTAATGAATGATGATAATATACTTCAAGATTCATTTATATCTTCAAATACTTGCTTAACGATCCAAGACAATAAAGTACCTATAGGTAGTTCGACTTTCCGCACTGTCGCTCCGCAGCGCCCAAGAATAAATGTCAAAAAACATTGTTTCCAATCTTTTTAGGCATTTCTGCTTGTGCTAGGTTTCATAATTACTGGTGGGACTTATGTGTTTAAGCGCGTCACAAAATTATGATCGTTATTGCGGTGCAATAAATTTCAAACTAGTCAGGAAAACCGAATTGAGTTTTGTTAATTTCAAGAAAAGGTTCGGGTTGTTAATTTTTATGTGCCTCAGAACTTTTTTCTAGGTAAGCCTATTTTTAATTATTCTTTTTTATTTAAATGCTGGTCTTCTCATGTGCTCTTATTTAAATTTTATCTAGTTTGGTTTTAAGATACATATTTAGTACGACTACATTGATGATAATCTTATTACGTTAAAATCGTTTTCCTTTTTCGTTAAAACTTTGTATTATATATTTTTGATTGATCATTATTGGTATTGGTTGTAAGTAAATTTCTAATGAAATACAGAGATTTGTACTCTCCAGGAGGCTCTGGTGCAGCCGGATAACGCGTTCGCGACTACGTTTAGCTAATGAAATATCCAGCGAACAACTTATGACATTTTTAAGACATATTCCATTTATATTATCCGATTTAAGATTTTAAGATTAGTGAAAGGACTAACGCGTAAATGATGGAATGTATTAAGCCGAGGCTAACTGCTATGAACGGAAATTATTAATTTTCAACTCTGCAAATAGGTACATACGTGCTGTAACTGTATTAATAAGATTCATGCTTACTTCATAATACGAAAATAATTGAAAGGAACTATTACAATAAGCTTAGCAATAATATTTAATGTTTTCCAAAAGCATTTCAAAACCGAACTTATGCGCCGTTCATATAAATTGCTTAGCATTTAAAATGGCATGTCTAGTCTAGAAACTTTATTAGAAAATCCTATTAATAAATAAAGTAGATAATGTCACAATTTTTTTTTAAATCATAATGTTTTATTTCTTTAAAGATGCATTCAACATCATTAATTTGTTGAAGACCTTGCAATTTGTTTTGAAAAAAAGAAAAAAGATTGCGTAAAACATTAAGAGTTTTAAGATTTTTTTTCATTACGAAATGCGCAACGGTGTGTTAAGGCTTTGGACTGTTAAACTAATGAGATACATTTCTTGATGCATAATAAAATCCTTGAATAAATTTTTTGGTGGGTAATCGCTAAGAATTTTGAACATTTATTTCGGGAAACACACGCCCACAAGATAAGCTGAGCACTATATTATATATGAAACGAATGATACTTTATAAATTCTCATTTTAATAATAATAATTTGTTTATTTATGAAGTTTCCGTTTTGTAATACTGGCCATTTGAAACGGAATGTATGGCTGACAATTAATTTTAAATTCAATTTCATAAGAACGGTACAAAGGCTGTTCGCAAATTGCATCTTCGAAAATTAAACTTATTCAGCTTTCTTGGTTTCCAATCTAATCGAAAGATAGCGTAATTAGACCTTATATGATGTAATATAGAATTTAGTTTCAATGGATCTCTTCCATTTTTAATCCAAATTATAAACAATTAAATATGGAAATATCAGTTGTAAAATATTTTTTGGTAGGGATTTTGCATTTTTTTTATAGCCCTTGTAGGCAGACGAGCATACAGCCCACCTGATGGTGGGTGGTAACCGTCACCCATGCACTTCAGCAATGCCAGGGGCAGAGCCAAACCGCTGCCTACCGCTTAATACTCTGCACAAGCCTCGTTTGAAGAAGGACATGTCATAGCGCTCGGGAAACACCGTGGAGGGGGAAATCGTATTATATAGATATTTTTTAAATGTTAATAATACACAATTGAGACATCCAATTTCAAAAAAAAGAGCATTACAAAATGTTTCTAACATGAATAACAAATTAGATAAAAAATATCAATGAGGAGATGGTTCTGCCGTTCTAGTGAGTGGCGACTCATACCGCTCGCTGCCTGCGTCTAATTACGTAAACGGAGATTGTAAAATTACAAAATTATTAACATTAGAATTGGAATTCAATAAAGATCAACATCGATGCAAGGTTTCGTTGAGCGAATAAAATGAACTTGAAGATCTTCAGGATAATTAGGCTCATACTTCAGAAGTACCTACATAAAAACGCGTGTAATACATTAAATGACCATATTGGATGGTTAATTATTGAATTAAGAATGAATTTATGCTCTCGATTGGTAGACGTGGTCAACGGAGCTCCTAGCAAATTTCGCCAACCATTTTGAGATATGAGGTTGAAATCTCAATTGGACTGAATAATAGTTACTGCACTTAAAAGCGGCAACGTATTTTTTTTATTACTTGTTTGTATTTGTTAATTGTCTACCGCCCATAGATGTCTACAAGGTACATGCCGCCATCCATTTCGAGACATGAATTCTAAGGTCTCAGTTTTTATAGTACAGCGGCTGCCTCACCCTTCAAACCGAAACGCATTACTGCTTCACGGCAGAAATAGGCAAGGTGACGGTACCTACGCGTGTGGACTAACAAGACGTCCTACAACCAGTAAATAATATTCCGGTAGAAATTGCCACAATTCACATACGCCAATACGCTAGTCTTACAAAGCATATCTAGAGCCCATTTAACGATAAAACATGGTCGACTTAGGTTTACTCGTGGTAGGACCTCTTGTGAGCCCGCGCGGATAGGTACCACCACCCTGCCTATTTCTGCCGTGAAGCAGTAATGCCTTTCGGTTTGAAGGATGGGGCAGTCGCTGTAACTATACTGAGGCCTTAGAACTTATATCTCAAGGTGGGTGCCGCATTTACGTTATAGATGTCTATGGGCTCCAGTAACTACTTAACACCAGGTGGGCTGTGAGATCGTCCTCCCACCTAAGCAATAAAAAAAATATAAAAAAAACACTAGTCAGATTAAAATTATCCGCATTCGCTCTGGCAATATGATACTTAGCAGCATTAAGACTGATATGAAACCCTCAGATACAGCCCACTGAGTTTCTCGCCGGATCTTCTCAGTGGGTCGCGTTTCCGATGCGGTGATAGATTCTGCGAAGCACTGCTCTTGCTAGGGTCAGTGTTAGCAACGTCGTCAGGTTTGAGCCCCGTGAGCTCACCTACTAGCTAAGGTTACGCTGAAATAGCCTCTCAAGGCTCTCAGCTTAGGTAGGAAAAAAAAACTGGTATGACGATCATAAAATTTAATGATTGCTTTCTATTTAGGGCGCTATTTATAGCGTTATGCTGCGTGTGGGTGTCAGCACTATCGCCGCTGGCTGTGGGTGGAGACGACAATGACTGCGCGCTGTATCTCACCGGACCCGGTCGCAGCTCTGCATACGATTACAGCATCAATCTGCTCAAAGGAAACTTGTAAGTATCTAGTAAGCTACATTTAAATCGCTTCATAGGCGATAAAACGGTTTGTAAACGTTAAAATAAATTACAAATAATCGTTTTAACGTCATCGTGACTGATCAATCTTTACTAATATATAAATCTACAGTGGTTTTTACGGATGTTCCGTTATAACTACTGAACCGTGCATCTGATTGACTTGAAACTTGGTATCCATGTAGAAAATACATGTACTTAATGGATAGGCTAATATTTATATGAGTGTTGGACTCCCAGTTGCGGGGGCGTTAGTGATGAGAATCTTTGTGGGGGTGAGAAATAATAATGTTAATATTAAATGGCCAGCGAAGCGGACGGGTACAGCTAGTAGTTTATATATTTGTTAATGAAACGGGATTGGTCACTAGTTTACAACTACTTAACAATGAAATCAAATATATGAACTGACATGACTACCATCCTTTGCCAACCACAGTCCAATGTCAAAATATATAATACTTTTTGTCGTCAACTACAATATCAACTATGAGATGTTACATTAATTAACCTTTTTAAATTCACACTGCTAAGAATTAAATTGATATGTACTCTTGTCGCTGTTAATTCAATTAATCGAAAACTTAAAAACTCTCAGATGTTGCTTTTCATGTGAGTCTAAATGATTATTGTAAACTCGTAATTCAATACTTTTCCTTTTAAAGTCAGCGGTCAAATATTCAGCCAGCTTGGACATCGCATTCGACCGAATTTGTTTATCATTAGAGATACTGTTTTATATTTCTAAATATATATCTAAATCTAAACTGAAATCTGAGATATAATCAATTAAAATTTTAAAAGCATTTGATTTCGTAGTCAATGAATATTATTATTATACGGATTAACTAATAACAACGAAAACGATTACTTACTGGATTACAACATGCCTAACATTATAATTTATAATCGTTAAACGATATCTTAACGCCCACTCGACAGTTTGGGCCGATAAGACCAACTTGTTTGTCAAACCGGGTCAGTGGGCTGCATAACAATGACACAGCATCGAAAATTTACTCAATGAATTAGGTTTGAGTCGCTAATGAAAAATCAAATTACAATATAGACATGCCCCTCAAGTGCTAATTCATCTAATTCTCACTATTAGCTTCAGCCTGTAGCATTGTTAACATAGAAATTGCATCGGTCAATGAACTTGTCGTCAATGAATTTATTTTAGTGTTGTCTCTTTAGAATTGAATACGTTTTTTGGCAGTTCTTCGGAGACTAAGGAGTTTTAGCCAATGTGCACATTTTAAAATTTAGTTTTAATAATTCACTATATCTATATGATCGAAAAAAGATTAGTTAACGACTGTCTGTTGCGACGAAAATTATAAAGTATTCGAAAAGTCGGAAATAATACAGTGATAATAAAAAATGCGAGACCACACCTTCAAATCTATATATTAATACGTGAAGCAAAAACTTTGTATCCCTTTTTACGAAAATTGCGCGGACGGAGGAGTATGAAATTATCCACACTTATAGAGAATATAGAGAAGAAGTACACAATGCTAATATTTTTTTAAAATAATGCGTAAAAGATACATTAAATCAATAAAAAAAACATTACACACACTACATACCATGTATTTGACGCACACACGCATGCATACTATTTATTGTCAAACTTTTGTTTTTGACGTCTGTGGTCAAGTTGAGAACAGATTAAATATTGTTTGTTTTTATTAATATTTTTTTATAGTTTAGCCTTGGCGAAATTTGTGATTATAGAAGTATAAAATACAATCATAATAGTGTACAAACTTACAATTCCAATTAATTATAGTCGAATTTCGACTACTGCGGGACCTCTAATTAGTTTTAATTAAGTTTACGACAGGCAAAACCGAAGTAAATACGAAGATTAGTTGTACTCAATTTTTGTACCATCACTTTCGCGCGCTCGACTTAAGCAATGACCCTTACAATGTCGTAATATTCAATAGGTCTTCACAATTGCTCTCGTCGGCGCTGTATTGCCAAGTAAACATTCACTTTCAACGGATTCATGTTACATTCACCTATTAAGGTGATGGGTTCCGGCACAAAAACAGTTGCGAATGTCTTAAGCGGACTATAAAACATAATTAAAGTAGCATTTAGTTTTGTTGAGACATATTTAAAGCCTATGTTTAATTGCCTGTTGGTTTTTAAGTACAGTGCTAACCGTGTAGCAGAATTTAAAAGTAAGAATAGATTTATCAATAAATTAACGAGATGCTACAATGTAAAAAAATAATATTCACAAATAAAATCGGAAGTCTGCTACTTTTTAGTTTTATATTATGTTACATTTGATATTCGAAAAACACGTTTGACATTAAAAACGAACAAATCAAAATTTCATAAGTCTAAAGGAGTACAGATTAAAAATAATGGTTTTACCCATTTTACCCGAGTTTCTAGAATTTACCACATACGTTGTCACACTATCGATATAATATTGGACCGGACCCCGCTGATAAATCGAACTGCCGTGTGACACAGGTGTGTCACGTGTCCGCGTAAAGGTTCATAGACCTTAATTCCAGTTAGCAATACCATACAACGGTTTTCTCATTTCGTTTGCTCATAATAAAGCGTCTTTCTTTGATTTCTAGATTTGTGTGCACTCCACTGTTTATTTCGCATTTAATACGTTTACTTTCGAAGTAGTTACTCAAGTAAAAACGTTTAGCTTGCAAAGCCTGTTACTTTTCATTGTGATTATAACGAATTATATAAAGATCCTATTTCTCGAAACAAGTGGTACATCAGAGGCCCTGCGTTGATGGCATTAGCCAGTTTGAAACTTTACTCAAAGTGGTAACATCGACAATAAAGTTCGATATTAAGAAAACAAATGAAACACCAAATAAACATACTTGTTTAACCGATCCGTGCGTTTCCTTTATTTATTATAGTGATGGTGCTATGCAAAAATGCACTCCACAACCGATAAAGATGCTAAAATAACTACGATCGACTTATGTTAAAAAAAAATTACCTTTTTTATTTTTATTGCATAGATGGGTAGACGAGTTCACAGCCCACCTGGTAAGTGGTCACCGGAGCCTATAGACATCTACAAAGTAAATGCCACCAACTACCTTGAAATATGAGTTCTAAGGTCTCAGTATATTTAGAACGGCTGCCCCACCCTTCTAACCGAAACGCATTGCTGCTTCACGGCAGAGATTGGCAAGGCGGTGATACCTACCCGGATGGACTCATAATAGGTCCTAACACCAGTAAAAATAAACGTAATCTCATAGCTTTGATCCTCGGTCGGATATTCATAGGTAAACCGAAAACTTCATCAAATATTCAAATGGACTAGTTTAATGATAACATTGTATACCTAAATTGAAATGTAAAATGTTACCATGATATTTATCATTTAAATACGTGCGAAAAAATACTTCCTCTTTCATCGAAACCGTGAGAAATACAGTCCGCTAATCCACAGCTCGACCTCAAGAAGTTACACATTAGTTACAAAACGAGCCGATGCAAATTTCTCGTGTGAATCGTTTCTCGTGCAAAATAATCGTGTACCGATCTTCCTACGCATTCTCATACCTATAATTATTACCAAAATGTTTTGACACCAAAATGTGTTAGCGTGTTAAATTCGAGGCTTGTTAATAAATATATGTTGCGATTCTAATAAATAATTAATGTAAACATTATGAATCAACAACCATCTCGTAAGATAGTAATTAGATACCAAAGTTTCGAGATAATCATTGAAATTAGCACTAAATTTATCTTTTAATTACTTCACTCATTGAATTTGTTAGTCCTCATTCGTTCGAGTTTTATCGCAACAACGTTGATGTGCCCTAAACAAAAAAAAAACATTGACACAGATAATTATACTTAAAAACCCGGATATAAATTTCCGTTTTATTGATATTGCATATTTATGTTAATTAAATCGCGGAAAGAAATGGAAATGCAAATTTAAACACCATTCTTGAAAACAAATAGTAGAGACGCCATATTTAGACATATGACCTAATGAAATAAACTAAAGGTCGGATATCTAACACTTTTCCTAATTTAATAATTAAGTACATTACAAATTATTTCTCATCTCGACGATTTCATAATATTAATTCATTTAAATCTTTTCAAGTTAGCGAATTTTGCGAAATATTTTTGAGTAACATACCTACAACCTATATGTACATCTTAAAAAAAACAATTTAGTTTTCAAAAGCAAAAATGACTCACAAGCTGACTCATTTAATTTTACAAAACGTATTAACATAGTATTATTCCACTGGATAAGGCTATATTATAAATAACAATGCCTTATATAGCTGTCTAAACGCCTGCATTGGATCGAAAATATTTGGATGATAATTTGAGATCAGGATTTAAAATTCATCAAATAAAATTGATAATCTTCTATCTTCTTCTTCTATATCTATATGTATAAAAATGAATTGCTGTTCGTTAGTCTCGCTAAAACTCGAGAACGGCTGGACCAATTTGGCTAATTTTGGTCTTGAATTATTTGTGGAAGCTCAGAAAAGGTTTAAAAGGCAGATAAATTAGATAAATATGAAAATGTTCGAAAATAAATAAAAATAACAATTTTGTTTTTCCTTTAATGTGTCCCCCGTCGGACGGATTCCTTTTGTTTGTTTTAAGTTTATTTATTCCAAAGTTTTTATTTATCGATTGAGGCACTACGAAGTCTGCCGGGTCAGCTAGTGAATAATAAAATTGATAAAACTCAAACAGTACTAAATATTTTTTTTTTTTTTTTATGATTGTAAGTTTACTGGTGGCCCGAAGGCCTTTCCAGTTTCACCAGGACAGGTGGGCGAGCAAAGGCTCAGCCAAGAGGGGTGGGATTTGCTAACAACTGCCCGAGCGCCTCCGAAGGAGACCTAACAACTCAAGAGCAATTGTTTCGCGAATGAATCTACTACCGGATCGGAATCGCGACNCGGCAGATGTACCACGAACACAGAAACAACAAAAGGAAACAAAACAAATAAAAACTTCCAGAAAGAGCACTTAGTCGGCAGATGTACCACAAACACAGGCCGCGCGAACAATGGCCGGGCTAACAAAAGCCGGGCGAACAAAGACCGGGCGATCGAGTGGACGATGAGCACGTCCGCACGTGACGGGTGCCTCTATCGGAATGAGTACTAAATATTACACATACATGTAGGTACCCTTTCTCGATACGTGATGTTTAGTCTAAATAATAAATAATATGAACGTTCATAAATTCTACAAACGTCTGAATGCAAATCATTAAAAAATAAATTAAGCTGCTGGACTGTGTGTTACTTTATACTATTATATTTAAAACCTTTTTTTTGCTTAGCTGGGTGGACGAACTCACAGCCCACCTGGTGTTAAGTGGTTACTGGAGCCCATAGAAATCTAAAACGTAAATGCGCCACCCACCTTGAGATATAAGTTCTAAGGTCTCAGTATAGTTACAACGGCTGCCCCACCTTTCAAACCGAAGCGTATTACTGCTACACGGCAGAAATAGGCAGGGTGGTGATACCTACCCGCGCGGACTCACAAGAGGTCCTACCACCAGTAATACCACCTTAATTTACCTCCTTTTCTAATGCTGGGGAATCCATCGTGGGAGGTAATAGACCGGATTAATTACCAGGACGTAATGTCGTACTCCGGGAACGTTAGTTTACCTGATGCATTTTTAAATGATTGATTCTATCAGTTTAACATTTTAAAATATTGGCAATGCCGAAACTAATACTTATTTTTGTTTCAGCGGTTATGATGGACAGCACACATGTATTACATACGAAGCAATTAACCAGGCCTATCTCGAAGCAAGAAATAGAATTCGTAAGTTTAAAACCTACTACTTTACATTTTTTTAATTTTTAGAAAATACACGTAAATTACAGACAATCAAGTCTACCCGATAAATTTACAGACTTGCAAAATAATATTTTTGTCCTCATTTTTAATTAGATATGGTTGAATGAAATTTACACAAAAACCTATTTCTGGGTCGGAACAAATCTACTTTCATTTAAGATTTCATGATTGAATGTAGAATTTATTTTATTGAATCCGGATATCAGTTTCATAAAATAATATAATCAAATTTCCACGTTTGACAATTGTTGTGATTGATAAACGTGTGTTTAAATAACAAATATCTCTTATTACTTGGTTTTAAATATTCAAGTATTATTATAATAAAACCAATAAAGTTTTAACTATTCCAGCATTATTATCGGTTATGCATTCTGAGACTCACAATGCTAATATTACAGTAATGCACATTTCTCTTATTCCCGAAATGTATCCAATGTTTTTTATTGTCTTCCCTTCGGTTTTCCCGATCCGTAGTCATTTCTTATTTATCTTTATTTTCATTGAGCCATTTTAAAATAAATTAAATTGTAATAAAAAACATTGAATAATACATTGTTGGCAGAACTTTCGCGTTAAAAACTTTCACTTTTTATTCTGCGACTTGATGCATTGAATTTCATCCGAGGTTTTGGCTGAACTGGATAGCCCATTGTTAATAGCGATTTTTTAGTGAATCTTCTGAAGGCATATCTGCATCTGGAATTATTGAAGTATAACTATTAAGTTTTTATTGTGCGTGATAAAAACTTCTATCAAAAAAAAATAATGATAAATCATATTTATGAATAAAATTATAGAGAATTATGGTCATCATAACGGGAACGCTTTTTTATTGCTTAGAGGATGAACAAGCTCACGTCCCATTTGGTGTTAAGTGGTTACATAAGCCCATAGACATCAATAACGTATATACCGCCACCCACAAAAGCACAATAATAGTGACGTAGTATAACTGTTTAGCATGAAAACGCATAAGTATAGTTTGGTCTCCGACACACAAATCCATAATAAAGCGATCTTGCAATAAGTATATACCCGTACTATCAGAACAGCATGCTAGAGAAATCCGCTACTGAACACAGACTCACCTGAAATGATCATTACTGGTGGTAGGACCCTTTATTACTGGTGGTAGGACCTTTTATTACTGGTGGTAGGACCTCTAGTGAGTCCGCACGGGTAGGTACCACCACCCCGCCTATTTCTGCCGTGAAGCAATAATGCGTTTCGGTTTGAACGGCGGGGCAGCCGTTGAACTATACTGAGACCTTAGAAGTTATATCTCAAGATGGGTGGCGCATTTACGTTGTAGATGTCTATGGGCTCCAGTAACTACTTAACACCCGGTGGACTGTGAGTTCGTCCACCCATCTAAGCAATAAAAAAAATAAAAAAATTCTAGCCATAAGAAAAAAATATGTAAACCAATAAATTATTTTACAGTTGTCGCCCGGCCAAAGGGTGATTGGAAACCTGAAGACTATGCGAGCGTTGGTGAACTCGTCCTCGACATTTCAATAAATCTGGCACGCAGGTAAATTTTTACCTTAACATTTAAATCACTGACTGTGTAACAAATCATTTAATGAACAACATGATTCCATTTAAAACGAGTATTTAATGACGAGAATAAATAAATAAATAAGTAAATAAATATTTACTAACAATTACGCCACGGTAACTGATCCCGTGATAAGTTCGTAAAGAACTTGTGTTACAGGTACCAGATAACGGAAATAAATGTAAGATTTTTATTATACACATACATATATTTAATATACATCCATAACCCTGGAAAAGACATTTATATTTATCATACAAATATCTTCCCTTGGCGGGATTCGAATCCGCGACCCCCTTGTGTAGTGACCATGTCACTTACCACTACACCAGACAGCCGTTAATAAAGCACATAAGGGGAGTTGCAAGTTCAATGATACGTTACGTAAGTTTTAATACATATTCAACCACTCAATACGCGTACACCTTTCTTTTAAATATCGGTCAAAGGTCAGTCTACTCTTACAGTTGAAATATTACGTCACCGTACCTCTTATAATTTTTTTATTGAACTTATCAAAACGGCGCGCAAGATTGTGTCCTACAGCTACGAATTATCGACTCATAAACAATGTTAAATGAATATGAAATAGCAATCTAAATTGTTAACTTAATTTAAGACTGCGTTTGGTTTGCGACACGTGAAATACTCGAATTATATTTTAGAACATAGTCAGACATCATTTTCTATGTGGTTGGTACTTTGCTACATGGTTGTCAACGATTAGAATTAAACTTAAATGCATAATAAGTCGTTGATTACTTGTGTCTCATATTATGTAGTAATGCGACCGGTAAAATCATAACTTAATATAGAACCACAGTGTTGTGGGCAATTGCGAAACATCGTCTATTGTTTCAATTTGCCTGGTCGCAGCCGTTTTGGTTCCGACGCAATCAATTCCATACCATTAATTTCGCACACGTTTCGCATTCATGCGTTATTATATCGAATACTGGTGGTAGGACCTCTTGTGATTCCGCGCGGGTAGGTACCACCACCCTGCCTATTTCTGCCGTGAAGTAGTAATGCGTTTCGGTTCGAAGGGCGGGGCAGCCGTTGTAACTATACTGAGACCTTAAAACTGATATCTCAAGGTGGGTGGCGCATTTACGTCGTAGATGTCTATGGACTCCAGTAACCACTTAACACCAGGTGGGAAGTGAGCCCGTCCAACCTCCTAAGCTATAAAAAAAAAATTACAGATTAAAATGAGAGATGAAAATTTGCCATATCGAAATATTACTAAACAAAGAACAATGAATATTTAGAGGTGACCGACTTTCTATGGTATTGCGAATATATAACGTCGTCACTTAAACAGATCCTTGATCTTAGCTCTTATCGCCTACGAGGTGTAGTGACCTTTTCAGTGAACGGGAGCTCACATAAATGTCAGTATTAGCAACCAGAATAAGAGCGGATAGACATCATTGAATCAATACATGCGTCAGTACTCCAGAAACATTTGGAGAACGGACCTAATCGCCTTCAGAACATAAATTAGATGATAATACGATTCATGTCAATAAAACGGCGGTCTCTATTCACACGATACTAAAGATATTAATATACAATCGCACACAAAGCAATAATAGTGCGTGTACATTGCGTATTTTATTACGTTGGTATCAAATTTGTTGTTCACTCAAACTATTACCTTGGTATTTAATATCTGTACCTCAAATGCGTAACTTACGCATTCCACTAATCATGTCTTCCAATGCAAATTAATACTAGTGCAGTTCAATAATTTAGAAAATATTTGTTTTGGTTGCAACGAAATAAATATTACCCCCAGATTATTATTTAATACAGCGCTTAAATTCCTACAGCCACTGTAGAGAAATAATAAATACAGAGAATAAAGGTGTAAAAGTTTGACCACAAAATGCTGTTGCGAATTGTTAATTATTTTATTTTATTGGATTAATCTTTCTCGGCAAATCTAATCTCATTTTAAACTTTTACATTACTAGTCAACTATTTCATTATTCATAACAAAACATTAACCAATGTTTATGACGGATGTACCTATTTACTGAACACACAATTGCAATGGTCATTCGCTTCCTCATTACTTGTTAGACAAGAGTACAATTTACAGAAGATTAATAGCATCAAGCATATTGTACAGAATAATTAATCTTGCCTAGAAGGGCATACTCGTCACGGATGCAAAATAACCTCTTGACTATTCTATGAGGATGTCAAGTATTGGGTCGTGATGGTAGGCTATTCAATAAAGACCTTGATATCATTGTTACTGACAGTATTAGTTCGTTGATACTTTTCACTTCAAAGAGTAGGAAACGCTTACGAGTCATTCTTTTATTGCTTCTAACAATATGTCGCTCTAAGTATAATAGGTACTTGGGTCGCTATCTTAAAAATACAATACATTATTTTTTTCTTCAGAATGGTTTACATTAAACTTAAAGGTCGTTTTATATCTAAAACTTTATAAATTCGTTGCGTTGCAAATGTATGAATATTAACCGTTTTCTTTTGAAATATAGTGAATACAAATTATAAAATATTTTATATTAGTCAAAATTAAGCGAAACGTGAAGATACATAGCGTAGATACATATTTTCATATTAACAAGAACTCCTCTTTTAATTGCATGCTAAGATGATTGCCAAACTGCAACAAAAGTTTAGAATGTATATTACATGCTTAATTTTATTTCAAAACTTCAAGGCTGAATAGAGAGCTTCCTTAGCCCACGCGTCAGATATGTTAAATGTTTTAAGTTATTTTTAAATTATTCAGTTTCAACTGAGTTTTTTTATTGCTTAGATGGGTGGACTAGCTCACATCCCACCTGGTGTTAAGTGGTTTCTGGAGCCCATAGACATCTACAACGTAAATGCGCCACACATCCTGAGATATAAGCTCTAAGGTCTCAATTATAGTTACAACGGCTGTCCCGCCCTTCAAACCGAAACGCATTACTGCTTCACGGCAGAAATAGGCAGGGTGGTTGTACCTACCCGCGCGGACTCACAAGAGGTTCTATCATCAGCAACAACTTACTATTTTTACGATTTCTTACTATGTATTTTACAATTTTTTGGTACCGTCGCTCATATAGAGCTCTAGTTCCAAGGGGCTTTTGTATTATCCCGATTAGCAGAAAAGGATACGGTTCATCTGATACTAAATAGTCACTGTCGTTCATTGACATTATAACTATCAGGGGCATAGTCAAGCTACTACCTCTTTTAGTGTGCACTGGCAAAAAAAGTTTCACCTCAATTCAACCCATCCATTTCGGCCGTGTTGTGTCAAACGGTTTAGTGGAAAATTCGTTAAATACACCAATTCAGGCTTCACGTCTATAGACGCATTGCGACGTTACATTTTTAGGATCTATACGTTGGCTACCATTTAACTTAAGATTGGCCGTAAGCTCGTCCACAGACATAGTCCAAATACTTATAAAAATAATAAGTCTGAACGTCTTAAGTTTCGGCTCCAAAAAATCGTCATGACTTCCTCTTGTCGTTCATTCAGATAACAATTGCGTTTCGTACATATACGTATTATCATGATATAAATGACGTTTCCCATGACAAGGTACTATATTTTACAGAGCCGTACAATACAAACACGTAATGTAGTAGTTCATACAGATATTGTAGTTCATACAATATATAGATATTGTGTGCTCACAGTACAATATCTATATATTGTGTGCTCTGTATGAGTTATGCTGTATTGCTCTGTTTGATCCAATGACTGTTCATTGTATCAAACTGGGTGGTTTTGAAACTGAGCTATCGCTAAAGAACAAACGCCTTAAAGTTTTTCAGCGCGACATCATATATCGCGCCTCTGTACTTCGGGTCTCTTACGCACATTAATAAAACTAAAATCAGTAAACGAAAGGCATGTAGTTGTTTGGTTGTTAAAAATTAATAGCCATGACTCATAACGGTGAAAATAAATCGATTAAAGCCACATTAAAATGCTTTTATTATGTCTCAAACACCATACTCTTGGTTCTTTAGAAGAAATTAACATAATTCGTGCGTTTCTACACCAATTAGGCACGGTTTATGTTAACGTAACAAGTCGCTCGAGATGCGATTCTGTAACACCTATAAAATAAACACATTGTGATTTTGTTACTTAAGAAACTTGAAAACTAATTTTACCATTTTATCTTCTATACTTAATATTATAAAGGGGAAAGATTTGTTTGTTTGTTTGTATTGAATAGGCTCCGAAACTACTGAACCGATTTGAAAAATTCTTTCACTGTTTGGAAGCTACACTATTCCCGAGTGACATAGGCTATACATGATATTTTTTGAAAAAATTAAGGGATCCTTACCAAAACTCCAATAAAATTACCTAAAATATTCTTTACGTGCCCTACAAAAACTATTGATGATAGAATAACATGTAATGTACTGCGACTTTGTAGAACACATTATTATCTACAAAAAGTGTCGCGACAGCATGTGTCTAACTATTATAGTTATGCCGCAATAAGTGTTCTTTTATTTAAAAAAATAAAACAACGTCAAATATCGTGGAAATTTTTGTTAAAGACCCGAGCGGAACCGGAGCGGACCGCTTGTTATTTAAATATATATATTTCTTCTGTGCGTGTGTTTGTCACTGAGCTCCTCCTAAACGGCACCGATTTTTTGTATGCATTTGGGTGGCGCCCTGGATGGTTTAGATTCACAAATCAGCCCGACAGATGGCGCTGCAGTCGATATATAGGTTATTTATCTTTCCTAGAAATAATTTATATAGCAAAACAACGTTTGCCGGGTCAGCTACTAAATTCATAATTTGCAAATAAATACACAATATTGTCCACTATAATAAATCTAATTAAAAACTATAATATTTTTTTCGAATACCGGAAGCATCACAAATCACATAACGTATAAGTAAGTAATCGTGATTTTGCACGCAATAAAAATTTACTCGCATGCCAACGTGTTAGTCCCGTAAGCAATTCACCTATAAATCAAACTTGTCTAGGGCCTTGAACCAGTTTCTGCAATTGTATTCGGCCTCGTCAGCTAGGACTAGGCTTACTAAAAAAACCAATTTATATATATTTTTTTAGATGGTTGGACGAGCTCACAGCTCCTCTGGTGTTAAGTGGTTTTGACCATAAATAGTTACTAGTGAAAAAAAAATTATGTTTATTACCAGCTCGCGATTTAATAATTAATGTTCGATGTTGTAAATTAAACATTAATCAATTTAATTTCGAATAAATTTGAGCTCTTTTTCGCATAGCAAAACACAACATAAATACATTTTGTTTAAAATAATTTCATTGCCAACTAAAATAAAAGTCTTCCTTTCGTTCTGTGATTAACGTTCCCTTTTTGCAAAAAGGAAAGACTAAATAATTTTTCAATGATACTCTCGTAATTATATATCTAATGATCAACTCAATACAGTCAAGATTGCACAAAACCTTGGCATTTACTGAATATACATTACTACTTAAGCAATTCAATCAGCATCAATCAATTAGAAAATGGACTCTTAAACCCTTTGTTAAAAAATCTACACTTTGAACAAATAAGTGAAATTGCTAAATCATCAAAAATCTATTTATTTGTTTATCGCATAAAATTTGTAAAACTTTCGTTCATCGAAAAATGGCTTGCTAACAAAATCCCACTGATATTGTATTATCCGTATCGTTTTCTAAGAATACATTGAAATATGTACTCAACAAATGTTCACGATTGACTTCCACGGTGAAGGAATAACATCGTGTAATAAAAATTAAACGCGCAAAATTATAATTTGCGTAATTACTGGTGGTAGGTCCTCTTGTGAGTCCACGCGGGTGGGTACCACCACCCTGCCTATTTCTGCCGTGAAGCAGTAATGCGTTTCGGTTTGAGGGGTGAGGCAGCCGATATAACTATACTTGAGATCTTAGAACTTATATCTCAAGATGGGTGGCGCATACAGAAAACTGTATTCTGAGATTGTTTTATTGTTTCGACTAGGAACATAGTGTTTATTTAAAAACATGAAGTTTCAAATGAGATTCTGTAATTCTATTTGATTGTCAACGCAGATATGGTCTCTCTTACGAAGAGATTGAGAAAGGACTGCCTCTCATCGATACTTCCCGAACACTTATCAGAGAGGTTTGCCCTCCTGTGTTCTCGCACGTGGAATGCCGAGCTGGTAAATACAGAAGATTCGACGGACTCTGCAATAACCTTAAGCATCCTACTTGGGGTTCCACGAATTCGCCTTTCCAGAGGTAAGTGAGTCATATTGTTTTATTTGCTGACAATATTCAGGAGTACGTTATTTCAAACCAGTTAAACCCATATTTTAATAATGCAAAGGACTTTTCTGAATGGGAAGTTTTAATCGAACGCTGTATCATTGATGTAAACGAAAATTTCAAGACTAAATGTAACAATTTTTTTACTTTTAATAGTAATTTAGAACATATGATTTCTGTATACCACAAGAATTATTACTTTTAAATATAGCATGTTCTAGTTTTACCACGAAAACCTTTAGTATATTTCTATTGAATCCGAGTTTTATCTGTCTGCTAGGTAAAATAGGCTTTTCATACCCACCTTCCAGCCCATAAGATCAGCAGCCACTTTTTGCTTGTTTTGGTACCGACAACCATAGATATCAACAACGTACTTAACCTTGAGACATGAATTCTAGAACTCAGGTCTATAGTACAACATCTGCCCCACCCTTCCAACTAGAACGTATTACTGTTTTACAACAGAAATAAACGTGGACCTTTGTGGGCTCACACTGCGTCCTCCTACAAATCTCAGTACACTCCTCCTCATTCTCCGGTCAATCCGTGAATCACGCTTTTCACGACTCCTGAGAGATTGATCTTAATCTAGGTGGGCAGCACGACAACTATTGTAATACATTGTTGTTATGTAAAAGAAGGCAACATAATTATCAAGTATAATGATCAATTAACCATTAAAATTGGGTAAAATACAGCTACTTATTAAAGCAATAGTGTCTATAAAATACAAGACGCAAATTCCTCAAGATCTTATTTCGTCTGCAGGTTAATTGGTCCCCTGTTCTCTGATGGCATTAACGCTCCTCGTATTTCACACACTGGTCATGATTTGCCGCTATCGCGTGTGGTGTCCCGCACCATGCATCCGGACGACGGTTTCCACGACCACGCGGGCACCGTAATGGTCATAGCCTGGGGACAGTTCATGGACCACGATTATACACTAACCGGAACTCCATTAGGTAACAATAACAATATACATTTCGTGGTGGGTGTCATATTTTGAATTGTAGATTTATTATTATGACATATTAGTATGTAATCGAATTTCTAAAATTCGAAGTTTAAAATTAACAAACGTTGGTGAAATTTTTTTTCTGTGGTTCTAATGAATAATTTTACCGTTTAATGTTTCAATTCATTTACAGTTATTATAAAAACGTACTATAGAATATATATGAATAGAATATATATAATATATTATTATGTATGACGTTTGAGTACAATTTCCGAGGTGTTGAATTATCAATAGTTTTCTTGGTTACCGCTCGTGCTCGACTGATGGCAATTGGCATAAATTGTTTTTTTTAATTTTTTTATTGCCCTTGTAGGCAGACGAGCATACGGCCCACTTGAAGGTGAGCGGTTACCGTCGCCCATCGACTCCAGCAATGCCAGGGGCAGAGCCAAGCCGCTGCCTACCGAAATAACAATATTAAACCAAACAAATTAATCGATAATTGATTTTATCTTCTAGACCCGCTGAATCGTAACGACCCAGAAGAGTGCTGTAAACGTCCCTCGCATTTAAAGCATCCTTACTGTAACGAGATTCGCATACCCGAAGATGACTACTTTTATCGTCTTTTCGGCGTGAAATGCATAGACTTTGTGAGGGCATTCCCTTCGCCTAGACCAGGCTGCAGACTGGGTAAGAATTTTTTCTGTTTTTTTTTAGGTTCTCTGATCAGAAAGTATTTAATGATGATCAAATTGAATTGTAAACATAATAATTTTAACGCCAAATCTTATTGATATTTACTGTTGATAAAGATTATTGGGAGGCATCGCGGGCATCACCATTTTACTTGTGTCTAAAGCGAAACAGTCCTACGTTACAATTTGAGGAGTAGCGTGAATGTTGCTACTCAATTTTCGACCTTATGTCTCAAAGTGAGTTGTCAAATCGATTTTTTTTTTATTACTAAGATGGATGGACGAGCTCACAGCCCACCTGGTGTTAAATGGTTACTGGAGCTCATAGACATCTACAACGTAAATGCGCCACCCACTTCGAGATATAAGTTCTAAGGTCTCAGTATAGTTACAATGGCTACCCCACCCTTCGAACCGAAACGCATTACTGCTTCACGGCGGAAATAGGCGGGGTGGTGGTACCTACCTGTGCGGACTCCCAAGAGGTCCTACCACCAGTGATAAAATTAGGTTTCGAGTTACCATTTAACACTAAATGAACTTTGCTACCGCAATTAAATTATTTACGAAATTTCTAAGACCCTCAATCTAAGGTTCCCTCACAAAACGCTACATCAAAAGAGACTAGCAAAATTTTCAAAATTAATCCACTAATTAAACTTATTTATAGCGTTATTCAAATTGAACGCGTATTTACATACACGAGAGAAGCAGGATTGTGCTTACTAGAATCTGCCACACCTATGTAAGAGGCGAAAGTCAATCCGAAAGTTACGTGAAAAGCTTTTGTCCGAATTGTTACGCAATCTAGTGCACGATCGAGATTATCAGTGTTATCTACCAAAAAATGTGTATTCTCAGAAAACAGCACAAAAAATTAATATAGTATTGTACTTTCTCTCCTTCTCATAAAATGTTTGAGTTGAACACCGACCCTTGATTGGTGGTGTATAGAAACTACTAATAATTCATAGTAATAAGAAGGCAGCGGCTTGGCTCTGCCCCTGTTATTGCTGAAGGCCATGGGCGACGGTAACAACGTACCATAAGGTGGGCTGTATGCTCGCCTGCCTACACGGGCAATAAAAATAAATAGTTTTACGAATGAAGAACTTCTTCTATATTCTACCTCTAACCTTCTAAGAAGAAAATTGCGATTATTTTATTTTAAAATTCGACCAACGGAGTTTTAGTTAATTCGCTACGTATCAATACAATTTAATATCTATATTATGAACGTTTAACTTCAATAAATTGAACCAAATCCAATCGTATCGGTTACATGTTATTTCCCTAACAAGTTAACGTGAACCAAATTACTCGCACCGAAGGCTGTTCGCATATAAAGTTACAAGACTCGACCGAATGATATGTGACATTATGATTACGTATTATTAACTATACGTTTCTAAACAAACGCTCAGCATGTCGGATCTCATTACAATGTTATATATAGCTCAACCACATATCGACTAAATATCGATTAATAATATAGATCGGCCGATATAAGTTTTTTTTTTTCGAGAAGTGCAGAGATAGACGCGGGTTTTTGCCATTATAACACAGCATAGACTTAAAATTATAGGAAAACAAGTAACACGAATAGGAAAATGTGTATGAAAAGTTTATGTAAATGACAAACGTGTCAAAGCACTTGTTAGTTTCATTAAGCGTAATCGTATGCATGGATTTTGTATATAAATCTGTATAAGCCTATAATAATACGATGGGTGAACGAGGTCACAGTCAAACGGATGATAAGTGATTACCGGAGCACATTGACAATGTAAATGCCGCCACCCACTTTAAGACATGAGTAACGGATCGGAATAGCAGGTCGTTATTCCGATCCCTTAGGATCCTTCAGGTCTTCTTCGGAAGCACTTGATCAGCTGTTAGCAAATCCCATCCCTTCTGGATAAGCCCTTACGCACACCTATCCTATTGAAACTGGAAAGGACTACGCGCCATCAGTAATCCTTCCCTCCTAAATAACTAAAAAATGTAGCCCCATGGTAAAGTAATTCTAAATTATAAATAAAACAAGAGGACCTTCATCAATTAAGTAAAAGTATTTCGGAAACTTCTGTGTATTGGTGAAATTGCCGGTCACGTTAAAGAATCTTTGGGAAGGATTAGACGACAAAGGGAAGATCTTCCACCGAGCGGGTGACATTTGCTCGCTAGACCGACGGTCCAAATGTTGTTGTTCGGAACTTGTATATATGCGCTTTATCTTGAAAATGTCGTAAGCGAGATTCAAGCATCTGTCAATCATCTTGCGTTGTATGATGGCTACCCGCCACAAATCCTTTAAAGTTATTTAAATCGATCAATCAGCACGGGCAGCGTTAGTGGTAATTTAAAAATAATTTAACGTATTCGCCACACTATCGAAATTTATTCAAACATTGACAATATTAACTTTCTTTTATTCCTTTCACTAAAACGTATTAATTTCATATGAAGCTGTTGAAGTAATAGATACTCTCCGATGTGTCTGTATTTATCATTGGCTATTTCAAATTTTTTTGATAAAGTTATTCTCTACAATCGATATTAACACATTCTACATTCGTTTCGATATACTTTTATTACTTAAATGCATGAAAGAGCTTACAATATAAACTCCACTTAGTTCGATAGTACAACGGAAATAAACAAGAAAGAGTTACCTACCCATGCGGGCTGACAAGACTCTCTGCTACCGACTTTATGATTAGATAGAAGAAAATTTCTATCAATACCAAGCACCGTCCTTTCGTGTACAATTTTGACACTGCCGACAGTAAGCAATGGTAGCATTACTACTATTTATTAATTGGTTAAAGCACGATACAACAGGCAATGAAATATTCAGACTTAATATTTTTAAATTAAATTATAACAATTAAAAATATTCGTATATCTTCAAATAAATGTACTTTTTTTACTTCACGCAATATTTACTTACAGGATCCAGAACGCCTTTCAACACATTAACCGGAGTCATTGACGGTAATACTGTATACGGTATAACAGAAAAATTCTCAAGGTGACACTTTCACATTTATTCTACGTAATTGAATAAGAAATTCTCATTAACGGATGATACTGATACTTATCTGGGATTACAGAAAATTACGAACCGGCTTCGGAGGATTGCTACGAATGAATCCTGTGTTCCAAGAGTATGGTCTCAAGGACCTGTTGCCGCTAAAACTAGACATCCCCGATGAAGGATGCACAAGACCAAACAAGAACATGTACTGTTTTGAAGCAGGTATGTATTTTGAGCTTTCATAAATGGTTTAGTTCAGCTCAAAACATCCCTTGATTTGAAAAACCTTTTGATATATTTCACCTAGTAGCCATTTAATAGTTTATATCATTAATCTGTTATTTTATTACAACACTAGCTGACCCGGCAAACGTTGCTTTGCCATAAGTATACTATATTTCTAGGCAAAAAAATGTTTTTGGCTGGACCACCTTTACCTAATTGGTTGAGCCATTTCGGAGAAGTTTGGCAACAAACACTGTGACACGAGAATTTTATGTATTAAATTTAGAACAAGTACAATCACAAAAAAACTACAAACGTGAATAGATTTTTTTATCTGGGTCTGATTTCATACAAAACGATTAACGTCTGAGCTCTGCTAGACTTAGGTAGACCAAGTGTGAGTATATAAAATGTAAATTTATTAGTAACGCTTAAAATAAATCGCACATTGCGCAAAATTACACATTACCTAAACAATTTCAGGCAGCCTTCGTCTTGTTTTATTACTGTTATTACGTTCGGAAACAATTAACACGATAATTCATGATTTAAAAAACAACCGAGGTCAATTCCTTGACGTTTATCTGCCTTCAAACTAGGATTCCCTATGGGAACCAGAGAATGACTACTAATATACAGTATTTTCCTACGTTTATGCGTGTCGTAAACATAATTAAAACTATTTTTATGACTTAATCTCGCATTTTTTTTATCGCAATCATGTTCTTTCCGACATTCTGAATGGTTTACAGTACACCTAGTCCGTGACCCGAAAACTATAGCCTTTGGAACGTCACAAATAATACAATGACGGTTAAAACTCGAGATATTAAACACTCAAAGTGCAAACGTTTGACAGCGCGACTTTATAATTAATTCCAGGCGAAATCCGTGTAAACGAGCAGCTGGTTTTGACTGTGATGCACACGCTGATGGCGCGTGAACACAATAGGATCGCCAAAGCCCTGGCTGAAGTCAACCCTCATTGGGACGACGAAACTTTGTTCCAAGAGACGAGAAGGATCAACATCGCGGAAATACAACATATAACTTACAACGAATTCTTGCCTATTCTGCTCGGTAAAGACGTCATGGAGAAATTTGGCTTGGTGCTTGAAAAGGATGTAAGTAAATACATTTATTTATCTTAAATTTGGATAAAACGGAAACTTCTCGAAACATTTACGTTTTGGCAAAAATGTATTCATAAAACGTTTATTGAACATAATCATTTTACAATAGTAAATAAATGTTATCGACGAATGCTTAATTTGACTGAGTTGTAAATTTTGTACTGAGGTCTTTGAATGGAAAGACAAAAGGTCAGATTTTTATGCAATTATTCTCGTAAGCGTGTAGGTAATCCATCTAATGTTATATTAATTATCAACTGTGTTATTAAAAAAAAAATTTATAACAAACTACATAATACAGTTTATCACCATATTAAAAAGATACAAAACCGCTTATCTTATAGCAAACTAGAGGGACGTAAAATAAATATTTATTAAACTCTATGGTCAATCGTCAACAGACGTAATTTATAATAACCAGGAACATATCACGCTCGGTCATCCGGCCCCAAATTAAGATTTCCTGTGCTATGGGCACCAGAGACTGACATAGATACTTATATGCGTCTAAATATATACATTATATAAAAAATAAACACCAAAAATAAGGCAAACAAACCTTTTCGTCATACGAATGTTTGCCCGATGTGGGAATCGAACCCGCGACCCTCGGCGCAACAGTCAGGGGCGCTAGATACTGCACCATCGAGTCAATCAGTAGAAAACTGATTTACATTTTAGGGTTACTGGGACGGCTACGACCCAGAAGTGAATCCCGACGTAATAGACTCGTTCGCGGCCGCCGCGTTCCGCTTCGGTCACTCGCTGTTGCCAACCGCCGTCGAGAGATGGTCGAAGGCCCACAAATTTATCGGTAACTACAAAATCCATAAAGCTTTTCTTTTTATGCTTTTATTACTATATCTTGCCTCTCTTAGACTGTTAAGTATAATATTTTAAGTCTCTCTTAAGTTCTTATATCTATTTATGAGTATATCTGTAAACTGTATATATTTTAGCGATATTTTTGTGTGTATGCTGTGTCTGTTTATTTTTACATTTAGGTATATATTCTATTTTCAATAAAGCTATGCACCAACTACTACACTCTCTAAAACACTGTTGGTTGATTAGCAAAGAACGCCTTAAACATTAACTTGTTAAGTTCACCACTAAGCACTCTATATGCTTAATTTAAAATAAATAAATATATGTGCCTATATCCATTAATAATGCTGCAAAATTCATACACCTAAATTGTATATGTAAAATAGAACACTCCAAATTAGTTTTTATTGCTAGTAGGTAGGTATTGAATATTCATCTAAGCAATACCGCGTTACAATTTACGTTACGTCATTTTAGCTTCAAAACGACTATCGGACCTGATCCGTCGACCATACGACCTGTACCGGGCTGGAGTGCTGGACGAATACGTCATGGGGTTAATGAACCAAGTGGCGCAGGCCATGGACGACTCCATCACTCAGGAGGTCACGAATCATCTCTTCAAGAAAGTCGGTGCCCGTTTCGGAATGGACCTGGTCTCGTTTAACATGCAAAGAGGTCGCGAATTCGGTTTGCCCGGCTACATGGAGTTCAGGAAGTTCTGCGGTCTCCCCGGAGCGGAAACCTTCCAGGAGCTGTTCGGTTCCATGACCAATCACACCGTAAGGAAATACGAAACGATCTTCGAACACCCTATCGACGTCGATCTCTGGTCCGGTGGTGTATCAGAAAGACCTCTACCGGGTTCGATGTTGGGACCGACATTCGCTTGCATTATCGCAACGCAATTCTCGTATTCGAGACGCGGTGACAGATTCTGGTAAGATATTTAATTGTATTTTATATTTATTACTAGCGACCCGGCCTCGCTTCGCTTCGGAAACATTAAATTCTATTATTAATGGCAGAGTCCCGCGATGTTACCCGCGGTTATTTTCGTACCGCGGGTAACGCCGCGGGGCGAAGTTAGTCTAAAAAGCCTAAGTTACTTTTTAGATCATCAGCTATCTATCAGTGAAAGTCTCATCAAAATCGGTCCAGCCGTTCCAGAGATTAGCCGGAACAAACAGACAGACAGACAGACAAATATTTTTAAAAATGTTATTTTGATGTATGTACCGTATATACATTCATATGCACATAATAAAAAGCGGTTATTTCAATGTTACAAACAGACACTCCAATTTTATTTATATGAATAGATTAATTACCTTCTGTTTCATTATAAGTACGTAAATATTAAACTATTTTAGAATAATTACGTACTTAGTGAGTACTACTATCATTAAATACAATGACATTCACTGTATGTATACATTTCTTTTTGGAACGCATTTTGGTTCGTAAAGCTAGGCAGCGGCTTGGCTGTGCCGGTGGCATTACTGATCCATGAGCGACGTAGCTACCAATTAGGTGGGCCGTATGTACTCGGTGTTAAGTGCTTACCAGAGCCTATAGACATCAACAACATATATGCTGCAACTCAGCTCAAACATGAGTCCTAAGCCTAACTTTTACATTTCACGGCTGCCCCACCCTTAAAACCCATTACTGCTGACGGCAGAAATACGAAGAGTAGTGGTATCTACCCGTGCGGGCTCACAAGACGCACCACCCCCAGTATTTTTAATAATACGCTCAATTACTTTAGCTAGAATTCATTCTTCAAACAAATGTACAAAAAAAACCATAGTAATAGTACAGTAATGGCCTTTAGGTTGTATTTACCGTGAGGTTTTGTTAGTACTAAGTACCTAGTATTTCATGTTTTAAATCGGTTTTATTTTTCTAGGTTCGAACTCCCAAACCAGCCTTCATCGTTCACGCCGGAACAACTAGCCGAGATAAGGAAGGCGCGACTCGCCCGCGTCATCTGCGACAACACCGACATCATCGATACCGTGCAGCTCTACCCAATGGTGTTGCCCGATCATGAACTGTAAGCTTTTTATTTTATTTTTGTTGCTTAGGTGGGTGGACGAGCTCACGGCCCATCTGGTGTTAAGTGGTTACCTGGTCTCAGTAAAGTTACAACGGCTGCCCCACCCTTCAAACCGAAACGCAATACTGCTTCACGGCAGAAATAGGCAGGGTGGTGGTACCTAACCGTGCGGACTCACAAGAGATCCTACCACCAGTAATTACGCAGATTATAATGTTGTGGGTTTGATTTTTATTACACGATGTTATTCCTTCACCGTGGAAATCAATCGTGAATATTTATTAAGTACAAATTCATTAGAACAATTAGTACTTGCCTGCGGGATTCGAACACTGGTGCATTGCTAGATACGATGCACCGGACGTCTTATCCTTTAGGCCATGACGAAATCAAACAAGCTGAGAGAAACTAAAATTTTAAATTAGTTTTTCAAATAGTTCACGGCATCCGTACCCACTGAGTATCTCTCCAAATCTTCTCAGAGGGTCGCAATTCCGATTCGGTGGTAGATTCTGAGAACCAATCTTCTTGTTATGTCTCTCAAGCTGAGCCCCGTGAGCTCGGATACCCATTGAAGATGGAGCCCTTCCAGGCTACAAGAAATTAGGCATTTAAAAAAATGTTTCCGTAAATACCAAAACATGACTTCTGCCGTCGACTTATTAGACAAAGGATATATATATATGTATATATCTTACTAACTTACTATAATAATATAATTACATTCATGTCTTAAAATAATTTTCAACTCTATTATGCTACTTCTTGAACACGAAAACTTATGAATTGACTTCAGCTTTATACATACCGCCTGTCACATATCTAGCACATTCGTCTTTTCGCATTAAAAGTGTACAATTTCCAAAAATATTCGAAATTGAGTTAATATGCGGAATCATTTGGTATCACTAGTATTTTTCTCATAAATACTGTCAAAAGAGCGCAGTTTAGTTTTAGTTTTTTTTTTTTAGTTTACCTAGATTTTGACTACTATTAACAAAATTAATACATAATTTTATCTTACTTTAAAAGACAGATACATAATGTAATTGGTAAACGAAAAAAAATGTTGCAAAGATGATTAATATTAAAAATATCACATGTTAAACCTTTAAAACACTCTCTTGTAAAATTAGTAAGTTTTGATAATATACAGGTTTAATGTGAGATGACGAATTATGTATGTTACATTGTTAATGTATTCAAATATTTAAAAAAAAAACATTCATGAACATTCTGTTGATATTATTGATTGAAATTATTCCATTTCCAGGAACCCGCGTGTGGCTTGCCGCAGCGGTATTTTACCAAGCATGGACTTCAGCAAATGGGCGGAGCCCGTTCCCTTCCACGGAACAGCGAAACAGTTCGTGAGTAGCTTCTCGTACGACCCATTCTTAGGGAAGAAGTAAATGCACCGAGCACTTGTAGTGAATGGTACTAGTTTAGTTCTGCTGTTAGACAAGTGACGTCATAACATTCTATAATAAACATATTAGGCTTATTCCTGTAAGCTGTAACATCTTCACGTAATTAATCGGTTTAAACGTGTTTTTTTTTTCAATATTTTTATACGTTCTTGAATATGAATTAATCATCTTTCTTTGTGTCTGACACATGTCTGTAGACATGTCAATGGTCCATAAAATAAATAATGTAATATAAAAAGTAAAAGTGCGGTTCTTTCTTTTGATAATTTGATAAACCGTTTTAGTTATAACGTCACTTCGCTTAACTAAAACACAGATATATTATTTAATAATTTGTATAGTACCTACTTAAATAAAAGATGTATTTGAGAGCCCATCACACTAGCTTTAAGATCTTTAAGAGATATTTTCGTAGTAGACTCGCTTATAGAACAGACATTCAGTTTGAAATGTACATGTAATTATGTCGTAGATGTTGTTTTATCTGTTTAATGAAAAAAAATCCTTTTTTTTGAAATACCTACTTTTTATGAAATATTAGGTTTTTTTTTTGTTCTATTAAAAACTTAAACGTACAGTACATGCTGACAGTACTTTGGCACTACGACATAATAGCATCGAAGCATTCATTGTTCATTTGACACCAAGTGGTCATGTAGTTGTAGAAAACTGTTTTATGTAGAACTAGAATTGAAATGTAGATTTAGTGTAAATACGTATTTAATGTTTAATAAGGTATCGTGAAAAAAATTAGAATTGGAATAAAAATGTAATCTAGCTGAAGGGAAAGTAATGGAAATATTTTAATTTGACATACTTAGACATAAAAATACATGTACCTATTACTTCGTAGATCAACTAAAAAAAGACAAACTGTTTTCATTGCTATTATTGAGCTTTCATGACTCTATTTAATTCAAACTGTAACGAAATTTAAATATGTATAGCAGTTCTAAATTTCTACGTTCTTTCTAACTAGCGCCAATACCTACTTAACTTCCAGACTAACTATATTTAATTATAGATTTAAAAACTCAAATTAAATTACGTTTTTAAATAAAATGTAATGTAATACCAGATTAAGTTAATCATAAGTCATTATAGATTCATTAAAAATCATTGCTTAATAGTTTTCGCGAATACAAACACACATGAAAGCCAATAAAAACACTAAATCGGTTCGTTAGAGTTGGGAACAACTAAACATAATAAACTTCTAAAAAAAAAAACTATGGAGTCTAGAGCCACAATACTTTTAATTTTTATAAATTATTAAAAAAGAAGCGGCCAACTAACCGTACCTAAATTGCTAAAAAATAACGGTAATGCATTAAAAACTCCACGTTGATATTTAAAGAGAATGAATTTCAATATTTACTGAATTGTTCTAATGATGTTAATAAAAGTCGCGATAAAAACCGACAACTTTATTTTATTTAAAAACTAGTGAAATCTCACGACCTTCCGAATCACACTTTACAATTGCTGAATACATATTAAAGAAAACGCCCATTTGTTGAAACCAGACGCGCGCCAACTTAAACCAAACTCGGAATAGATTACAACAACCAATTTATTTTAAGACTAATTACATTAGAACATTTTCATAAAATAACATCATTCTTCTGTCTATATACGAGTAAATAAACGTATTTGTCTCTAAAAGTCAAAAAAAACTAGGTTAGTTATTTATAAAAAATAAATAGGTTATTATACATTGTACAAAATAATATTAACGGATGGCTTAGCTTAATATTAATGCTTCATTGCCATATTTTATGTTTTATTGTATAAACAGTTAAGATCACCGATTTTTTTTAATAATTGCATTTCTGTGATGCGCCCTCTTTTTAACCGACTTGAAATAAAAGTAATTTTAAAAGAGTTTTAATAACTTTTGACAAACAAATATTCCGCATAATCGCAATTATTCACTAAATAGTCCATTTCGTAAATCAAACAACGGACTTTGGATTTCATTTTTTTTAAAAGAAATAAGAAAGTTTTAGTTTCTGTAATTCACTATCGCAACGTTATTAAAATTTTGACGGCACATTCATATTTATAATATTGTAAATGTAAAAATAGTTTTATTGTTAAATCTAGTGACATAATAATATGCATCTCAAACCATCAAAAAATAAAACAACACATGTAAACTGAAAAAATTTAGAGTAGCAAATAAAATTAAAATTTTGACAAACACTAAATATTTCGTTAAAATACCTCTAGTTTTTGGAAGCATAATTAAACTTCACTGAAGATCACCTATTAGGTGCTTACTTTATAAGTTTTTGTAAATTAATATGTATATCATTAAAATTCTGGAACAATCGTTGATCTGAGACGTTGCTTCTCGTAAATTTAATATTTTGAAAAAAAAAACATTGTATGCAAATAAACTATAATAAAATTATAGAACATATGTAAATACAGAAGTAATAAAAATTTGGATCGGTGTATGATGTAGTTTTATTCTTTTATAGTTCTAGTACTATTTTATCGCCACTCTTTGTAGTTTTAATTTAGATATGAAGAAAAACACTACTAAATTAATGACAAAATTTTTGCATGTATAATAGTTGAATTGCTATTTCTATAAAGTAGTTTAAATTTATTGCACAATAAATCAGCTTACGGTAAGCTTGGTCGTATTTAATTTTTTAAACATACATATATCATTATTAATATTGATATTAAAGAACTACTACAGTTGCTTGTTTTTATACATTTACAGAATACTGACGCAATTGTTACTCAATTCAACGGTACAAGTGAAAATCAAGAGACAATAAAACTTGATAATAAGTCTCAGGAGGATTCTAATTATAGTTGCAATCAATCTGCTAGCAATGAGGTGCTATCTCACCTCAATAAAAATAATGAGACTGTTCAATTATTTAATGGAAGCGATTGCACTGAAGATAAATCTGGGAATCAGTTAAATTCTGTACCAACTTCACAAAATAACCTTAAGCAAAACAAACACGAAATACCGGATAGTAATACTTTACTGAAATATGTTTACAAACAAGAACATAAGATGAAGGAACCCAAAAAGCCCAAAGGTGTTGCCGCCAACCGTTTAAGACGTCGAAAGCGAATGATAACTGGTATAAATAAAAATGAACTCGTCAACAATAATAAAAAACCTCCCCTCATAGTAAATTATGAAACTTCTCATGGCATCAAAAATATCGAAACAACTTTACCAGCTCGTCTCACCGAAAAAACCATTCAACCAAAAAATTTGGCAGATTTTAATATCGAAACATTGCATGAAAATAAAAATAACATGAAAGAGGATTTTTTGAAAACAAACATTGATCTGAATAACAAACCACGCATTTTTAGTCCTAGCGTGAATCAAAGAGGAAACAATCGTTACAAAGGTCCTTATTTAACTACAAATCAACCACTACACACTAAAGGAAATGAACAAAATAAAGATTACAGTAAAAATCAACAGGCAAGTAGTGAATTAGATGAATCTCGGGAAAAAAATGAAGACTATGAAGATGATGATGATGATGAAGACGGTGAATCGAAAGAAAAAAATAAAAAAGAGAAATACGAAGATTTATCGGAATCATCAGAAAATACTAATAATCAGTATAATCATGAAAGTGGTGCTAATTCAGACGAAAGTAAAGAACATACTGAAAGCGATGAAATAAAGTTGAAATCCGTTAAACTTCTTGACGAGAGTCGTGAGAGTGACCAAGACAATTCCAAGGAATATCCAGGTAAAAAAATACAAGAATTCTACGATGGCCGTGATTATAAAAAATTGCAACTTAAACATCCAAAATCCCCTAACTCGAGTGAACAAAGTAATGAGACTACAGAATCAAATGAGCAATTACCAAATCGAGATAACGCAGAAACAAAAGTGAAATTAAATAACAATACGAAGATACCTCTGCAAGATGTCAATTTGGATGATTTCAGCTATGAAAGAATTCAAGTAAACAAAAAAGGTGAAGTAGAAGTTCTCGAAGATAATGTAGAAAATTTAGAACGTGACGACCATTCCAAACCAAATTCTTCAAAGCCTTTAGTAAAAATAGGTAAATACGATGCATCTAGTTCAGCAGAAGATGTATCATCTAGTATTGAAACGAATCACGAAAATAACGTGCAAATTAAAATAAATGATGGAGAAATTAAGCCTGTTGTGGAAATTAACCCTGAAAATGAAAGTATCGAACTAATTGAAAACAACATGAAAAAACCCTTAAAGGCATTGCTTGGTGGTAATGACGAGAGCTTAGAAGCAATGCTTGAAATAAATAAAGATACTAATGATAAAATAATTGTGAACAAAGAAACTGAAGACAATGAGGAGGCTAAGCAACAATTTGAGAGGATTCCTTTGGATTATAAGCACGACGACAACAGAAAGGAACCAAAATCTGAAGAGACTGAAAAATTAGATGATAATGAGGGTACCCTTGATACATTTTCTCCTATTGAAAACTACGACGAAAATTTAAACATTAAATTTGATGATGTTTCAATTAAATTACCAGAAATAAAATTACCCGATGATATTTTAACTTATACACAAGAACCTGTCTACGATTATGGAAAGCAAAAGGATGCGGAAAAAGGAAAGTTTTACCAATTCAATGACGATCAGTATAGTGACGAAAACGAAAAAGATACTCCCAAAGAGGATAATACCGATTACCCTAACTATTACGGATATTATGACGAACAAAACAAAAAGCAAAACTATAAAAAAAAAGATAATACTGAAGATGCTGAAGAAAATTATGATGACGATGACTTATATGAAAAATTTGTTCGAGAGAGATTTGGTAAACGAGGATCATTTGAAAAACGAGCTGAAAAATTACAAGACTCTAAAAGCAAGTCGTTTTATAATCCGAAATTGTACGAAACCATTCAGAATATTCTAAAAAAAACTGAAAATATAGAAAAAAATGCACAACAAAGTAAAGATCCGAAGGCGGGTTACATGTGGACCCTAGAATATGGCGAAAACGCGTAGATTAACAATTAAACACCAACTACATTTAAACTATGTACCCTACTGATTATTTTTAAGCTATTAATAAATATAATTAACCAATTTAGATGTTAGTTAATTTTAATGAATTATGAAAAATCTAATAATAAATTATTTTAGTAGATACATTAATGTTTCACTTTTCAATTTTTTATTAAATTAAATACTTACTTAAATACTCCCTTCGAAATGACTTATCCACCAACAAATAATAATTTAAAAGAACTAAAAAAATACGCTTTTATAGAAAATCCAACTAAAAAATAGAAATTTCTTTTAATAAATTGGAATTAAAAATAGTGTTAGAGAGAAGAATGATTTTATTGTAAAAAAGCGTGGGGTGTATGGTATCAATAGTTATAAATATTTTATGAACAGATATCTTCAAGTTATTCAATACCGTTTTTGCAGGATAGCTGTTGGAGCACCATTGTTCCTAAGGAACATGGATCTCCATGATGACCTGGAGCTTGACTCAGCCAGTAAGTATCTACAGTCGGCATCATTGCGCCACTTTGAGAAAACAGCATGACATACACGGACCCTCTTGTCGTGGCCACTGGGAATTACATACCCGATTCTGTAGACCGAATGGTAAACCGTCGAGGTCGCCAAAAACACGTCATTACGGATCCTCCCGATCCATGAACGGTGCTTTTAGGTACTACAAGCACCGGACACCGTCCTCGTCGAACCTATTGCTTGCGACGAAGGGCTCGACGAGCGAATTAACCAATAGACACAGCCTCCACTGAGTTTCTCGCCAGATCTTCTCAGTGGGTCGCGTTTCCGATCCGGCGGTAGATTCTGCGAAGCACTGCTCTTGCTAGGGCCAGTGTTAGCAACACTCCAGTTTGAGCCCCTTGAGCTCACCTACATGTTAGGGCGAAGATGAAATAACCACTCTAGGCTATCCGCATAGGTAGGAAAAAAATAACACAAGGGCTATTTTGATAATATCCTGAAAATCAGTTCTAATTAAAAAAGTTTTCCTGGCCACGAACGATGAACGCGAACTTAACATAATGACAATAAAAATTGTGATAGTAAACCGGACCCAGCGGGTGCAGGTTTTCTTTGGTTCGCCCGGTAAGTCTAGAGTCTAATGCCCGTATCTTTAGACGTTTCGTAAAATAGTCCTCCACTCTTAACTCATCCGATGATGCTCGAGAATTCCCTCCAAACTTACTCGAGTTTGGTATTTTTGAGTCGTCTATTATCAAAGGTGGCAATCTGTGCATTTGGACAAAAAAATGTTATTGATATGTCAATACAGATTGATTTGAATATAATCGTCTTCTTCAAAGAATACGGTTCAAAACCTGCATTAAATAAAGGTTAATAGTTAACCTGTTATTTATCTAAGATGTCGTTTCCAAGAGTTTTGTGACTGCCAATGGAATACAAAGTCAATAATTCGTTTTTCTGATTTACCAATAATTGTCCAAAAGTCAGATTGCCGGCTTTGATAATAGTCGACTCTTTTAGTCGACCATTACAATATTCCTCAACTGTCCTCGAATGAGGTAATAATGATGAAAATTTGATCAAGCTAGCATCAAACCCATAGAGTTCTGTAGTCTATGGTCATTGTTTAATGTCAAAATCAAGCTGCCGCTGTCTGTTTGACACTAGATGAACTTGTTTGATGTTTTGGTTGCTGAGTTATTCGTAAATATGTGTGCGTGCGGTAAATCTGAAAGTGTATTATTTATTTTCTAACCTATTATTATTTTAGATTTCGGATCCGGCTTTGTATTTTTATTCGCCGCTTTTGTGTGATTTTGGTTGCATCGTGTTGTTGAACTGCTTTTCCACAACTACCAGTTTATTATTATATAAATAAAACATAATCGCATTGAGTTTATTTATCAGGTAGTAAGCAAAATATGTATCTTATGTAGGTAAATAAAATAAAGAGTTTCAAATGTCTAACCTCGAACTATTTACTTTATTAATAAATATTATCAAACTTAAATTATCAAAATATGCGGGAATCATGCACAGATCCAGGCCATTGCACAACAATATCATATATTTCCATTTGCGGTCCACATACTATTTGGACATTGATAGAAAACCAGCCTTGAGGAACGTTCAAGGTACGTCGCGACGTACCTTGACTTGACAGTTCGCTTACTTCACTCCGGTTAGGAAAATTTTCCAAGGACGTTTGAGTGGAGTTTATTTTTACGACTAATCATACCAATGCCCGTATCTTTAGACGTTTCGTAAAATAGTCCTCCACTCTTAACTCATCCGATGATGCTCGAGAATTCCCTCCAAACTTACTCGAGTTTGGTATTTTTGAGTCGTCTATTATCAAAGGTGGCAATCTGTGCATTTGGACAAAAAAATGTTATTGATATGTCAATACAGATTGATTTGAATATAATCGTCTTCTTCAAAGAATACGGTTCAAAACCTGCATTAAATAAAGGTTAATAGTTAACCTGTTATTTATCTAAGATGTCGTTTCCAAGAGTTTTGTGACTGCCAATGGAATACAAAGTCAATAATTCGTTTTTCTGATTTACCAATAATTGTCCAAAAGTCAGATTGCCGGCTTTGATAATAGTCGACTCTTTTAGTCGACCATTACAATATTCCTCAACTGTCCTCGAATGAGGTAATAATGATGAAAATTTGATCAAGCTAGCATCAAACCCATAGAGTTCTGTAGTCTATGGTCATTGTTTAATGTCAAAATCAAGCTGCCGCTGTCTGTTTGACACTAGATGAACTTGTTTGATGTTTTGGTTGCTGAGTTATTCGTAAATATGTGTGCGTGCGGTAAATCTGAAAGTGTATTATTTATTTTCTAACCTATTATTATTTTAGATTTCGGATCCGGCTTTGTATTTTTATTCGCCGCTTTTGTGTGATTTTGGTTGCATCGTGTTGTTGAACTGCTTTTCCACAACTACCAGTTTATTATTATATAAATAAAACATAATCGCATTGAGTTTATTTATCAGGTAGTAAGCAAAATATGTATCTTATGTAGGTAAATAAAATAAAGAGTTTCAAATGTCTAACCTCGAACTATTTACTTTATTAATAAATATTATCAAACTGAAATTATCAAAATATGCGGGAATCATGCGCAGGCAAATTATCAAAATATGATCCAGGCCATTGCACAACAATATCATATGTTTCCATTTGCGGTCCACATACTATTTGGACATTGATAGAAAACCAGCCTTGAGGAACGTTCTAGGTACGTCGCGACGTACCTTGACTTAACAGTTCGCTTACTTCACTCCGGATAGGAAAATTTTCCAAGGACGTTTGAGTGGAGTTTATTTTTACGACTAATCATACCAAAACGCGCGTTGGAGGTTGAGTCGAGTCGAGTTATGCTCGTGTAAACGACTGAAGATACGGGTGTAAGTCTAAAATTATGGAGCTGGGCCTCAAGGTGGCGCTCAAGGAAACCCAGGACCTGTTGCTTTACAGGCCTCGAAATCCGCCACCGTCGCCGTGTTGCCCATCTCGTTAACTATGACATCCGCATCGTAGTGGTGGTGCAACTTTAGTACCCCCAAATGGAGGCTCGTGGCAACATTGGTCGTCATTTCGAAATCGGCCCCCGCCTAATAACGACGGCCGGCTTTGTGACGATAGCTATCATACAACGCAAGATATTTGACAGATACCTGAATCTTGTTTACGATATTTTCAAGACAAGCTTCCATTTAAACAAGTTCCGAACAACAACATTCAGACCGTCAGTCTACCGAGCAATATCATCCGCTCGGTGGAAGATCTTCCTTTCGTCGTTTAAGCCTCCACAGGCTTCCTTCAAATATCAATGTTCCACAATGTTCTCATGACAATGTACAAGACTCCCCTATGGTTCGCTGCTGAATAGGAGTGAAGACGGAACCTCTGCGAAAAGTGCGTACTGGCCTTGTTGGACTCGTAATTTATAGTTTTTTAATTTGTTAATCTGTTTCACGTGACCGAGTGAAAGGGATGCTCTCGAACTCATCATTAAAAATTAAGAAAATCTGTTAAATATAGTCGACGTGTGTATGATCCCAATAATTTGCGATAGAAAGAAGTTCAAGAAAATTCACACAACGAACAGTACGTAGTGACACTTGCAATTTTTTGTGTATTATCTATGGTTAATTTCAAAATCAATGACAGACAAATGACAAAACCATAGAGAATACACACATAACCCATAGATTATACACTTAATATATTTGAGACATAACCTCAATTAAAATTTTTGAGCAGGTGAAAAAAAACGGAAAAGATTTCTGTATTAAACTGTTTATTTTCTATCAAATCATACCTTGACTGAAACACAATGGCGGAAGAAATACAAAAAAAGTTTCAAAAACAGCTCGAATTATTTCAAGGTGTTCAAAAAGACATAAAGAAAGCGGTCACTCAGAAACAACAATTAGACAGCCAGTTAAATGAAAATAAAGCAGTCAAAGAGGAACTAAAACTCTTAAGAAAAGATTCAGAGGTATACAAACTCATCGGACCCGTATTGGTGAAGCAAGATTTGGAAGAAGCCAGACAAAACGTCTCCAAACGTATGGAGTACATTAGCAAAGAAATCAAAAGAACAGATGATCACATATGTGCTTTAGAAAACAAACAAGAAGCACTGCAAGAAAACTTAAATAAACTTAGAAATGATCTTGGCAAACTAAAACTAAAAGCTTGAAAAATGTGTGAATTAAAAGTAAAATATTTCTATTCTTCTATTATGACTCACTTGTATGTTTAGAGAACTACTATTACAAATAAAAATATTACACATTAATAATTTAATGTATGTTTAGCTATGCAATAATCATGAAAAAACTGCTGTGTGGCATTACACTAAACTTACCTCTTCCTTTTGTTAACTCAATATAAAAATAAAAAATCTTACTGAAAGTAAGTTTTTATTTTACTGCCATTGCAGGCAGATGTTTGTGGCCCTCCTGATGTCACCATCACTCATAGACATCAGATATGCCAGGAGCACAGCCAAACTGCTGCCTATTATTTACTTATTATTTATTTTCAAAACTAAAATATTTTGTTACTTGTACATATTTATTTTTGTGTGTATAAGCTGAAAGTTTGCAAGGTAATTGACGGTATAATGAGTACCATTAGTTTTGAAACCAGATTCATCTTAGAATAATTGTTCGCTTCTATTACCAGTAGTTTTGTATATTAACCTAAAACCATGTGACAATCTAAAAAAAATTGGGTATTTTTTTGTTTTTAAATACCTATTACAAATGTTATGTATTGCATTTGTATACAAATGGTCGGCATAATTTAAGCTGGCAGTGGAGAAAGTGCACAAATGTAATTTAATAAACTTATTCTAATTATGTTTCCAATGATTTATTCAATAATTAATACTGCTCATACAGAATACAGGCATAAAAAAAATTGTGTCTTGAATCTCAACATAGTGCAACTTAATCACGTTCAAGATACACATTCTCCTGCATTGTGCTACTTAAAGCTAAAGGCATTGAAGTTACAATGTGTCAGTATAAAAAAAATACACAGTTATAAGCTTTTGTACCCAATTTAAGAATTATATTGTTCCTAATGCATCTCAAGAAACTGTAACTTTAGTATTAATAAAGTTTGTAACCTTCTAAAAAAAAAATTCCTTTTCTTTTTATGCAGTCTACATTTCTTGAGTCACTGTGAATCATTACTGAATTTGGATATCATCCATACAGTTCTCTGCGACGATGCCTTTTTGAACGCAAAGAGCTGCTCATGGTGAGCTTCTTGTGTTTACCTGACCAACCTGAAGAAGATGCCGGACTTCTTGAAGGAGCTGGGATAGCACTTGTAGATCACTCCGGCCAACAACCAGCGCTGGTTAAAAGCTCAAGCTGTAGAGAACAGCCTATCTGCCATCTACAATATCATAAAGTGCTAAATTTAAATCGACGCCTGGATTACAGTAAAAGTATTTATCTCTATAAAACTCCACAATATTACGAAAACCTTCGTAATAAGGTACCTACAAAACTTGCATACGCCCGGTCATGACGCAAATGTAGTGTTCCCTCAGGCAATAATTTGAAACCCCTTCAAGCACTGTGGTTTTTAAGGAATGTGGTTCTCCATGATGACCTGGAGCTTGACTCAATCACTAAATTTAAACAGTCGGAATCAATTCGCCACTTTGAAAAGACGATACGACACGAAAACACTCTTGTTGTGGCCGCCGGAAATTACATACCTGTGGACCGAATGGTAAACAGTCGACGTCGGATCCTCCCGATCCATTAACGGTGCTTTTAGGTACCTCAAACACCGGTCACCGTCCTCGCCGAACCCATCGCTTGCGACAAAGGGCTCGGCGAATAAATTAATCCATGGACAAAGCTCACCGAGTTTCTCGCCGGATTTTCTCTGTGGGTCGCATTTCGGATCCGGTGGTATATTCTGCGAAGCACTGCTCTTGCTAGAGCCAGTGTTAGCAACACCTCCGGTTTGAGCCCCGAGAGCTCACGTACGCGTTAGCGTAACTCTGATATAGCCCTAAGGCTATCATCATATGTAGGGGAAAAAAAGCTACGAAAATGATTACATACTTAATGATATTTTAGCAAGAGCACTTGACCTTTGTTGTAATTTCATGTCGTCCAACCGTTATTGAATTGAATTATTATGGTTTTAATGAATTTCGGCTAGATGTGAATATCATTAAACTTATATCCAGATTAAATTTCATTGAATGTTAAAAGTGAAATTGATCACTGACATCAGTTCTGGTTTGTAGAATATCTTGTGTTTTAACTTGATTTAATGTAAAATAGTTATAAAATATAAAACGAGATGGACCGACGACCTGGTAAGAACCGCTGGGTCACGTTGGATGCAGGTGGCAACGGACCGGCCGCACTGGAGATCACTTGGATAGGCCTATGTTCAGCAGTGGACAATGGACAGGCTGAGATGATGATGATGAGATGAGTTATAAAATTAGGTATTAAAATTTCATTAAATATGTAATAGCTTTATTGGAAAAATATAAAAATATATCTAATGGCACTTACAAAGAATGTATAGACATTTTCAATATTTTTTAATCCTATTATATCTTAAAATAGAAATTACGTACGTACTACTATTATACTACTTAGTACCACAATTTTATCCAAATGACGATTTTATTATTACTTTATCAATAAATACTGGTCTTTTTCTTAATATAATACTTTTAGATTGAAATATAATCAATCATATATCATACTATTTTACAAACGTACAATAGGTAATAAATGCTCGTGTGTATTTATAATACGGTTTTATGGACTATCTATATTTTATCTATCTACCTTGTAAATTAGGTTATAATATTATTTATAAAAAATAGTTAATTCAACTTAACACTTATGTATTATGGTCCCCTGAGTTTACATGTAAGTTCAACGTTTCATTTTGGCACAAATTTAAAAATAGAAATTTGATACATAAAACATTTTATATGTATACTACTAACTATAAAATTTTAAATATATTTTATAAGTAAACTATAAAATTTTAAATGTCTTTTATAATTATTGATATAATATGTATAAACGAGTATAAAACGGTGTATATACTTTGTGACCCTTAAGAAATCTAGTGCAAGCTGATTTACTTAATTTTGCTCTGTACACATGGCACACTGCAAAATGGCATTTCTTGTTTAACAACGAAGCGACCGCTGAGTAAGCTTTTACCGCACATTCGACCGGAACATATAAAGCAATTGGCATGCCAATGCATGTTACTCCACGAAACCCCCTGTTGTTCAGGCCCAATAACACCTCCACAGGCGCGACAACGCTCTGCATAGAACTGATCGTAACACGACAAACATATTGGTAGGCCTGTTTTATCATCCGGAACATACTTTTTCCCCCCTAGTGGAGCATCACAATGATAACAACAGAAATGTTGAACGTGGAAAGCTCTGCCTTCTGCTGCGGTATATGGACGTGTAAAGATCAACTCGTCGCACCCGGCGCATCGGGGAATTTCTAAAACATTGGCCAAATCTCTGGCGCAGTAAATTTCTCCCTTATGATAAAAGTAGACAAGGTCAGCCAGTAGCTCCCCGCATTTGCAACAAGTGAAGCACTGAGGATGCCAAATTGCTTCCTGACCCGCTCGATCAGCTTTAACTGCGACCTCGCCCGCGAACATAGACTTATTACATCGTTGGCAAGGTACTCCTTCATTATACAGTTTCCTGTTGAATTCTGCTTCGGCGGGGCTAAGTGTAAAATCAGCAAGTTGATCAATGATGGGCGTGATATTGTCGTCGAAATCAGAAATTTGTGATTCAACCTCGTACCCTGCGTTATCAGGTATTTGAACATTGTCTATCGGTGAATTATTCCAATCTGTATTAGATGGAGACATTGCGCCAGGATATGTATTGTAGTTAGGAGGTGGAGGTGGCGGAAGTTCATCTTCCGACTGAGTCCTTTGATATTTTCTTAATGGAGCAGTCTGTTGAGGCTCAACCTGATTGATTGGTTTCATACTGGTAGAATATTGAGGATTTATTTTTGTTGAACATAATGTACCACTATGCTCTTGTTGGATTGGCTCATGCTTCCAGCCCCATATTTCCCCGTTTGGAGCGAATATTGTTCCCTTTTGTATTCTGTTGTCCACAACTTTCGCGTTACCCATGACATTATTGTTAGGCGATGACCATAAATCAGTCATTATTTGAGCACCCAGTGCTTTTGTACAAAAATCATTCATTTCTTGTTTAAACTGAGGATTACTATTATACTCCTCCCGAAATATTTTAATGGGCTCAAGATACACATCGTTGCTAATGGGTATATTTAATTCATGAAGGTTTTTAAATAGTTTGTCATAAACAGGTCCATGCTCAACGGCACTCTTAATTCGGTCAGATTCTATACGCATTACATAAAGTTTATCCTTCACGACTCTGCTTATTGTAGGACTTGCCTTATAATCTGGTAAATTGGCAGCACTACTTACTATATTACCCTGAGTATCCAGAACTAATTTTTTATCTGAAGCGTTTTTAGGTACAATATTGTATTTGACACCTCTGCATACATTGGATATTTTCAAAGGTAGTGCATATGATTTAGGAGCGTGTGTCTTACTGTTTTCAATGGAAAATACATCTCCTGTCTGAAGTGGCCCAACACGGACCACATTGCCCATGCCGACGACATGATCTTTTATACGTGATATATATTCCTGTAAAAAAAAACACATTTTGAGTGTCTGAAAGAAGTTGTAGCAATTTTTGTTCGCCTAACTGTCGTACGCGAACAAAATACCATCTATTCTTATATTTTATACTTTTATATATATTATTAAACTTTTTTGTCATAATAATTTAAAAAATGATACTACTTTCATGATTTAATAAAAATGAGTGGCTTTACTATTTTGGAACTAAATCGTTCGGTTAAAGACATTAAAGGCACCTTTAATAAACAAAGTAGTCCAAAAATTTTTTAAAAAAAAAACTGTCTAGGATTTTAAATACTATCTATTTCTTTTTTTTAAAGCTACCTCTCTCGTTCTTATCATTTCCTGCAGTTATAGTAGATGTTACTGATATCTTCATCGTTGTAAAACATTAGTGGCATTTTGTTTATTGATTTAAATTAAGAGTATAGTAATGGGAAGTTTAACTTCGCATTTTAGAAATCAAATTGACAGTTAGTGAAAATCAGATAAAAATTTATAAGATATTATGAAGGCTTTAAAAGGGCACAGGAAACACAAAAAAGATAATACCAGAATACAAATTGAAACTTCGAACTCACGTTCAAGGTGCCTATATTGACATTGTGATTTGTATGAGCTCCCATAACTAGTTAATACGATGTGGAAAAATAGCTCGTGGAACCACTTAAAACAATAAATTAATATATTTCTAAGAGCACATTCTATTGTAGATAGTTATGAAACTCAATATGTCAAGTCTATATGCTCGCTTTCACTACAAGTGTCCAGCTTGTCTCTGTAACTCAGTCAGCAGTAAAATTTAGCTGAGACCAGTTCGTTAACCGCGCCAATACATGCGTCTCATTAGTTTCTTAACCCTTAGACTGCCATGGAGGGCACCGATGACCTACATTAAAGTTACTATCGTTTTGTTCATTATGATCAATTATTAATAAGTTATTGTTACGTGCGCAAACATAAAGAAGACCGGCCAGTGCACATGTAACATTGCAGCCAAGGACTAAAATATGCGACGACTGTAAAAATAATTACCTAGTCTAGCCATAAGTTCTGTTTAAAATTTTTAAAGAAATAATGTAATATTATTAAAATTTATACCTACATATTTATTAAGTTCTGAGCAAAAATTAAAAAAATATTCAATTCGAAATGGCCACCTTTGGCTTTTATACATGCCTTTAATCTGTTTTGCCACGAACCTATAGATTTACACACTGTTTCCAAGGGAAATTTTGCCTCAATGTCGACGTGTCGTTGAGAGCAGGTCATGTCCTCTAAAACTGACCATAATTGAAGTCTAAAGGGTTGAGGTCTGGGCTAGATGAGCTGTTTTCATATAACCAACGGTTCTTAAAACTCAATAATTGTAGTTTAGAAAAGTATTAGCATGCGTAAAGATTACGAATTTATAAACTAATAGGCAAAAAATACATACTGTGTGTTCAGATTTTTCTTCGTCGGAAGCATGACGGCGAACGTCAGGGGCGACATCATGGGGCGGCAGCTGAGTGCGCAGCTGAGCGCGCCGACGTCGGGCCGCGTCGGATCCTGATACCGGCGCCAATGGACCCAGACATGACATGTACTCTGACACCTAAACAAAAACACCCTCTCTCAACTTCATTTATTTAAACACTAGAGGATGACCGAGCTTTGCTCGGTATGTTTTATTAACGTGACAACGGCATATAATTCGATGGAGCCGGCTGCACGCACGAAAAAACGTGACTCGTGCGGCGTTACCTCGCTCTGAGGCGTTCCATTTAAGGCTTGAAGTGCAAGCGAGAGCGCGCAACGAGCGACAAAGAGGCACAATCGGCCTCCGCGTTCGGCAGCGTTCGACATCTGTCTCTCTCCTACTTGAGTGAGCGATGCATCCGCGTGGACAGCTGCTATACAATAATACATTTACATGTTTTCGTCAAGTATGAAGTTCAGTGAAAAATGAATGTGGTGTCAATTGTTTATAACAACGAATTGTGATAATTGAAAAATGAAACCATTCCTTCAGTATTTTCTTATGACGTTGTCACGTTCAACTATCGTCAGTAAACCGACTTTACAGACAAACGATTTTTTTTTTGATAAATTGTGTTTTTTAGAAATTACATTCAAATACGAACATACCTATTGATATTACATTAAATTATTTGATATTTTCATTCAATAAAAAAAAATTGTTTACGTTTAAGATGATTATCGATAAAGTTGATTATTGAAAACACGAATAAAACAACATCTTCTGAAAATAAATCGTTTATCGCCCCCGAAATCCCCTGTATACTAAATTTTATGAAAATCGTTGTAGCCGTTTCCGAGATTCGGATTACCTATACCTATATATATTTATATTCAAGAATCGCTCATTTAAAGATATAAGATAATATTGTACCAAGCCTCAGTTCTCGAACTATGGAGAACAACAGTTAAGGCTTTAATAAACAAGGATTCAACACGATCGCGACTGCTGTGCCAGAGTAAGACTATGACGATTATTGCACCTCTGCCGACTCAGTAAAAATTCCGGTCGACTTTTGTGCGTCAATTACAATGAAAATAAAATAAAAACAGTAGTATTTTTCACTAGCTGGTTGGCACCAATCTAACCCCAATGGTACCCTTTTTGTTGTTAATGGAAGATATATTTGCAGAAAGAACCGACAATTTGATCTAAAAATTTTATAATGAAGGTGATATTTTTGCATTACTTGCTTCGTGGCATAGCAAGAGTTTTAATCTCCAAATGATCTATGTTGAATCCATCTATGTTAAAATCTCGTAACAAAGAAGTTGTTGATAAGCAGCTATCAGGGTTTATGCATATCAGGATTGATTAAAATAGAATATGAACTTATCTGTGATAAGTATTTGATAAAATTCATTATTCTAAATCTAACCACATAAAATATGTTTTATAGATAATGAACTTACCAATTCGGTAGATGCATTAGGTGGTACCCAATCAAGTTTCACAGGTTTGTCAGTCACTCCACGGATTTTAATGAGAGGTACTGAAAACATAAATTGTGTCAGAAATAAACAGTACCTAGCTTCATTTTTTTTTTTATTGTCTAGATGTGTGGACGAGCTCACAGTCCACCTGGTGTTAAGTGGTTACTGGAGCCCATAGACATCTACAACGTAAATGCGCCACACACCTTGAGATATAAGTTGTAAGGTCTCAGTATAGTTACAACGGCTGCCTCACCCTTCAAACCGAAACGAACTCATTACTGCTATAGGCAGAAATAGGCAGGGTGGTGGTACCTACCCGTGCGGACTCACAAGAGGTCCTACCACCAGTCATTATGCAAATTATAATTTTGCGGGATTAATGATGTTATTCCTTCACCGTGGAAGTCAATAGTGAACAATTGTTAAGTACGTATTTCATTAGAAAAATTTATACCCGCCTGCGGAATTCGAACACCGTTGCATCGCTATATACGAATGCACCGGACGTCATGAATAATTTCTGGGTATTATTCAAAATCATATTGAAGAATGAAAGGCTTTTCGGTTTAAGTGACATTTCAGTTAATACGCAACATTTATCATTGTACTTAAAGGTCCATTTTGTTTGGTATTAGCATCCACAATTCTATGTTTTTAATTGAACTTCAATGAAGTTCTCCTCTATTGTAATAGCTGAAGAATTTTTTGGTATAATATTTTTTTCAATTTTTAGACTTTAAATGGCTCTTCTGGAAAGTCACAAAAATGTCGCTTAAACCAAATAGCCTTTCACCAGTCGATATGATACAAAGAAACTATGATTCATTTATGAATAATCAGTTACTGTTATAATGAATTATATCGAATTAATAATTTTTCCTGTTTTTTTTTCTTGGGATTGTGACTGGGATTTAATATTTTTTCAACATGCACCAACCACATTATAATTGCATTGCTTGATATGAATTCTCTGGGTCATGGGTCCCTCCCTTATCATTTAGGCTATTGATGCTCCTAAATATTTCATATTGAACTGAATACGTTTTTGATAAGTGATATATAATATTAAACTTACACGATGACTTCTTAGGTCTAGTTGTACCCAGCAATTCAAACTGTGCCCACCCCGATAAGTCATCATCTTGCACATCATGAACATCTTTACTGCAGTGACAAGATCGGCATACTTTACGCCAAAAATGTAAATCTAGCCCTGGGCATGTGGGACCTGCAAACAATCGTGAAAAATGTTTTATGGTATATGTGTTGTTAGAAACATATTTTTTGTAGGCTTATGGTAAACTTATGGTAATTTAGACAATATTTAGAGTAGTTACCTCATTATTATAAATTATCGATACTATTATAATATTTGTATCTCCAAATTTTTTAACTATTCAAGTTTGATATTTCAGTATAAAAGAAAGATTAGTAAAATACGAATTAAGAAAACATTCTGTATCTCTTACCGCAAGAATTGCAAGGAGCACCGGCCCCACTGTCGTGACCAAGCCGGGCTTTACTGAGTTTTTCTCTTTGACTCTCTAATTTAGAGAGCCAAGCCGGGGCTTCCGGTGTTTCTACACACGATTCACTCATCTCTATAACACAGTGTAACAATAGATAAGAAGTACTTGTGAGATTTCATATCTTTCAGAAAGAGAATATGGTCTTTGTTCATTTACCTTACGTGCTGGTACGTCTAAACCAAGTCAAAATCAGTAGCTCTTCAATAAAACTGTAGAAATGCAATAGTTATTTTATCTTAATGAAAGAAAAACGAATAAACTAAAAGAAAAATAATAACATTGGAAAAGAACAAAAAGACAGTGTTTCTGTTTCTTAGATATTTCTTTACGGCCTTAGGTTACTCATTATTTTAGCTTCTCGTAACATAAAATAGTGTTGCTAAAAAACTAAAAATAAGTGACGCAATTATCTTTTAATAGTTTGTATATCTCTTTTTTAAACCCAAAATTCCCTTTTTTTACATTTTTCCTGATCCCTTAAAAAATCGTGTACCGCGGAGACAATTAATAGCTGGGTATACTACTAGCTATATTAACGATATTTTTTGTGCTTTACCAACTTCAATTTTTATTTATTTTAAGAACACATTCCGACAGAATGAAAACAAATGACTTCTTTTTTTTTAAACAAAATAGAATTGATTACTTTGTATAATATATTATTACTCTTATATAATGTCTGTTTTTTTTGCTACTCATGCTAATAACCTCGAGGAGTTATCTTAGTTTCACCGGATGTATTATGTCTGGGTTATACCTGCCAGCCTTTTTTCCTTTCCAAGAAGAATGCATTGCATTATCAAATCAACAGTACTTCGCTGATGACGAAAGTTTCAAATTCAAGGATCAAGTTCAAAGGCATCAATTTCCAATTCATTATTCCTGAACGAAGATGTCAATCATGTGGTTTATTTTTAATCTGTGGGGCCTCAGAAAAATTCCAAAAAAATGACATCCATCTTTCAAGTTCTAAAAACTGTCTTCTAGCTTTGAACTATTTTAATTAAAAAAATCGTCAAAATATACATCTATGTAATATTTGGTAATTGTGATCAAATCTAACAAATAAAATATAGTTTATATAATTCAAAACCTGACGTAAGGCACCCATAAAGGTACGGAAAAACATTTGCTTTACCATACGTTCTAAGTTTTAACAATGAGTCATAATCGGTATTTATTTATCAATATTTGTCTCGTAGGATGTCTTCCGGAAGACCGATCAAGTGTGTGGTCGTTGGAGATGGTACCGTCGGAAAAACTTGTATGTTAATTTCATACACGACTGATAGCTTTCCAGGAGAATATGTGCCTACAGTGTAAGTACCCAGAAATACCTACTATTTTTTCTTTGCCAAAATACTTAATTCTAAAAATTATTTTTGAATTCAGTAGTCTTGCTTCTAGAACATGAAAACTAGTTGTTTATTTAATTCAAAGCAAACTCTTGAGAGTTGATTGGAGTACAATACATTGAAATATATTGAAGTACAATATCATTAATAATAGAATAAATACGTTTATTGTTCCTACTTTTCAAGCCAAACAAAAATTTTAGAGCATCTTTCTGACAATGCTTAATTTAATGTAAAATTCAAGTTCAATAAAATCAATGATCAATCACAAGTTACCTATTTACAATGTTGCAAAATACAGCCAATGGCTTTTTTCTATTTCCAAATTAAAAAATTCAAATAGAAATTGAATTATTGAAACTTGGTATACAAATTGGTATTTTAAATGAAAATGAAAAATTTAATGCTCCCTCTTATTTCTCTACCTCTTTTCTTGAAATTTCAATTAAACAGGTATTACTACCAAACCAAACTAGTTAATATGTGGTGCTATAATAGTGCTTGTTTGTATACTGTTATTTATTTGATGAAGATGGCACCTGTACAGCTATCCTTGGTACTTCAGAGAAGGTTTCTGATGCACTCAGTCAAAAGTTCAGAAGTTACAGTAGTAGTTTCAACAACTATATCTGAAGCTTTTTTTTCAGTTTAGTGAGTTGTAAATATAATTAAAACCTATTTTTACAGATAATCTCATGTTTTTTTTGTCATTATGTCTCTACTCCACACATTTTGAATACTTTTTAATATTATATTGTGGCTGTATTTGTTAGTAAAGTTATGCTGGGCTTGGAAGTATATTTTAAAGCTGTGTCCAATCTGTTCTACTAAATAATTAGTATTTATTTTCTATTTATATCATATTTAACTAGTGAAAGGAGGCCATGCTTTAGTTTGAGTGCTACCTTATTTGAGTCGAGCAATACAAGAAATAAAACCATATCAGGATAATAAATGGAACAATGGTTTAAACTTTATCAAAAAACTTATTTTTCCAGTAAGATATGTTTAAGACAATGAGATGACATTCCATTGAGAGGATGAGGAATACTCAGCCCCAATATTACGGTTGGGATACAAGATTAACTTGTAAATTTTGTTAGTGTGCTTTGGGCCTTATACAGATTTCTTCTATTCTGTGATAGCTTTGATAGCTGAGTATAATATGTATTTTGTCAGTCAAATTTGGGACCATATTTAATATCCAATCAATAGTACATATAGAAAAGAAAACAAAATCCAAATTTCACTGTAGACTAGCCTATGACCCACCTGATATTAAAATATTACTGGAGTCCTTAAACTAAACCATTAAATGGTGCCATCCACATTGAGAATCAATGCTTGAGTCGCACTTGTATAGTTTAAGAGACTCCCATTTTTCAAACTGGAACGGATGACCACTTCACAACAAGATGGTTGAGCATCCCGTGTAGCATTACAATATGCCCTACGATCAGTTATTACACTTTTATTCTTCTTCTTGTATTTTCTTATTATTCAATATTATTCCTTTTTCTTAGAAGTTGTTCGCAAACATGTATCAGGTTTATACATTTTTTGCTAAAATAGTATTGTAACGTCCAAGAATTTGTACTAACATTCTGGCCAGTATTGATTCAAGAAACCTGGCAATAATTAGGTCTTACAAAACCTAAAAAAATAATTTTAAATAACAACATCATTTTCTACTACAGATTTCAATTCTATTAATAACTGCACTCTCTGGGTATTTCCAAATACCCTTTTAGTCAGCTCTGTAATAAAATCAATTCCACATTGCTTACAAATTATATAATTATAATCAGGGCCGGACTTAAACTCAATGCCACTCCTGGGCACCGGAAAAAATCCGCCCCAATACTGGAATTTTACCAAAACATAAAGTTTATATTTTTCGATAATTATTTTAAATCTCCAAGGAAATAAATTGATTAAATCATTTTGATAACAGATTTTACCAAAAGTGCCAACATTATAATTCACAAATAATGAATTTCTTGAATTATCAATTAAAAAGAAAATTATTAATTAATAATTATTAGAATTAATTAGTTTTAATGAGCAATCTTGATGAAGACTATAAAAAAAATACATGCAAAATTTTACCGCCCCAAAAATTTGTCGCCCTGGGCACTTGCCCCGACTGCCCCTAGTGTAAATCCACCACTGATTATAATGACAGGTGATTTGATGTGGCGATGATATTAATAGTAAAAAAACTAACAGGTAATAAATATAAAATACGTTAATGATGCTAATAATTTGTGCAACACTATGCCTTCGTGTCGATATAATATATTGTCTGTAGATTGTCGCGTTTCCCATACAAAAAAAAAAAACATACTGAAGGTGAAATTGGGTTTAAGAGTGAAAGTTCGGTCTTTAATTTGATCGTTACAAATCGACGACATCTTGTTGCGTCTATTTTGCGTGTTAAAGTGAAAGTTATAAATATTTATTAGTTTTAAATGCACTATCAGACAGACCTGTTTGCGTTAGTTACGTAAAAACAAAATGTAAGCAAAGTACATATGTTACAAACAAAAAATGTTCATATTATATACATACATACGTTTTATATATCTCAAGTGTGTCGTTGTCAAAATAATTACCCTTTTTGGAGATTTTGACTATTATACGTGGCTACGTGGTAAACAAATTTTCGTATAAAAAAATACATGTCAAAATGTTGCATAAGGCAGATTTTCAATTCACAACGACTGTATCTTTTTGTATTTTTTTTGGTACCATCCTTAGAGAATACCGTATTACTTTCTGCCTATAGTATATAGATTTTTGGCCTAATCAGTTACCATTAGTTAAATGAGTAACGTTTTAAGCAGTTACTGAAGTTCATAGACAAGCTTAAACTTGATAAATTTCCTGTCAAGTTTTTATTCTACTAGAATAATAGCTATCATATATCTGAAACTCGTAAGCATGGTTGTTTCATGACAGATACTCAGCGCAGTGGAACACCAATGCATGTTCTAATGCTGTCTCTTAAAATGCTGTAGATTTTTTTTATTGCTTATATGGATGGACGAGCTCACAGCCCACCTAGTGTTAAGTGGTTACTGGAGCCAATAGACATCTAAGATGTAAATGCGCCACCCAACTTGATATATAAGTTCTAAGGTCTCAAGTATAGTTACAACAGCTGCCTCACCTTTCAAACCGAAACGCATTACTGCTTCTTGGCAGAAATAGGCAGGGTGGTGGTACTTACCCGTGCGGACTCACAAAAGTCCCCACCACCAGTAATTACGCAAATTATAATTTTGCGGGTTTGACCCGGGTTTGGTCAATCGTGAACATTTGTTGAGTACGTATTTCATTAGAAAAATTGGTACCCGCCAGGGACTCGGACACCGGTGCATCGCTAAACACGAATGCACCGGACGTCTTATCCCTGAGGCCAAGACGACTTCAAAATACTTACAATAGGACTAACGAATTTGCTAAAGTGTCAGATTACTACTACTGCCGATGTAATAGAAAGTAGCTTGAAAAGGAGGGTAGTATGTCTAGATATCTGATTTATAGACAAATTAACTAAAAAGGTCATTTAATTAATATAACCTTGTCCAAAAGTTGTTGACGAAACAAAGTGAATATAATATATTTTTTTGCAGTTTTGACAATTACTCGGCTCCAATGGTGGTGGATGGAGTGGCAGTATCTCTTGGTCTATGGGATACAGCGGGACAAGAAGACTACGACAGACTTAGACCTTTAAGCTATCCTCAAACTGATGTCTTCCTTATATGCTTCAGTGTAACAAGGTACATTTTCTAGTTTCATTCTCTTAGGCGCTTTCGCGCGATCTTAAATGAAGGCTGATACAAATGAGGCTGATACAAATTTGCTAACGTAACATATCTAAATCCAAAAATCTAGGCTAAATGAACATGTATCACATGAGACTATTTATGCCAAGTTGACCTCGCAGATAAAGTCACGAACCAATTACTAATGAATAAGATTAAAATCAATTTGAGACTTTAGAAGCATATTTAGCAAATTTATTTCGATTAAATCTAAGAATAGCCTTCGCATACTACGCAGTTTGTCACTATAGTAATGTTTAGTACGCAATCGAACAAGCAGATGCCGCAAATTTAGCCGCTAGCTAGGTGGTCGCTTCGTAGAAAGTAACTTTTTTATTACTAGCTAGCAAAATCTCAAGCGAGCTTCTTTGTGACTATCTCGAAACATCTATAGTATAGACAAATATCTCAAGTCACCCCAGAATAAATACAAGTACTTTTACGGCTTAATCTCATATTTGTTATTGTCATTCTATTATTTCCAACGCTTAGAGTAGTTTACAGTTTTCGTGATGACCGTTGTGAAAATAATTTTAACTTATGTATACCATTCGCGAAAACCGAAGAATTACATAGGTATAGATAATAACAAAATAAAATAGATCATACAAATATAGAAGAAACCTTCCTCGAAATAGCACTAAAATTGCATGGAGCGAAAATTCAGCTCAATTGTATAAACAACGCCCAAACATATATTAAACACGCATTATATCACCAGACTATTATATTTTAATTATATTTGGTTGTATTGAATAAGTAATCTATTATTATTCGTTCATTTCCTTTCCCAAGTTCGTTATCGAGAACATGAACGTGTTAAAATTATGTAAATTACAAAATTATGTTTATGTCGAAGTAATGTTTTAAACATTATTATATAACAGCGAAATACCATTCACTCATCATGAATTCTCCGAAAGTATCCATCGGAAAAACTCAATTTAGCATAGATTCTCCTTTTGCGATGTAGGTGTTTACTATGGAACGGATTTTACGTAAATTCTATCCAAAAATCTATTGTTCATCTACCATCGTAAAAACTAGGGACTCTCAATCTCTTTTTGGCTAAAGAAATTTATTATCTCGGAGCCTCATAACCGAATTACTAAAAAAACTTATCTTTACTTTTTTGCTGTTAATAGAAAATACTTTCCAATTAATTTTTTTGTGGTTGATTAACTAATTGTGTGTAATTATCCTTGGTATATAAGCAACAGCAGTCGTTACCATAATAAAGTTACTATAGGACTGATAGTTTTTGGACCAGAGAGTCACACAAGCTACTCGTTATTCCGAGAAAATGCATTCTTTTTGAATAGTAGATCTGAAAAGAAAACCGTTGGAGACGTCTTGTTTTAATATAGTTTAAAATCAATGTACGCTGTCGGAACACCGCCAGAAAATTTCACAAATTTCTTTATTATTCTTACAGTCCCTCTTCATATGAAAATGTCACATCGAAATGGTACCCCGAAATAAAACATCACTGCCCCGATGCACCAATTATATTAGTGGGTGAGTTTAAGATTCATTCGAACGTACACATATTCACACTATTATTCTCAAGTAGATTGAACAGGTCTTTGGGGAGGCTTTCAAATCGTTCCGACTTCCATTTCCAAGCCATTTGATATGTCAAGCTCTTAATATTAAACTTCAAGAAGTGTCAACGTAAGTGATCACGGAAAAGGTCAAAATGTGAATACCGCCACTACCTTGAGACAAGAGATCGAAGATTTAATTGTAATGTGCAATAATCCACCTTTTAAACTGGAAGGTAAAATTATTTCGCGTTGCAGCAGAAGTACGTCCTGCCATCAGAAATATTAAACAACTAAATACAGTGCAACCTCGATATAATAAATCGGAAGGCAATAATGCATAAGCACAGTATGCGGTACCGAATATTGATCAAGGTTTTTGACAATCTTGCATTGTCAATATTATTTTGTGTATGCGCTGGCTTAAAAGGTTTTGGGTTGACAAAATTCGTTAATTAGAAGTATTTACACTTTTTTTTGATAGTTGAAATCGTTATAAAGAGGTTGTTCCAAGAAATCTTCGCAATTTAAAGGTATATTTTACATTGACTCTTATGGAGAATTCAAGGGATTACGAAAAATTTGTTAAATCCAAGATGTCGTTATATTGAGGTCGCACTGTACTTGGAAATCAGTACCAGCCTTCCAGGTTTCAAAGGCGCGTCTATCCTTACGAATATACTGGCTGTCTTATCTATTAAGCCACGAACGCTTCAGTAACTTAATAATATCTGGTTTTACAGGTACAAAAATCGATTTGAGAGATGATCGTGAAACGCTAAGTTTGCTGTCGGAACAAGGAATGTCTCCGCTGAAAAGGGAACAAGGACAGAAGCTCGCCAACAAAATTCGGGCCGTAAAATATATGGAGTGCTCAGCGCTAACACAAAGAGGCCTTAAACAGGTTTGAACTAGTTATATCCGGTTCTCTAGTTAATGTCATTGTTGTAAAAAATATGACAAGAAATGATTAGTTATTTTGGGTAACAAAGTCGTTGTTAATGACAAGCTGAATAGCATTATACTATTTATGATAGATGCCTCTATATGCGACATTGGTTTTTTTTTAATTGCTAACTGGTGTTAAGTGGACAGTGGACCTCGTAGGCATCAACCAGGCTAATCGCCGCCTTCCACCTTGAAACATGAGATATAAGTTTCAGTTTTGACAGTCAAAGGCTGCCCCACCCTTCAAACCGAAACGTGTTATTGCTTCATGCCAAATATATGCAGAGTCGTGGTTCATACCCGTGCTGGCTCACAAAACTCCCTACCACTAGTTAAAATATCTTAGCACCGTTTTGATCTAAACCTGTGTTAAATGATAAAACGACACTAAAAACAGATAAACATATGAGAGTCTATACTCTATAAGATTTAGTCTAGAAGAATGAGACAGTATAGGTACTTATGAAGGTTTTACGTATGTATACTGTACGCCAAGAGGAAGCAGGTTGATGGTAGCAAACAGTGCAACATCCTAACAATATTAAGGGTAGATTTAATTATGAAAATAAGGTCACCCCACTGAAACTATTACGTACTTGTGATGATAAATTACTAGTATCGTTCTAGATTATCTCGCAAGATCAAAGCTAAAACAGTTAATTATGATAAAATGATAACTAGGAGATGTATGGAAATGGTACCTAGTGCAAGTTAGAGGGTCGACCGAAGAAGGCATGGATGGAGTGTGAATGACGGTATGAGAGAAAGAGGAGTGAGTCTCGAAATGACGGCTGTTAGAAGAGAATGGAAGAGAAAAATTATCTATGCCGACCCCACCTAGTGGGATAAGGTGGAGAAAAAGAAGATGATAAAATAACAAATTGGTATTGAAACCAATTGAACTAGCTCATACAAGTCCCAGTTCTTAATTAAGAGACAGCATGAGTTCAGTAATTAATGCTTAGTACTTGTTAATCATCGCTCGCACCTCTTAAGTCAATTTATTATCTTTGTTATTATTAAAATACTTAAGAACACTTATCAAATTTTGACCGAGATATTTCGTTTCAAACCGATTATGTGACACTAACACACTTTTTGTGCACCATAATTAATCGCATGATAGCCTTAAAAGGCCATTCCAGCTGCGCACGATTTGGTGGGCAAGCTCACGGGGCTTAGATTGAGAGAAATTTCTAACACTAGCCTTAGCAAGAGCAGTGCTTATCTGGTTGTATCATTGTATCAGAATCGGGACCCATTCAGAAAATTTAACGAAAACTCAATGGGTTGTGTCTGTAGGTTAGGTTGCACGTCGTACTCTTCGACGAATTCGACTAATGCCGTTTTATAAATATCATTAACTACACATCACTAACTACATTTATCACAAATTAACTAAACGATACCAAAAAATAAGTACCAGACTCGTGTAAATTATACCGCTAAAAGTTATTAGCCGCATATGACATAATGCATTGTGATTGGCAATTGGCCTGACACGAAAGAATGTTAGAACCCAAACTATCTATTCTAATATTATAAATGTGAAAGTGTTTGTTTCTTTGTTTGAAACGAAGTAACGTATTTACGTGATTTGTTTAAAGTGATTTTATTAGTCCGGAAGGGTGACTACATCTTATCCCGAAAAACATTAATTCTCACGGGAAACTACAATAACACTTCTCTTTGACTATACGGATGAAACCGTGAGTAAAAGCTAGCATATTATAAGATTTCATAGCCATAAAATTTTGAACATACTTCAGACAAACATTAATATTCTACAAAAGTAGCATTTAGTCTAAACTACCCTCCAGATTTGTCATTTTGTGTTATGAGGGATCCAGCTGCGAATATACATACATGCTAGCACATAAATAATAAATTAAAAAAACAAATAGTACGTTTAAATAATTCAAATAAATGTAAATAGGCATTTCATAAACAAGAATATCTTTTGATATCTATATATTAATACGTGAAGCAAAAACTTTGTAAAATTGTAACTTTTTACGAAAATTGCGCGAACGGAGACGTATGAAATTTCCCACACCTGTAGAGAATATAGAGAAGGAGTGCAGAAAGCTATTTTTTTTTAAATAATGCTCTAATAATATATGTAATATGTAATGTTTATTGTCAAACTTTTGTTATTGCTTAAAGTCTGTGGTGAAATTGAGAATAGGTTAATATTGTTTATCTTTTCTTTTTTTTTATTGCTAGATGGGTGGACGAGCTCACAGCCCACCTGGTGTTAAGTGGTTACTGGAGCCCATAGACATTTACGACGTAAATGCGCCACCCACCTTGAGATATAAGCTCTAAGGTCTCAAGTATAGTTCCAACGGCTGCCCCACCCTTCAAACCGAAACGCATTACTGCTTCACGGCAGAAATAGGCAGGGCGGTGGTTATCTTTATATTTGTTTGTCTATAGTGTACTCAAAATCTGTGATTATAGAAGTATAATAGTCTTTGACAATAGAATTTTAATAATGTGTAAACTTATAATTACAATTAATTATAGTCGAATTTCGACTACTACGGGACCACTAATAATAATATATAGCCTTTTGTTCAGATCCATATTACAATTATATCGGGACCACTAGTTAGATGTTATTTATTGTTGAATGTACTTATTGGTTTTTAACTTGTTCCAGGTGTTCGACGAGGCTGTACGTGCAGTGTTAAGACCGGAACCACAAAAGAGACACCAGAGGAAGTGTTTGATTATGTAAAAATGTAAACAAAATCCATGACTAAAGAACCGTATTAAAATCTGCAGGAATCTCTCGACGACAGTAATAATGTGTTTCTACACCGACGTGAATAACAGATTAACGTTTCAAATGAATTCTTTTTTTTTTTTTTTGTTCACAATGTATCAAGGTGCCATAAATATTATGTCCTTCGAATATTAAAATGTCAGTTAATAATTTCTCTGATCAACATCACAATATTTGTTTCTTTTTTCTTGAATATTTTTTTTTATGCACACGAGAATGCCAAAGATTTATAAATAGATTTAAGTCTTTATTGTTTGTTTGTTTTTTCGTTATTGTCAAAATGCTAATAATATGGTTAGAAACAAATTGTTACTGTGCGCGTTTAATGATATTGACAACTTTATTTTTATATACGCAACCGAACCTCAACACACGAACGTTTTTTGAATTATGTACATCCTAAGGGATTTATTGATATTAAGGACTGATGTAGTTGCGTTAATTATGAAGTATCTTTTTTATTGTCTAATATTTAATTGCGACAGTTAGCATTTATTATAATAGTAAGTATTCAATGATCAGAATCAGATTTATTTAATTGTGCAATGTAGGTACCTATGTTTTTCATTCAAATGAGGTGAGGTAAACATGGACAATAGTATGGCAATAATTTACAATACTTTTAAAAAGTATCAAAATATTATTTGCATGGAATGTTGCATTGCAAGCTAAGTATGTTGTTTAAGGCGGAATAATTTATTTTGCTGAATCAATATCGAAATTACGTTTATAATTTAAAAAAAGAAGTGTATTTTAGCATGTAATTAAGGAGTGTGTTTTTTTTTTAAATATTAGTAACTCATTAGGGCGAGATATTTTTATATTATGAAAAATCTTAGAAATAGTTAGATGGCTCTCCAATTCTGCAACGAAAATTTAGCACAATTTTGATGCATGATTTTATTAAGTACTACAAAACGTGGTGGTATTTACATGATGCCTTTTTGAAGCATTCGTATTTTTGACATTGTCTTGTCAACGCTTAGATAGGAATAAGATTTCTCTAGTTTGTATTTCGAATAAGCAGTGCCGGTTTCGCGCGTCTAAAGCCATTTTCAGCCCGCTCTCTGCATCTCTCTGTATCTCTTCCTCTCTCCCTCTATACGAGCTTTAAAAAGGAATAAAGATACGCTGGATTCGTAATAAGATACTTACTTTCCATATGTACAGTGATATCACTATTCGAGAAAAACATAAGGATAATTGTGGACATTCGAATATTATTTTCAGTGCCCGTTTAAATAAAAGATATCTTGAACGAAAAACATGATAAGAGATTTATATTTTCGCTCTCTTGTGATGATTAATTTAACTTCTCTTTAAAGCACTTAATTTTTTAATTTACATCTCAGTAATTTTCTCGGGTCTTTCTACATATCTAAACCTTAAATTACACTACACTGCTAACTTTAATTTCCATTAAGATTAAAATCTTATTATTATTAACTATTGATTCTTTGATTATTTAACTATACCAATCTGAAGTTTCTGATATCGGTCCAGCCATTTCGGAATCTAGTGAACATACGTACACATTTTTATATATAGATGAGGAGGTCCTTTAATACAATGATGGATTTTTGTAATATCGCTCGTTTCAAATCCGCAAACAGTGCAGAACCATAGACCAAATTATTTTTATAAGGCCTCTACTCGTTCTCGATTATTTCTATTTCAGAACTCTTTTAAAATACCGAGCTGTGAATAAAGCTTATCAATAAAATTCAATTAGGAAAAAAGTCATAAAGAATACCGAATTATCCGATGATATCTCTGACGGTTTCTCCCGGGCAGGGTCATAAACAAAAGTAGACATAGGTTGTAAAAGTCCGCGAACCTTTTTTTTTCAATTCTCGATCTGAAGATTCATTAAATGTCAAAATAGCTATGCATTTGTTATTATTTTAGTTTAAACACATGACGAGAAATATTCGTTTCATAAAAATATAGACTGCTTTGATTTACGTGTAAAGCTTTGAGAATTATTTGTGTATATAAATATTTATAATAAGAGCTAAATGCGCAATTTCAAATGGATCGTGTATTATTGCACTTTATAAATTATTGAATTGAATTTTTTTGTTTTATTTTCCTCGTTTCTTGTTGCGGTATCGAGCCTCTCATTTTATCAATTTGGGGATCGACAAAGGAGTGCACCCTAATTTTTTTAATTATAAGTGCAACCACGGTGATTGTGAGCCGCGCTGATTCTATCGGAGACAGGAAGAGTCCGGTGTTCCGCGCGACTATATATTTGAATCAATGATTCAGTATTTTCTTCGGCTTTCGCGAGTCGTAGACAATTAAAATTACCCTAGCAAGAGCCGTGCTTCGCAGAATCTACCACCGGATCGAAAACACGACCCACTGAGAAGATTCAGCGAGAAACTAAGTGGGCTGTGTCTAAAGGTTAATTTACTCTTCGAGCCCTACGTCGCAAGCGACGGGTTCGACGAGGACGATGACCGGTGCTTGAGGTTCCTAATAGCACCGTTAGTGGATCGGGAGGATCCCAAATGACGTGAACACAAAAAGGCCCACACATGTAACACAATCGTTGTGCGGCCCGTCATGACTTACACGAGTGTGGTGATACCCTCCAATCCCCTTTTTGCAGGATAGCCGACGGAGTTCATTATTCATGAGGAACGTCGACTTACACGACGACCTGTGCCTCGAATCCATCCGAAAACACATGAAGTCAATGTCGGAACGTTAGGTACTTCGATAAGACAACGCGTCATGATAATCGCCTTATTGTTGCCGCCGCTGACTACTCCCCCGAATCCTGATCACGCAGGAGCCAGTCACCGTTGACGCCCTTGACACGTCCTTGCGGATCCATCAATAACTCTTGCATTAAACTCCTTCAGCTCTAACACTAGGAGCAGGCTTAGGGACCCCGGTAACCGGGGTGCGACCTAATACATGCACCAGTCCGTTGAGTTTCTCGCCGGATCTTCTCAACGGGTCGCGATTCCAACCCGGTAGGAAAGTCATTCGCGAAGTAGCTACTCTTGTCTTGTTAAGTCTCCTTTGGTGGCGCTCGGGCAGCTGTTAGCAAATTCCACCCTTTCTGGTTGAGCCTTTGCTCTGGAAAGACCTCCGGATCACCACCATCCATCAATCATAAAACAATAAACCAAAAATATGTATATAGTTACTCTTCAAATAATAAGTTCTTTGAATGTGAAAATGAAACATACAATTAATTTTGTGGGTAGTAGCTGTAACACAAAACGAGACCCGATCAAATCAAAACAACTATGGTGCTAAAATGAAGGTAGGTATAGTCCCCGGCACGTAACTTGGCAAGAGTCGCTAGATGCGCAGAAGTCGTTTTTTAGGTCTCTTTGGTTGTCAAGCGGGACGCGGGGAAACACGTAGCACCGTTCCGAGCGCGCGATTGGTGAGTCAGTCGACCCTCCCCTCCCCCACCGCGTCCACGTTCCGTTCGCTCCTGGTTACACATGCGCCTACTAAAGTTGTAGGAACCCTTTGCTTATATTGAGTTTACGAGTGTTATTGTTTTCAGTTTGTTTGCAATGCCAGGACCAAATACCAATGACCATATTCGATTTAGTCACTGAGTGTTTTATTATTTACGCCAGTGACGACAGCGACTCTTCGTTATGTCGACGATGAGGAGCCAACTCCTTCCACCAGCTCAGGTGCTACCATAAATTTAATACAAGGGGTAGCACTATTAGAAAATGATACTGACGACGGCGACACATAATTTTTAATATTAAGTATATTTTTTAAAATAAACTTCTTAACTTTTAATTGTATTTTATTTATAACACCTAATACACTTCACGAATTCCTCTTTTCTTTAACTTTCTTCTAAACACACAGGCTTAAAAATAAATTATGGCAAATAAAAATAATTATAAAATTAAATTAAATTAAGTATATGTGGGCAATAAAAGTGACAATTTTTTTGTTGCAATGTGCACTATGCGCGACTTTACCCCCACTGCACTAAAACTGTACCGTACTTGTCACAAGTTTTGTCGAACAGTTTAATTGGGTACAAAGAATACATCAGTAATCAACAAAACAAAGTATGCTTTTTAATCCATTTATTCGTTTTCAACAGGTTTACATGTCAATTAAACATTCAATTACAAATATCTAGACACGGATTCAACATTATATTAGGTTTAACTTGACCACGAGTTTCTAACAGCAATTTCGACTGCAGTATACAAGTCGAAAGAAAGTTTTAACATGTCATGGTAGTTTGATTGTACACGAAACAGTCATTTTGACTAGAAGACATCAAATTCACAATATCAAAGAACATCAACATCCAAGTTCATATTATAGTACATAAACACATATCTATGAAAATTTCTACATTCAAAAACAAAGCACAAAAGTAAGCTGACACAAAACAAATTAACTTAATTCAAACAATAATTATAATTAATATAAAACTTATCATACAAATGTAAAATAAATGCAATACTGATTCCTCATCAGTACAGTGGTAAGTTTTTATTGAAAAACAAAAAGTTTTTGTTTACAATGTGCATTCTAGATTAATATATTTTGTAAAAAAAATAATTACACAATATTGCCTTTGAAAGTACACATAAATTATATCCATATTTTTTTATTTTATTTTTTAGGGGACCTTCATTTAATTTATTATTCACAATATTAGAAATCACTGGTGACAAGTCAAAAAGTCATAAAAGTTTTAAAATAAATGATGTGTTTAAATTATACTATTAAAAATATTAATTCCAATTTTCACTTAATGTGTTTTTAACTGAAATATAAAATTAGTATACTGCTGATTTTATTATTTTAATTTGCTTTGAGCTTAATGACAATTTAATACTTTCTACCTAGGTAAAAATATATTTTTTAGACCTTAATGTCTAATGATGAACTTATCAAATACATAATTATACAATAGCAAAGATAGGTAATAATGATAATTACAGAAACAAAGTTTTGGCCTCTAATATTTCAAAATCAGATTTTGTTACACAATGTTACCAATAAAAACAATATTTTCACTCATATACCTACATTATATACAGCTGCTGTATTGTAAAATGCTGCATCTTACAATTTGTTTCCTAACACTACCACATTTTGTTCATAATTTAAAAACATTGACAATAACATGTACACATTTCATGTTTTTTCTTAATTTTTTTTACTATTTGAAAGCTATAAACTGAATGTGCTATCAGGTAAACCATAATTTTAAATAGCATATTATGACTATTTCAAGATAGTACAAGTACAAGTAACACAGTAAGTAAAAGACAATTTACATGAAACGATGAAATACACAACACCAATATAACATCAATATATTTTCCTTTTATGAATCTAGACTACAAAATTAAACAGTACTTCAAAACATTGTTGAGTTTTATTTCACAACAAAATGAGTACACTTGCAAAGCAATGCATTTTTAAGCAATGTTGATTTAATTAAAGTCACTGCTCCTCACGATACCTTCATCCTGATATCACATAGCTCTGTATGGCCCTTGGGTTTTCAAATACTGGATTACCAAAGATGGTCCTGAACTTACTACTTCTGAAGGAATAGAAGTCAATGGACAATTCTCAATGCTCATTATTTGCAAGTTTACACACAAAGCTAACTCAAATGGCAAATTGCATAAATTAGGATTATCATTCAAGTATAAAGATTCCAAATTCTCCAGTGTGCCTATTTCTTCTGGTACATATTGTAAGTTATTCTCTCCCACGCTTAAAGATGTCAAATTTGTCAGATGGCCTATTGAGCGAGGCAAAGTTGATAACTGGTTTGACTGCACTATCAACTTTTGCAATTCATGTAAGAATCCTATTTCATTCGGGAGAACTTCAAGCTTATTCTCTTCCAAGTCGAGTACTCGTAGCTTCCTCAAATTTCCAATACTAGGTGGTATTCTTTTTAACAGGTTGTTTGACAATATCAGAACTTCTAAATTTTGCAGACATTGAACATCATCAGGTAGTTTTGAAAGCTGATTAGTCCCCAAATTAAGTTCAACCATATTTAACCAAGTCCCAACATCTAAAGGAAGTGCAGTCAAAAGATTTTCCTTCATATTCAGTTTTGTTAAGTTTTTAGCTCTTGAAAATATACCATATGGTATTTTATCAATTTGATTATGTTCTAGGTTTATAGTAAAGACATTAGTAAATTGAGCAGGACCACCTGAAGGGTAGCTGGTGAAAGAATTACGGGAGAGAGTTATACTGGTGAGTTCACTCAATCTAGCCAAGAGACCTTCAGGCAGCTGAGATATTGAGTTTCCTTCAACATTAAATTCATCCATATGTTTCAAATTGCTTAGAGTGGCAGGGATAGTCGAAAGCCCATTGTATCTAAGTCCCAATCTAGTAACTGCTGTAAGATTCCCAATACTTTCAGGAATATCCAATAAGTCATTATGTTGTAAGTCTAATGTAGACAAATTTAGACAATTTCCAATCTCTTGGGGCAGATGCTCTAAGTGGTTGTGCGACACATCAAATGTTACAAGGTTTATCAATTTGCCAATTCCTGCAGACAATTCCTTAATCTTGTTTTCTCGAAGACTCAGCATAGTTAAATTAGTGAGGTTTTCAATCCCATCTCCTACAACTCTGATTCTATTGAACCGTAGATATAAAGTTGTGAGAGATGTCAATTTATAAACCACTTCAGGTATATCATTTAATTTATTATGTCGTAAATCAAGAACCTTTAAAGATTTTAAGTTAGCAAGAGAATCTGGTAGGCTTGTTAATGAGTTTTCATTTAATGCGAGTGTTTGTAGATTGGACAAACAACCAAATTCTGATGGAAGTGCAACCAGCTTATTCCCATACAAATAAAACTCTACTAAATGTGTAAGATCTCTAACATTTGGCGGAAGAGAAGTAATCGATGATTTGCTGAGATCCAATCGTATTACACCTTCTTCACGGCATCTAATGAATTCTTTAATAACGTCAAGATCAGCCTGTATTGGTTTGTTTTTCTTAGCTGTAGGTTTCGGTTTATTGGACTCCGGATGTTTAACAGTAACAACTTTGGGACGAGCACCCTCAGTCGTAGTGATCGATGCTGCGGACAATTTCTTTTCCCTCATTGTGTGATATTTTTCCCTGGGGCTTACCGTACCGACGGAATCCAAAGCTTCAGAGTTTTCTCGTGACGAGTTGTCGAGATTCATTCCGGATTATACAAGTATCACTTTTTTATTGTGCACCAGAAAATATGTGACTAAAACGCATTTGATAAGATTTACTCATCTCATAGCATCAAAAACACAAATCAATACTTTTTAGTAGCATCAACTGGTGTTTTACGATCAAGGTACGAGGTAATTGTGATAATCTCAAATACAACTTGCACTCTAAGATAAAAGTTAATGAGATTAACCAATTTTCACAGAACGACTTGCAAATTATTATTGAACAAAATGTTAAGAATTAATGGTTTTGGAATTCGTTTTAGAAACCCTATCCATAGATGAGCTTCAATTCAATAGTCAATACACCTTTTTAAGGGATTTTATGACCTGGTAATTAAGACCTTTAGGTCAAGTCTTATTTTAATTTATATTCCTATTTTTATGAAAAATGATAATAGGGAGTGAAATGAAGATGATTAATTTGAGACATTAATCAACTGGGATGAAACTAGATGAAATGAGATGAGATGATACGGGATGAAATATAATCTCAGTAAAATGGTGGTCATTTACTGAGATTTTTTCAGTAGACTTTTTGGAGGATCCCGAGAAGTTTTGTCCAGCGGCTTTGTTTTATTTTGTCTATTTAATGTTTCTTCAGGTTTAAATGTGTAATAACGGTGGCTTATTAACTATTTAGTATCTGTGAAAGTGCACAAATGTGGGAAAACAAAATAAAGCCGCTGGACGTAACTTCTTGGAATCCTACAAATAGCCCATTGAAAAAGTCTCAGTAAATTACCACAGTTTTACTGAGATTATATTTGATTTCATATGAGTTGATTAATGTCTCAAATTAATCATCTTCATTTCATTTCACTATATTATCATTTTTCATAAAAATATGGATATAGACTTGACCTAAAGGTCTTAGTTACCATGTCATAAAATCCTATAGAAAAACCGTATATAGCTACAAACAAGTGAGTGAAACAAGCATTTGCGAAAAAGTAATTTTACAATTCAACGCATAAAAATACAATTATCGAAATTATAATTTATATCGGAATTAACATACAATTATAAAGATGGATAAAAGTAAAGAAAAAGAGGAACAAAGCATCATGGATAAATCCATGAGATCTGTTTTCGGTGAGTTTTCTCCGAAAAAAACTTAAATAAATGTCTTCATATGGCCCTTTAAATTTCTTCTAATTACAAACATTGCTTCCAGTGGGTAATATACCATACGAAGCCACAGAAGAGAAATTAAAGGACATATTCAGTGAAGTAGGACCCGTCTTGTCTTTCAAACTTGTCTTCGATCGCGAAACCGGTAAACCCAAAGGTTATGGGTTTTGTGAATATAAAGACCAGGAAACGGCTTTGAGTGCCATGAGAAATCTCAATGGATACGAAATTGGTGGTCGTTCGTTAAGAGTAGATAATGCTTGTACAGAGAAATCGCGAATGGAAATGCAAGCTCTAATGCAAGGACCTCAGGTAACATTTACTCAAACGATTTTGATATTTTTAAGTTATTTTAATAAGCACTTTATACAACCTTAGAAATATTGTTTATGTTCACTATCTCCCAAATTTAACAATGACTTGGACGGGCATGGGATCCTTGATTGTACAGGAAATACTCTATATAAGTTAATCCTTAAGATTGGGAGAGTGTTGTCAGATATAGGCCTTGTAGAAGGATCAGAAGATTGTTTAGATTATATCAGTCAGCTAGAGAACAAATTGGTGGAATTGGTGATCTCAAACTTCAATAGGAGTTGCGATTAAAAATAGCAACTAAGATAGAATTCGTTTTAGTCCTTTCTATTACCTGTACTGTGTGAAGTCTATAAAATGGTGCATTGATTGCAAATGTGGTGGCCAGTACCATGTACTGGTATGCAATTCTTGGCCAAATAATAATAGAAAGAATAAAATGCCCTTATCCATATAGAGCATAAAGAAACATGAACATGAACTATTGACCGTCTTGAGAGTAGGTACTATACTATTTACGGCTTGATTCATAAAGAGTTTGGTAAAACTAATGATCTAGATTCTGGAAGCTTATTGTGACAGAAATTTTTTGAAGAAAAAAGCCTGGTGGATATTACCTGGAAAATAATGTGATAAACTAGGTGGACACAAAGATCACAGGTAGTCTTCACCACCAAGTGGCTTTTGGGTGTGATAGAGCAAGACCACACACATCATGAAGCTCAGGTATAAGCTTATGATTGAAGGAAGATGTTATGTATTTGAGTCTCTTAAGAGACTTAAAAGCATTATCATACATCTGAGTCTGCTTTGCAATCATCCCTCTTGGGCCTTATATATAAATTTTCATTACCTCTGCTGTCATATAATTACAGGTAGAAAATCCTTATGGTGATCCAGTAGAACCTGAAAAAGCACCTGAAGCAATCAGTAAAGCTGTGGCGACATTGCCTCCAGAACAGATGTTTGAACTGATGAAGCAAATGAAACTTTGTATTCAGGTAAATAAACCATTTATATGTAGTTGAAAATTTCATGAGCTTAAGCTCCCAAAAGGCCAAGAGGCTGAAAAAAAACATTACATTGTAATTAACAACGGAACTTATAAATAAACAGACATCCAGCAATATGAAAATTAAATTAAATCAATCTTTATTATAAATCTTCTAAGCCCAAATAAATGAAAGTCCTTATACAAATGCATTAGTAAAATTCAACAGAGATTTACAATTGTTTTAATTGATCATGAAAAATTAGAACTTCTTAAGCAAGTTCTAATTGCAAGTGATATCATAGTATAAAAATTATAAAAAACTGTAATGGGCTGCAAATAATAATTTATCATGTTGTATATATTCCAGAATAATCCTAATGAAGCTCGAAACATGCTTTTACAAAATCCGCAACTGGCATACGCGCTGCTACAGGCACAGGTCATAATGAGAATTGTCGATCCAGCCACTGCAGTTGTGAGTATTGACAAATATGAAAAAAGGCAACACCCCGATCACTGCCCTTGGGATGAAAGGCACGATGAGTAAATTAACCCATAGACACAGCTCACTAAGTTTCTCGCCGGATCTTCTCAGTGGGTCGCGTTTCCGATTCTGTGAAGCACTGCTCTTGCTAGGGCCAGTGTTACCAACAATTCAGTTTGAGCCCCATGAGCTCATCAATACGCCAAGGAGAAGCCGAAATAGCCTCTCAAAGCTATCAGCATAGGTAGGAAAAAAAAGGGAAACACCATAAATGACAATTTAAGATTGTTAGATGTAGTAAGGTAAATGCCTCTTGCCACCTTGAGTCATCAAAGACTTAATTGTATTAGAAAGAATGTATATCCTATTATTTAATTGGATTGCATGGTCTCCTTGCAGCAGAAATGGGCAATAATGTAGTTATTTTTATAAAGTTCATAAGGGGATAAACATGGTGAAATTGCCCTATATAACATAATATACATATAATAAATAATAACATAATCTTCGCTTTGGGGGAGTATAATTATTGATAGAACTATAAAATACCAACAATTTCACATGTTTTACCCAAATGTGTTGTTGCATAAAATATATGATCAAAATAAATATTTTTAACTCAGGAATGACATAGAGATGTATATCCCTTATAATGGCTTTAGTTTTTGTATTTGTTGAAGTTTTATTTCTGCTCTAATCATTGTTCATTTTTTATTTATTGGTTAAATAATTTCAGACAATGCTTCATCCAAGTAACCCTGTACCTCCAATCTTACTACCGGGTGATAAACCAGCCCAAACGAATACTTATATACCATCCAATCCACCACCAGGTAATAACTAGTTAAAATAATCTATGTAATTAACATAATATAATATAATAGTATAAAATGTAAAGTAAATATTTATCTAACAAGTATTAACTCTAATCAAAGTTTTGGTATTAGCTAGCTTTTTGAATAAGTAAGTAAGCTTGAGTACAAGAAAGAGTAAAAATACATGAGTGATATTTCTATTTTTGAAAAGACAACTTACCCGAAACTACAAAATTTTGTGTCAATAAAAATAAAATAATATAGGATTATATTTGTTTACAAATCTAGCACAACCACCGATACACAATAATCCCGGACCGCCACCCAACCAGTACAACAATTGTAAGTACAAATTTATATATGTACGTACATATATGTTATTATCTAGTATGTTATTAATAGTTTGAATGTCTTAATCTCCAATGTTAATTACCAACTAATTTATGACTTGCGCACCATGTTCATACATTTCTTAGCCAATTAAAAATAAATTCACGTCATTACGGATCCTCCAGATCCACTAACAGTGCTTTTAGGTATCTCAAGCACCGGTCATCGTTCTCGTCGAACCCGTCGCTTGCGACGAAGGGTTCGGCAAGTAAACGAACCCACAGACACAACCTACTGAGTTTCTCGCCGGATCTTCTCAGTGGATCGCGTTTCCGATCCGGTGGTAGATTCTGCGAAGCACTGCTCTAGCTAGGGCCAGTGTTAGCGACACTCCCGGTTCGAGCCCCGTGAGCTCACCTACTCGTTCGGTAACGCTGATATAGCCTCTCAAGGCTATCAGCTTAGGTAGAGAAAAAATAAAAAATAAAACATCTAAACCATCAATACAATGAGAGTCATCAAACATTAGCGCAAAGTAATTGAAGACATGAGTGGATATGAAGGAGATATGATACAATTTGTTAATTTTGAGAAAAAGGGTAACAAACTTTTGTTACTTGTACTTTTTCTTCGTACATAACTCCTTCATCACATGCAATTTCTAAAAAAATGCGTTTAAACCCGGAGTTTTAATATGATTTATAGGCACACAACACCTTCATTAAATCTTAAAAATGATACTTAACCCCTTTATAACCCACTCGCGTCTTCAATTGCAAGTCTGCAATGTATCGCTATGTTTAGCATTCGCCAACTCCATGTCATATAAGACGCATCTTGATTTTAAGTTGTTACCGCAGCCTATAGACATCTACAACGTAAAGGCCGCCACCCACCTTGAGATATGAGTTCTATGGTCTCAGTATAGTTACAACGGCTGCCCCATCCTTCAAACCGAAACGCATTATTGCTAAACGGCAGAAACAGGCGGGGTGGTGGTGCCTACCTATGCGGACTCACAAGAGGTCCTACCACCAGTAATGACGTAAATCCCGCCACCCACCTTGAGATATGAGTTCTGAGGCTCAGTATAATAGCCTATTTCATTAATCATCGTTAAATTGAATCTTCAACAGCCCGTCCGTCCATGGATGTGGATCTTCGCGGGTCGCGAGCTCCCGGTCCCGCGGCGCCCCCTAACGCCATGCCCGCGCTGCTCGACCAGGACATGCGCAGTCTGCCGCCGGTCGCCCCGCACCCGGTACCGCCGCCGATGCATCATCCCCAAGATCCGTACGTATTTATTGGACAACTTCTGAGCTCACTTACTAATTAAGGTTACGCTGAAATAGCCTCTCAAGGCTAGCTTAGGTAGGAAAAAAAAGGACAACTTTCTTTTTCCGTGGACTGGAAGGGAAGCGGAAGGACGCGACACTTCGCCAAAAAAAAAACGTTTGAAACGACATAGCTGAAATTTTACTAAAAATCGTCGTGGCCTAAAGGATAAGATGTCCGGTTTAGCCCGGGAAGCAATTTATGGGCGAGACCTAATCAGTGCTGATACTTAGTAAATTATATCTTTGTCTGCATCATTAGGTCCTCTCTCGTACTTGCCTAACTATGTATAACGTTCGGTATTAAATGTTAAATTTTCGCAATCCAAGAATAAAAGAAAAAAAAAAAAAGAAAAAAGAACTTCTTTCACGATAAAAATAGGTTTTTATCAAATGAAAAATAGCTGTATGAATAAAACAAAATTCAAAATGATTTCGAAGCGACGAAAACATTCTATGAATTTTAAATATGTAAATTTTTTCTAAGGTCAAGTGAAGTCTTGTATTTAACTACAAAGCAAAAAAACATTAAGTAAAAATGGCACCTCACCACGTTTATTATTAGTGTTTTCGTTTGTATAATAGCGGGTAGATCGTAAATTAATTTCGATAAGTAACAGGAAATTCTTTTAACCTATCTAATGCATCGCATTACTTTTCTTCTTCAAGTTTGATCCTCTTTGTGGAGACGACAGAAGAGTGAGTTCCATAAAAAAATCATCTGCCTAATATGTTGTTAATATGTGAGGTAGAATGAAACATATTATTGTTTCAAACTGGCTTTGATGTTATTAGCCTTGTCCAGTTTCTTAGGGATCAATTGGCATTTATTGACGTTTTGCGGTTATATAAATTATTTATTTTTATGAAATATTATTTATGAATATGAAAAAGTTATTTATAAAATTGTGTGTATTCATAGATAAATTCAAATCTAAAATAAATAAAATTACCATACCATCTTTTTAAACTACTATCTAAAATGCTCTTTAATTTGTGTAAATGATCAAAATAAATAGGTAGGTATTACTTTTTTTTTTTAAATGAGTGAGAAATGAGTTCATGAGTTTACAATCTTTAAATAATACGGCCGTCTAGTCTATGCCTTCAGTTTTTTTTAAAGTTCTAAAATGTTTATTGAAAACCGCAAAAAATCAAATCAAAATTATTTTGTCACTCTAAAAAGAACGATTTCATAACGCATTGTGAACGCAGAATGTTCAGAAACAATAACATCAATACCCGTGTAATAGATGTTTTTAATAAGGCAAAATGCGAATGTAATGCACCTTTTGAGAATGGTAGTTATTGTTGTAATGTTGACCCCTGACTCCTGATAAACTATATTTGTTTATATATTTTATCATTATTATTTTATATACAGGGTGTAATCCGTCAAGAAGCTGCTAAATTGACGCGAACGGAAAATATTTTCCATTTCGTTATATGTACTAGTATTCGTGCCTTGATCGAATTTCGACCTTACTTATTGACAGCTAAAGATTAAAATTCATTTAATATATTGCATTCTTGTCTTTTTATTTCTAGTTTGAAAGGAAAATAGTCTACTCACTGATTAAAACCAAAAAAGATTTCTTGATAATACAAAGTTAACTGTTCACTATGAGTATTATGCATATAAGTATGTGTTGCATGTATGACAAAGTTACTTAAACCTATTTTTCAGGTTTTTTTTTATCGGTATATTTTTATTTTATTTTATCACCAATTTTATTTGTATCGCATTAGCAAACAAAAGCTCCAATACACCCTGTATGTATTGAATGACAAAATGAATTTATTAATTCACAATTAGATCATTCGAAGTGATCTTACTGTCCTTTACATATCGAGGGGTGAAAGATTATCTGGTTTAAACAACATTTTTGCAACCTATTACTGGTGGTAGGACCTCTTGTGAGTCCGCACGGGTAGGTACCACCACCCTGCCCAGTTCTGCCGTGAAGCAGTAATGCGCTTCGGTTTGAAGGGTAGGGCAGCCGTTGTAACTATACTGAGACCTTAGAACTTATCTCAAGGTGGGTGGGTGCATTTACGTTGTAGATGTCTATGGGCTCCAGTAACCACTTAACACCAGGTGGGCTGTGAGCTCCTCCACCCAACTAAGCAATAAAAAAAAACCTTACAGAAGTGCCATTTCAAATTATAAATTTTGGAAAAATATCATAACAAAAAAACTTCTTCGGCTATTTTAATTAGAGTAAACTTAATTGAAGTTCCAACACGATGGACCGACCTCATAAAATCGGTGACTCACTCCAACATAAATAATTGCTCTGACTCTGCGAAACATCGTGCCACATGGCGTCGCGTCGCGAAAGCATCGGTATCGCAGGATCCGACTGATGCATGACCACGACCACTCTGTCAAGAGTGTACGAATAGAAGAAGAATTGAAGTTCATTTAAAAACATCGAACTGTTGATGCTAGTACCAAATAAAACACACCTTAAATTACAAAGATAAATGTCGCGTATTAAGCAAATGTCGTGTAAACCAAATAGCATTTCAGACCTCGATATGAAAACAAAAAAAATTGAGGTGTCAATAGTTTAAAAAAAATCCTCTCTATTTTGTTACCGTCGACAATGATGAGTGAAAAAAATATTGTGGATGTATAAATTCAATAAATATCAGAATGTGGCAACGTAAAACTTCCCACGTGAATGTTTATATGTGCTTGTGTGTTTTTTTTCGATATTTTGTCTAATAATTTGTTCTGAATAGATATATTGTTTGTACCAACAGTAGTTACCCGAGAGATCCACGTTTGGCCAATGCTCCACCGTACAACCCGGATCCGAGGGTGCGTTCAAGCGATCCACGAAACCAGCAGAAACCGCCACAACGTGAGTTTTGTTATGCGCATTGGCTCGTTACTCATGTTCATATAACATTATGAACATATTGTCGCCTTGTTTATGAGTTAAACTATATTTTTGCAAAATAAATCCATCCATAAATCCCATCGGGCTATGGAATGAGCTCCCCTCCACGGTGTTTCCGGAGCGCAATGACATGTCCTTCTTCAAACGAGGCTTGTGGAGAGTATTAAATGGTAGGCCGCGGCTTGGCTCTGTCCCTGGCATTGCTGAAGTCCATGGGCGACGGTAACCACTCACCATCAGGTGGGCCGTATGCTCGTCTGCCTACAAGGGCAATAAAAAAAAGTTATGTCCGTTATCTATCAAGAAAGAATTTTACACAGAACATATTTTTTTGTAAGAAGAACCGCATAGGTACCACTTGAAAAAAGTTTCACTCAAAAACTCTCAAACCATGAAGGTTCTGTGTCAATTCGAAGTCCCTATTACAATAGAACGGCATTTTCATACATTAACCCCTATTAATTCCACATGACATGGCATGACTAAAACATGCCTTATTTTTTTGCTGCTATATGTCTAAAATTTAGAGATGCCTTTAATGTTGTGATTTCTATGGCTTACCTAACCGCTTAAAATTAGATAGGCCAAAAACAAGAAACTAATTCGTATGTTTCGTCTGCTCTATATATTTACAAAATATTGAATTACAGAAATGCCTCCTGGCATGCCGAGCGCTGCACAGGCTAGGAACATTCAAGGTATTCCATCGGGTGCTTCTGATCAAGAGAAGGTAATTAATGAAATGTTTGGTTGCGAAATAACCCACGTCCATCACCTATCGAGTAGATAGTGCGCTCGCCTTCGACCACAATAAACATTATGAGTAATTTGTGACACAAATAAAAAACGGTGCGGTGAAATAAAAAACGGTGCGCGTGCAACTTGGTGCACGTGAATGAAGTGAAACTTCTTTTTCGATGTGTAGTATTGTGGTTTGGTTCATTTTTCATCCTGAAATCAGATTGCTCTTGTAATAGGGAATGCTGTGTATAAGAGATGCGACATCTTCAACTTTTATCTATACTAACATATAAATCTAAACCGGTTTTTACGGATGTTCCGTTATAGCTACTGAACCATGCATCCGATTGACTTGAAATTTGATATCCATGTCGAAAATACATGTAATTAATGGATAGTCTAATATTTATATGAGTATTGGACTCCCTAATAATAATGACAATAAATAATAATGTTAATTTTAAATGCCCAGCGGAGCGGGCGAGTACGGCTAGTATTATATATATATATTTTTTATTTTTTATTTTTTTTTATTGCTTAGATGTGTGGACGAGCTCACAGCCCACTTGGTGTTANTGGAGCCCATAGACACCTACAACGTAAATGCGCCACACACCTTGAGATATAGTTCTAAGGTCTCAGTATAGTCACAACGGCTGCCCCACCCTTCAAACCGAAACGCATTACTGCTTCACGGCAGAAATAGGCGGGGCGGTGGTACCTACCCGTGCGGACTCACAAGAGGTCCTACCACCAGTAATTACGCAAATTATAATTTTGCGGGTTTGATTTTTATTGCACGATGTTATTCCTTCACCGTGGAAGTCAATCGTGAACATTTGTTGAGTACGTATTTCATTAGAAAAATATATGTATTTATTTTATATTATAGATAGAAAAATAAATATATGTATATATTTTTTTAAATACTTCATTATAATATTGGACGCTACTCGTTGTTAACGCTCGCGCTGGCCTGTAACAGGTATACTCTGTCTCTTTCTAGTATGGTAGCGTTAAACGTTTAACGATACCTTGTGGGAAGTCGCATTAGAAGTTTCACTCCAATAAATAAACTTTTTAAAAAACTAACAAAATACGCTTTTATAGAAAATCCAACTAAAAAATAGAAAATAAATTATAATAAATTTGAATTAAAAATAGTGTAAGAAAAAATGAAGCGTGGGGTGCTTTTCAGGATATTATCAAAATATCTTTTCATAAAATATTTGATACCATGCGTAATCATGTTCAAAGATTCCGTTAAATACTAACATACATACGTCTGAAGCTAATAAAAGCGTATTAAAAACAGTAAGGCCCGTTCCGGCTCAATGTTAAAATGAATAAAAATATATTATTTTCATGGGTCATTATTGTTATCGGGTAGTTAATTAGATCGATATATAATACAGTATCCGTTTGTTTACAGGCCGCCTTGATAATGCAAGTGCTGCAGTTATCCGACGAACAGATCGCTTTGTTACCGCCCGAACAACGCGCCAGTATACTCCTGCTGAAAGAACAAATCGCGAAGAGCACACAGCAGCGTTAGAAATAAGAATCGAGCGAATCGTTTTCTCTGTAATTCGTGTAATCTGTAATCTTTAATAAAAGTTTTATTGAAAATTTTGTGTTGTTTCGGTATTTCCCTCATTTTTTCTCATTGCAAAAATTCTGAAAAGGGGTACGATGTTACAGATATCTCTTAAAAAAATAATGTGGTACCGGGAAGTGAAATAGTGTAAAGATTTGTCAGAGATGGCTTGTTTTGTTTGGCTAAATGAAGACTCCACAGCCTCAGTCTATTTTGTGTATCTTGGTTGTTCGAAAGGAAAGCTATCCTTTGCTGAACAAGAATCTACTTGGAAGTTGCAACGAGCATTTTTACTGACCAATTTCTAAATCTTATCTGTCACACTAAAGATTTTTCGATTTTTTTTCGTACTTCAGTTGATAGCCTTGAGAAGCTATTTCAGCGTTACCTTAGCGTGTAGGTAGCTTACGGGGCTCAAACCGGAAGTGTCGCTAACACTGGCCCTAGCAAGAGCAGTGTTTCGCGGAATCTACCACCAGATCGGAAACGCGACTTACTGAGAAGATCCGGCGAGAAACTCAGTGGGTTGTGTCTATGGGTTAATTTACTCGTCGAGCTCTTCGTCGCACGCGATAGGTTCGGCGAGAACAGGGGCCGCTGCTTGAGGTACATAGAAGCAGCGTTAATGGATCGAGAGGATCCGTAATGACGTGTTTGGAGCGACGTTGACTGTTTACCATTCGGTCCACAAGATCGGGTATGTAATTTCCGACGGCCACGACAAGAGGGTTTTCATGTCGTGCCGCCTTCTCAAAGTAGCGCATTGATGCTGACTGTATATATTTACTAATTGAGTCAAGCTCCAGTTCATCATGGAGATCCACATTCTTTAGGAACCATAGTGCTCCGACGTTCCTGCAAAAAAACGGGATTAAATGACTTGAAGGGGTTTCGATAGAGGACGGTTTCTTCTAACACTAAAAATCATTGTAAAAAACTAAAAGAAACAAGAAATAAATAATAGTATTTATTTATAATGTTCATAACCGCGAAAGTTTTAACAATTATATTGTACACCAGATAAAATGCTATCGTTATCTAATAAAACAGATTTGAGGTCAAATCATTTGGTTTCTTATCGCGTACGTGATGACATTATCAAAGAACATAATTATCTACTCTGAACGATAAATTAACGCGGATTAATCCATCTTCATTACTAGTTTTGAAGTGACTTAGTAAGGTAGGTAATGTATATACTATTACTTAAAAAAATAACATAACTAGAACTGAGAATAGTTATTAATCGAAAATTAATTATAACAGACCACAGTGGGAAATATAAATAATAAATGATAAAATATTTTCTATCTATTTAATATCGATTTTTTCTAGATGAAATTTATATAAAAATTACTATAATAACCATGCAATTGATAGTAAGGGTAACGTCGTCGATTTAGCCTTAATTGTTCTTTGTAGAGCAATAAATACAGCCTTCTGTCGAACTGTGAATATGAACGAGCTTAACGAACTTTATAAAAATCGTTGAATAGTTCTTGCATATGAACAAACCTGACAGCTGTCAAAATGACCTTTCCATTTACAACTGTTTACAACGCAGTATTGAAGTAATACCTGCCGTTCAATAATAAACTCTAAAACTACATGACAAACAATTGAGTTTTCATTACACCTTAAAATGACAATTCATTCGTACAAGTTCACGAGCCAAATTTTAATAATAATTTTAGACTTGTGTGCTTAGTGTTTACAAACTTGAATTCGAACAGGCTCGTGTGCTCCGTAGTGTTGAATACGAAACTTAAATACAATTAATTTGCTCAATAGATCCCAAGGAAGTATCGAGAATTTTTATTCCTAACTTCTTATGATTAAGGTATGTAATAAATACAATTATTAAGTACTGATGATCATAACTTCTGAGAGTATCATTTTTTTAAAATATCATTTAAAATAATTAAAAAAAAATTAAATTAAAAGTAAGTACTTTATAAGCTATATTAGGGCCATTTATTAAGCTGAAACATTTTAAAGTTTATTAATTTGTGTTTTGTTTGGTGTGCGCTTCAATCCTAGAGAAGGAAAAGTAATTTTTTTTTTTAATTATACCTATAAATGATCCAAAATTAATTTATTAATTTATGTGCCAATATTTGTGCGGTCAGACGTGAATAATTTAATGAGTAAGTTAGGTACTATAGAAGTAACAATGAGCATAAATCATTATTGAACCTTAAATATTATGTTTTTTTTGTGAAATTTCCACGCGGTAGGTAGGTACATTAAGCTACCAAATTTTGTCGCCTACGTACAAAATACACAGTATTATTATTATGTAGGTACATTATTTATTAACTTTTTGTGCATATTAGAATATTTTTCATTTTCATGACGTAACATGGCAATCCAATGATTGTTTCAATGTCATCATTTAAAATACGGTATATGAGTCATCTATTATCAAAGGTGGCAATCTGTGCATTTGGACAAAAAAATGTTATTGATATGTCAATACAGATTGATGTGAATATAATCGTCTCCTTCAAAGAATACGGTTTAAAACCTGCATTAAATAAAGGTTAATGCTTAACCTGTTATTTATCTAAGATGTCGTTCAGAAGAGTTTTGTGACTGCCAATGGAATACAAAGTCGATAATTCGTTTTTCTGATTTACCAATAATTGTCCAAAAGTCACATTGCCGGCTTTGATAATAGTCGACTCATATACACAAAAGAGCCCTTATACGTTCGTCCAGTCTGCATGTTCTAGTGATTTTACCATAAAACCTTTGGCGTTAATATAGACAATATGGCATCGAAGTTACTAAAATATAAAATGATTTTGGTAGTTAATTAGGAAAACATTTAGTAAAATAGCTATCTTAGTATAATATACGTATGTTAGTTGGTATATAGGTAGGTACGTTTCTTGTGAAAGAGCTTACTTCGGGCGAGGTCTTTCTCATCCAAAACTCGGAAGCGGGTTATAGAGTAATAGGGGATTTTTGTCGCATCAATTCTACCATGTTAATGTCGTATGTTAACGATTCATTAAAGTATCTACGTGTTATCATATCTAATAACGGGTGTGGCGTGGTAGAAAAAACTTGGGCTAGTAGGTAAAACGCCTGGCGAACTTGTATCAAGTGATGTGAAAATGCCGCAGATCAAATCCTGTTCACAGGATACCAATTTGAAGTAAATACGGAAGTATCCAAAGTAGAAGTCGTCGTGGCCTAAAGGATAAGACGTCCGGTGCATTCGGATCGAGCGATGCAACGGTGTTCGAATCCCGCATGCGGGTACTAATTTTTTAAATGAAATACGTACTTAACAAGTGTTCACGATTGACTTCCACGTTGAAATTTTTTGATTTGATTTGAAGAAATAACATCGTGTAATAAAAATCAAACCCGCAAAATTATCATTTTCGTAATTACTGGTGGCAGGACCTCTTGTGAGTCCGCACGGGTAGGTACCACTACCCCACCTATTTCCGCCGTGAAGCAGTAATGCGTTTCGGTTTGAAGGGTGGGGTAGCCATTGTAACTATACTGATACCTTAGAACTTATATCTTAAGGTGGGTGGCTCATTTACGTTGTAGATGTCCATGGGCTCCAGTAACCACTTAACACCAGGTGAGCTGTGAGCTCGCCTACCCAGCTAAGCAATAAAAAAAAAACGTGTTCACGAAGCATTCATGCATACCAGTTTATTGGGTAGTGCAGCTGTTAATTGATTTCATCCTCATGTCTCAAGCTGGATCCGGAATTCAGGATGTGATTGCTACTATCTGTGGTAAAAATTTAAAACTAGGTGAACCCACGGACTGAATAAAAATAGACGTGATAGTGTTCAATAAATCGTTTTAACAAAACGTTCTTCTATGTATGATGAACCTTGAGTTCCATGCAAACGCTCTAAACGTATCGAAGTCATGTAGGTACCTACTATATTTTAAAATTAATACTGATAACTTATTTAATAAATAAATATTTTTTGTCTCGACAATAAAACATTTCCAATAACAATGCTTTTAAAATAATATATTTTTCCTTATAGATAAAATGAAGTTGGAATTAATAGCGTTTTCCCTATGCTGCCTCAACTTATATGTAGATTGCGACTGGAAACATGATCGCCGTGGACATCAAAGGAGTTGGCAATCAAGAGACAGCGCAAATGAAATCACTTCACGGCGTAGATCCGATCCTCCTGACCACACTAAGCTCATACCTATGGCACGATACGTGCTTCACAGTGCTGGTAGGTAGTGTGCTTAAATTCATGACTAGACAAAATAACATATTCTTTATAGTTTATGACGACGAAGATTTAAAAAAAATTTTTATTAGTTTTTGAAAAGGCCGATGAAAGGGCCAAGTAGCCATTCATTAGTCATTCTGCAATAGATTCATACTGTAATGTACTGTAACTGTTTTTTAAATTTCGAATAGCATTCTACTGTTATTGTTAAAAGATTACGTTTGTTGGTTTATGCAATAATCTCTGCTCCATCAGTTAAAACGTGTATATCTAAATAGTGTATAATCTATGGTTTTTTTAAATATTTACATTGTCAATTCATTATTACAATCGATAATTGTACCTAAGTGACGAGCAGGATTGTGTAGTGCTCTCTACACAATTCTGTGCCCACTCACATGATATGTTGATATTGTTTCATCATTTCGTTCGTCTTAGTGAATCACTGTTGCATCACGAGATTATCGATCGGAGTCAATGCAGTTTTTTGCAAAGGACGATTATCTAAGCTGACGGACAGGGCTGAATCTAAAACGTTTGTTCGTTTATTAACACAGATTAAATTATGTACACAATTTATGTTAGTCTATGCTGTCAACTTTAAATCACCACTATACTGGGTGTTAGGAGACTGCTTCCGAAAACGAAAACTCGCACGAGTAATTGGCTATTTTAGCCATGAAGGTGGACAGCCCATGTTCAAAATAATTGAGACATTGTGTCCACGTTTCAACTTGTGCAGCGGCATTCATTTTAGTTCCTTAATCATAACTTAATACTAGGTGATAGAATTATATGAGCTCGTTTATCAATTACAACAACAATTGTAAACAGACATGCTTTAACAAAAATCGACTTCAAAAAACAAAAAAAAATGATATTCCAAAACAAATTAATATACACTAAAAACAATAATCATCGAAATCGGTTGGCGTGATATTGAGTTATTCATCTATTTGTCGCGCACGTACATAATGCAAATTTAAGACTTATATGGTTTCCTCATGGATTATCAGAACTGGACTAAATTGAAATGGAACCACACGGGAAGCGTCAGCTTTCTGATAAAAAAAGAATCATTAAAATCGATTCACCCAGTGAAAAGTTATGAGGTAACAAACATTAAAAAAGAAACCATATAGTCGAATTGAGAACCTCGTCCTTTTTTGAAGTCGGTTAATAAAAGAGCTATTAACAAATACTTACTTTATTTATTAAACATACAAATACTAAAGAATAAGAATATTCTCGTAGAAGCTTACCTACTGGCACAAACAGATGATTGTTACCTACAAAACTGACCTACATCTTTTTTTTACATTTACAGACTGGGCTTCGTTGGCTACGATTTCAAATCTACCAGCAATCGAAGGATTCCCGTTTACAAACGTGAAATCTGTCGTGGACGGATCTTTGGCGAACTCAACTGGAGTGCCATACTTTTATATGTCACCATTGGACTTCAGTGCCCGGGATTTAACAGTGAGTAAAACCTGTTTTTTAACATGCTTTTAAACGTACGAAAATCTTGTTTAAGCTTATAGGGAAATGTCAAATGGATAATGAAGTCGTCTTATTTTTTTACTAGTGTAGACTGGAAAGACGAGGTCACTAGGTAGTGATTTTTACCGGTGATGCAGGGTATTGCGAGCTCACAGGGGTAGGCAGTACCTATTCCCGATATAGAACGTGAATCGTTTTAATCATTTGAATGTTAGCCATGTTTTGAGGCGAGTAACAACGTTGTGATATTTACGGGTATTGTTAAACACATAACACCAGCTCAGAGGTGAGCTCGTTAAATATCTAACAGTAAAAAAAAAACTGTCTACGATTTTAAGCAATTAGCGAAGTGCATAGATAAAACAAAGAGAATGGATTTTCTGCTTTAACCTTTCATTACCCGTTGCCACAAACGTATTAAAAAACAAACCAAGAGGATATTTTGTCTCGTTTATGTAACTATTTCAAAATAGCTCACCTCGAACATCTGCTACCTAAATATCAAGTGTATGATCGATATCTGCTACAAACCACAACGTCATCTTTCGATGAATATCCTAAATAATTTAACGTAGTAATTAAAAAGCTTCTAATTAAGACTTGTATTGACTCTTCAATCCACGGTACACGTTAGGCATGGGACTAGTTATAGACTGAAAATAAATTATTGAAATTTATTATTTTACATAATTTTTTATTAGAGCTTACTTCATTAAAGCCAATGCTATGGTACATTATTGGGCAATTACATCGAACGTTGAGAAAAAAAGCGTTGCTTTTCCTAGAAATAGAATAATTCACTTTATGTCATATTGTAGGAGTGTGATATAATTTTGTATTGTAATCAATTGTTACGCCGTCTAGTAAAATTCCCCTTGACATTTAAATTTTAATACAAACTGATATATTTATATAATTGTATAATTTGACATATACGACATAATTACATAACTCGAACAATAATTTTAACTATATCAATATTAATTAATTATCACGACCAATTCATTATTTCAGCGCTATCTAAGATTTTTTAAATTTAATAAATTTTCGTATCATAAATATACCTATAGCCGGCTATTGTCTATTGACAGCAGCACCTGTATTATTAATTTCATGGAATCAATAAAAAAAATACCTACACATGTGAGTAAAAGTAAACAATTTACATGAACTATCGGATTCTCACGGATTGTTTGGAACCTTTGGGTCTGCGGAGGGACTTCGGTTCCCTCTGTATTTTGTACCGTATGTTCCATGGGGAGTGCTCTGAGGAATTGTTCGAGATGATACCGGCATCTCGTTTTTACCATCGCACCGCCCGCCACCGGAGTAGAGTTCATCCATACTACCTGGAGCCACTGCGGTCATCCACAGTGCGTTTCCTGAGATCTTTTTTGCCATGTACCATCCGGCTATGGAATGAGCTCCCCTCCACGGTGTTTCCCGAGCGCTATGACATGTCCTTCTTCAAACGAGGCTTGTGGAGAGTATTAAGCGGTAGGCAGCGGCTTGGCTCTGCCCCTGGCATTGCTGAAGTCCATGGGCGACGGTAACCACTCACCATCAGGTGGGCCGTATGCTAGTCTGCCTACAAGGGCAAAAAAAAAAAAATTGATTTGAGATGTTCATTTACCCCTTCCAGTCGTGCTTCGGATTTCACGCGCACAATCATTATACTTTAATTTAATTCTTTATTCGTATAGTTAAATCCAATTTAATATGTACCTTTTTTTGCCTATCTATTTTAGTAACTGCGAGGGGTTATTCTAGATTCACTGAACAGAACTAGTAGGTGAGCTTACGGGGCTCAAACTTGCTAACACTAACTCTGGCAAGAGCAGTGCTTCACAGAATCTACCACCGGATCAGAAACGCGACCCACTGAGAAGATCCGGCGAGAAACTCAGTGGGCTGTGTTTATGGGTTAATTTACTCGTCGAGCCCTTCGTTGCAAGCGACGGGTTCGACGAGGACGATGACCGGGATATGTACCCATGTTTGGTATACAGGAGATTGATGATTTGCATAATAACGATGTAATATTATAATATCTATGCATCAATTTGGAAACTATCCATTCTTGTAGTCGTTCTGTCTAAATTCTACAAGTAAACGACTTATACAATATCTTAATTATAACTTTGTTTAATGTCTTGTTATAGAAAAACAGTCGAGCTACTGTTCTCGTATCTTTAGAAGAAACCAAATTTTGTGAACAGAACAACTACGACCCTGAAGATCCACGTTGTACGAGACTTATGCTCTCCGGTAAAATGAAGAAGGTCAGGTTTTGATTTGGTTAATTTAAGTTTATGTATTTCGTATAAAAGTACCGAATGAATGAATGAATTAAATCCTTTTGTAATTCAACGTAAATCGATTCGATTACAAACATATTTATTTGTTTTTACAATATCTTGTTTATTAAAAACCAGATTATTTTCAGGTCAAGGAAGGCAGTGATGAGTACAAATTTGCTAAGGCCGCTTTATTCGAGAGGCATCCGGCAATGGCTAATTGGCCTACGGGTTAGTAAAAAGTCCACTGTTAACTTTAGGACCACAAAATAGCTCTCCATCCGAGTAGTGATTATCAGTGTGCTTAGTGCGAGTTTCTTAACGTCCTCGATAGCGTAAAAGTTAACCCAATTTTGTATGCAGTTGGAACAGCGCCCCTAACGGCAAACGTACGCAAACCATCCCATTCCATACAAATATTTGCAAACTTTTACGCTATCGAGAACGTAAAAAAAAAACTCGCACTAAACACACAGAGCTCATAGGCGTTTTTGTTTTTATTCCTACCTATTCGCTAATAGCCTATGAAGCTATTCCAGCTACGCTGTGGTTGACTGATGAGCTCACGGTGCTCAACCTAAGTGAGTTTACTAACACTCGTATAGTAGTAGGCATAATAAGCATAACAAGCGCAACATAATAGGCGTAATAACGAAGTGAATGATGCCTTCCTCGGTCCTTTGTGACGCAAAATCCAAGTCTCAATTTTATTATAATAAATGGCTATCCTAGTCCTTAAAGGCGAAGGCATGACTGCTTTAAGGCAGGGATACGCACGACCATTATACCTTACCTACAAGTAATTAACAATTTTTACACGATGTTGTTCCTTTATTTGAGAGGTAATTCATAGGTGTATGTTTATTTATTTAGTGAAACTAGTTATTGGTAAAATACAGGAACCGCAACCCAATATGTCGTCACGGCATACAAATATTTTATTTGAGCCATGAGTTTTACCAGCGCTTTACAGTGAAATTTCTTTTGATATTTTCAGATCACGACTGGTTCATAGCCAAAATGAAAATTGCTCTAATAGCGATGGTCGATTGGTTCGGTGGAGCCAAATACATTCCAGTTCGCGACTACTTGGCATACAATTACACGGGCACCGAAATGCTTGAATATTATAATCATTTACAACATAAGCATGTAATCGTTTAACTTTTTTTTTTCTAACTTTCACGTTATAGGTTACGGATTCTCAGTTTTTTTACAACAGTACAAGGTTAATTTTTATTACTGGTGGTAGGACTTCTTGTGAGTCCGCGCGGGTAGGTACCACCACCCTGCCTATTTCTGCCGTGAAGCAGTAATGCGTTTCGGTTTGAAGGGCGGGGCAGCCGTTGTAACTATACTTGAGACCTTAGAACTTATATCTCAAGGTGGGTGGCGCATTTACGTTGTGGATGTCTATGGGCTCCAGTAACCACTTAACACCAAGTGGGCTGTGAGCTCGTCCACCCATCTAAGCAATAAAAAAAATATTGGAATCATAACTATACACTGGTATTTTATATTTGTCTACTCAATATTTTTCCTAAACAGAACTAACAAATACGAAACATGTAATAATTTGAATTTTATCTTTTTAACGATTATGTAATTATGTATAAAGGGGAACAATTTGGTGTCTTAGAAGCAGAGGTGTAATAAGGAAAATGTGAACAGTTAAATTTTAATTGTACAGAGGTAAAAAGTTTTTAGAATAAAACAACTAAATAAATTTTTATATTTTTAACAATAGTTTTATTTGAAAATAAATTAGTAGATGTACCCTGTAATGTTGAATCGATTGTCTTTAAAGAAGATTCGACGCGTAGGTTAGGAATTTTAGACGGATTACTTCCCCGACCTTACTTGAACGCTCTCCTCTATCTCTTTCTCTTGCCTTAAAAGCGATCATTCAAACTATCAGTTCTAACTTATTAATGAAAACACAGTATGTCTCGCGTAAGCGGTGTTCAAATGGATGTTTAAATGGGTGTATGAAAATAAAATTGTCTTCATCTTCAAAATAATTTAATAATCGCTAGAACACATTTAAATTTCTACATATTAAATTTATATATTTTTCTAACTATATACATATGTATATAATCGAATCAAAATCGAAGTTTTAGGAGTAGGTACCTATATACATTCTCAATTTGTTACATTCAATTTCGAATTAAAAATAAAACAGATTATTAATAAATACTTTTATTTTATTTACATCATTTTACTCAGAGCAAGTGTATGGTGAAACAAAATCAATTGCTCAAATTAATAAGTGTATTTATGTACATATTATAGAAGATTCTTAAAAAAATACACAGAATACTGATCTAATCAGCAGTACACAACCACAGAACACAATTTTATCCTTGTATATTCCAGAAACAAATTTGCTTGTATTAAATAACTAACGGACCCGGCGAGCTTTGTTCCGCCACACGGTTAATTTGTTGCAAACACATCAACCGGTCAACTTCAAAATTTAACCATAGACCGTTTAGCTGTCAGTTGCGTTTTGTTATTCCATATCAGTTGCGTTTTTTTATACCACGTTTTATGTCACGTCCCACGGGAATGTGATAAAAAGTATCCTATGTCCTCCTGGCCCTAAGCTACCTTCTCACCAATTTACAACCAAATCAGTTCAGCCGTTCTTGAGTTATAACTGGTGTAACTAACACGACTTTCTTTTATATATATAGATATGTATAGCAACCTAAACGGTAGTCGCCACCAATCAAGAGTTCTCGTTGTCGGCTCTCAGCGCGACTCAAACAGTAGTGAGCGAGGAATTTCTTTTAGCAATCACCGGTCATCGTTCTCGTCGAACCCGTCGCTTGTGACGAAGGGTTCGGCGAGTAAATTAACCCACAAACACAGCCCACTGAGGCTCTCGCCGGATCTTCTCTGTGGGTCGCGTTTCCGATCCGGTGGTAGATTTTGTTAAGGACTGCTCTTGCTAGGGTTAGTGTTAGTAACGTCGTCACGCTTGAGCCCCGCGAGCTCACCTACTTGTTAGTGTTACGCTGAAATGGCCTGGCCATCAGCTTAGGCAGGAAAAAAATTAGAAACAAAAAACTGGCGCTCCAACGTGGTAGGAAAAATCTAGCGGTGAGTCGGCGAATCGGTAATTGTTCATCATGGTGAACACTCGAAGTGATAACCGTGCGGGCCAAAATCGCAGGGATGAAGATGCAACGGACGCGTCGTCTGTCCGTCTCCCGCGATCCAATAATAATATGGCGCCGACGACGCCTCGCGCAAAATCTACGAGCCTTTTCGAAAAGCATCTACAAGCGCTTCTCCCGCCTGCGAAATCGGCGCCACTGACGCCTCGCGCTTCAAACACCACAACCGAAGCAACTTTCTCCAGCGAGCACGTGTCGACGATATTAGAGGCACTACAGCGGAGCCAAACAGAGGTTTTGAAATCATTATTTGACACGATACGGCATAACACATCAACACCAGCGCCCGCATCACATCCACACGCGAACTTCGCCCGATGTACCACTTTAGTGGGGCGGCGGACGAATCGCTTGATGCCTTCCTGGATGCGGCCGAGGCGTATCGCGACTGCTCCGACATCTCGGATGAGAACGGGAATGGTCCATGCTGCTGTGCGAAGCCGGCGTCTGGTGGCTGGATGTAATAAAGGCCTCCATACCTTCGTGGTGCGATGCCATCTTATCCCTAAGAGATGCTTTCGGTGATCGCAGGTCTCTACACTCTACATACGCTCAACTGTTCAAACGAGGTCAACAGAACGATGAAAGAACCGGCGACCTAAGCGAGAAAGTCGAACGACGAAGTAAGTTCATTCGACGTGCTCCTACAAAGAGCGCTCCAAATTGAAGACGCGACGGACGAGCTTCGCTACAAGCACGATGCCTCAAGACCAACAGGAGAATTAGCAAAAAAGCCATAAGAGTCAACGGCAAAATAAAACTCACTCAAAATGTAGTGAAAGTGCAGTTAAAAGTGATCAGTCATTTTACTGCGTCGATTATAGACGCTTCAATGCGATAACCAAGGCCATACCCCATGCCCCTATGCTGGGCATGGGGTATGAACGAATTGCTTCAGAACACGAAGAGAGACTGTTTTATGAGTACGCTTGATTTCCGATCCCCATACTAGCAACTCAACGTTAGAGAGCACGACAGAGACAAGACTGCCTTGGTCTGTTTTCTGGGTACATTTCGTTTCAAGAGAATGCCGTTCGGATTGCGCAACGCGTTACAAGAGGTAACTTTTTTAAGGTACTTAGATGATATGTGTATAATATCTCAAGGGTACAAGCGCCATCTACAGGACCTAGAGAGAGTTTTAAAACGTCTTGCGGAATTCAACCTACACCTCAACAGAGAGAAGTGCGTTTTCGCAAGACAGAGCATCAAGTACTTGGGGCATGTCATTACACAAGAAGGTTTCTACCGACCCTGAGAAGGTAAGCGCTGTGCTTGAAATATCCGAATAATCTTAAACACCCCAGGACATTCAAACATGCTCCTGGTTTCGAAAATTCATGCCAAATTTTTCTAAAGTCGCCGAACCCCTGACACGCCTTATGAGAAAGAACCAAATCTGGATCTGGGGCGCAGAGCAGCTGAGAGCGTTTGAAGAGCTGAAGCGTCTTTTGACCACAGCTCCCATACCAATACACGCCGACTTTAGCCGCCCCTTCATCCTGCGCACGGATGCAAGTGACTACGCCTTGGGCGCAGTTCTATTACAGGGTGACGGAAATCAGGAGAGGCCAATCGAGTACGCTAGCCGTCTCCTCAACGCGGCGGAGCGAAACTATTCAACCACTGAGCAAGAGGTTCTCGTCAAGTCCCACCTTCTCAGCAAAGGGTCGAAGGACCTTACTGCCAAGTTTTTCCCACGCCGCGATAGTCCTTATATTATTGCCCAAAAAATTTGTCCTCCGACTTACACAACCGCTATCACCGAACAGAGTGAGGTTATATTAAGGAAATAGCCTACCCAAGACCGTACCTGTTGCCATGGTAACAAAGACTCCTTACTCAAGCCTATGATTCCTAAGAGGAAACGTGGACGTCCAGCTAAGGCTGATAGTGTCCTAGTCCAGGAGCGAGAACGTTCTTCAGGACTAGAGGGGGAGTATATAGCAACCCAAACGGTAGCCGCGACCAATTAGGACCTCTCGATTTCGGCTCCCAGCGCGACTCGAGTAATGCGCGCGGGATTTCTTTTGGCGCGCCACACGCGGCCCTTTCTGACTCGGCTGTTCACCCTTAAGTGTATAATCTATGGTTCTCCCGCACCCACCGAGGCGTACGCACGCATGTACGCCCGCCTCTCTCGCCACTCGCCGCCATTCCTTTCGAACTCGGGATAACTATGTTAACTGTAACTAACGAAATTATCCAATAAACTTGTTTGTGAGTGTGACCCTCTGGAGTTTTCATTACCCGGTGCTCCAACTGGGCAAAATAAAATATGTATAATAATAACAACATAGTATGTTTACAAAAACTTTAGGATATTTTTATTTAATTTCAAATTTATTTTAACACATAAACTCTATCTTAGGGTTATCTTGTTATTGAACTATTTATCAGGGACAAGTGAGAACAGTTTTATAATATTTAAAATTCACAGGAAAAAATTAGATTTTTTTAAGTTTAAGGAAGTATTTAATAAATAATGTAATTTGCACCTGGGAATTATTTGAATTTAGCGACGCAAAAACTACTTGAAAATGATAGTCAATCTGCATCTCAGTCATCTGTCATATGAATAATAAAATGAATTCAAAATTTCAGAAATGGCAACTTAACATAGGGAATGCTGTTGTAGATATAAGAGTAAAAGGCCTTTTGATGGTAAGTGGTCGAACACAGACGTCAGTAAAAACGGGTGCGCTTAGCTTAGCTGCTACCCACTAATTATTCTATGGCAATATAAAATAACAATTTCAGCTTTGTTTTTTCCTTATTATGGAACTATGCTTTTAGTATCATCTTCTTTAACCTAATTGTAATTTACAGAGGTTTGGAGTAGAGCGCCACAGAATAAATACATTTTTCTTTCTCTTCAAGATAACATTGTTTTATAACAACTGAACTCTTCCATTACAATGGACACAAGAGGCCACTGGACGAACTGTATTACCACTACTGCTGTAGGCGTGATGAACTAAGGCATTCACTGGGACTTCATTGCTTCTTTTTATATCTAATGGCATTGCCATAACCTGAAAATTTAAGTAATGAAATGAAATCATAATGATAAGTTTTTGTTACTGTCTGACTTTTAGGTCAGAGGAAAGATAGAGAAGCCATGGTTGGATCATATCTAATACATATGTATCTAATTTTTCTGTAAAATAAATGTTCCATTTGGAAGGCTAGTATATTCATTCAGCTTTATGACAACGTTGTGGCAATATTAGGCTATGGCAGGAGTCACATATCTCCCGCGCGCCCCCTACGCGCGGGGACCTCGTAGGAGGTTCGGCCCTCGGCCCGAAAAAAAAAAAAAAAGTAGTCACATATCTAATATTGGAACATCAACATATGACAGGTGACAGTAGTTTTAACAAATTAGTGTAATATGGTATATTTTGAAATAGCCACAGCCAAGTGTAAATTATGTTTCTCTAGTAATTTATAATTTTATGACGTAACGACGTCTTATAATTCGATGGAGGTGGTTGCACACAAAAAAAACATGACTCATGCGGCGTTACCTCGCTCTGAGGCGTACATGTTTTCGTCAAGTATGAAGTTGAGTGAAAAGTGAATGTGGTGTCAATTGTTTATAGCAACGATAATTGCGATAATTGAAAAATGAAACCATTCCATTAGTATTTTCTTAGGACGTTATCACGTTCAACTATCGTCAGTAAACCGACTTTACAGACAACCGATTTTTTTCTTTCTTATATACTGAAATATTTTAAGTAACAATAAAAAAAAAAAATGTACATAATTAATACTTACATTTTCAGCATTCTTCTCCCCTTCAGTCCTCGTTGGTAAACTGTTTATGTGGCTTATGTCCTGCTTTTCAACTGAACTGCTTAGATTCTCAGACAATTTTAAGTTGACACAAGCAAGGTCTATTACGTTTCCTGAATGTGGTAATGTCGCATTGAAGTTCATATTCCCAATAGGACGATTGTATAATCTACCACTACCAGTGTATTCTGAAATTGTGACATTTTCAAGCCACTTTTCGTGTAAACTGTACAAATTTTTGTATGTGCAAAGCAACATATCTCTTACTCTACATTTTTCATCTAAAAGTTGTTTAATAGCTTGTTGAAGATTTTCCGTTTTCTCATTCAGTTGCTTCTTGCAAGTTGCTAATTCTTCTACCATCAAACTGGGAATGAATTAATGAATACTATTAATACAAAGACATAGACTAGAGATACATAGACTTTTTAAAGACAAAATATGCTACGATACGATAATCTTATCACAAGTTTTTACATTTCAGTGAATACACCCAAATCTTAATATTTTTAAAGGTAGTCTTTTAGATTTATGTTAATCACACATATCATATTTCAGTATTGATAAAATAATAGTATTTATCAAGGAACGAAAAATTTAAATTTATTCAATTTTGACATTAGGATTCATTAAAACATATAAGAGAAAATAATCACCTGCTTGCAAGAAATTTACTTCTCCAAACTTCACATTGACCAGCTAACCATTCTGTTTGTTCCTGTAAAGTGTTATATTTATTTTTAATAATTTTTTGAAATAAAATTTTTAGAGGTTTGAACAGCAAATAACATATTTTAAATTTAAATTTGGTTATTAAAATAAGTAGTGAGTTTACCATTTCAAAAGTAATATTGTATTAATTAGTTTGTTGTACATTGCCATACTTAAAACATAGGTCTATGGCACTTGACAATTATAGCTGTTTACTACAACACAAGTTTTTTTGTTCAAGGCACCAATCTCAATAATATGCTGAGAGATTTGGGCAAACTAATTTTGAGTTGTTAATGGCACATTTGCACTGTGTTTCCTATGTGGGTTTATAGCTGTTTAGCTGTTGATTATATATTTACTATAACATAACTATGGGAACACATACACAAATTAAAACATAAGTTCAAAGTCAACAGCACAGGATTATTGCATCATGGCAGTAGTTGTTTGTAGCCGAGTAGATTTGGTTCACCTTCCTGCACATATTTTGGACACAATACAATCTTGCTTACAATACAATCTTCCTTTAGCACCTAAGATAAAATTTATAGCAAGACTGGACTGGGGCTGGGTAAGACTAAACAGAAAAGTAGGGTATTACTGCTGTTATGTGCAGAGCTAGACAGTCAATTACAAATGCCCTTGTTTATTTTTAAGTAAATTCCTCTGGCCTTAAATTTTATTACCTGATGTGTAGACAAATGTTGAGCTGAGTTTAGTAATGCATTTGCTAAATGTTTCTTATCCTCGTTTAATGATTGAACTTGTGTTTCAAGATCTTCACCCATTGAAGCCACTAGCATAGTTTTAAGTTCTTTGTTGACCTATAATTGAATTTTCAAATATTTTTGTCATAAAGAATACATAAAATTTGTGCCTGACATTTTTTGTAATAACGAAACCTGTATAAACGACATATATAACATTGTCATTGAAAAGGTTTGTGTTATAATTAAATTACATACTTTTAATTCAATTTTTTATATTAAACTTGTGTATGAAGTTATACTTTTCTATTTTGAATATTTATTAAATATGAAGTTCATACCTGAACTTGTTGTTTTAATTGTTCTTTAAGAGAATCATTTTCTTTTGTTAAAAAAAGGACTTTCTTCTGAAGTTCATCTTTTTCAGGATTTGTTGTTTTAACCTCTACGGGTAGCTTGTCTCCAACAGAATTCAATTTGGGCCTCGGTTTAAACTCATTTAAATTAGTATTCATCTGCGCCATTTGTGATATAAGAGTGTTTATGTCCATATTATTTCTAGATTTTTTTGTTTTGGAATAGGCTTGCGTAGTTATAGGTTTCACGGCAGCCGGGTACGGTTCGTAAGGCACAAACTTTGGAGTTTTCGTATTAATTGATCTCCTTTTATCCGACCTTATCACATTACTGGGATAAAGCTGAATTAAACGCTCCGGAAGAAGGCATGTCTTTTGTTTTTCGAGGACACAAGTTTCAGTTGTTCCAACAGCAGTAGACTTATTTTCAATGATTTTTTGATCAGATTCCATTCCATCTCCAGCAGTTCTTTTTTTACTCATGATTTCTAGAAACACAAATAGTATTTATTATGATGTTTTGTTTTGTACACGCATTCAAAACAATGTCAGCTACTTACTTGGGCGGAACGGTGACACTTTTTCCATATTTACGTAACTTAGAATTACTGTTCGATTATCACTTATTATCTTATAATTCGCAAATGTAGGAAATGTATTTTCAGACAGATTTTAATCTATAACGAAGAAGTAAAAACATAAATGTAATTTCAGCAGTGTTTATGGCACTGAAGTAGGAAACCTATGGAAATGAAACGTCAACAAAAAATTCGTGCACTGAAGTAGGAAACCTATGGAAATGAAACGTCAACCAAAAATTCGTGCCACTGTGACGTCATCTGACCACAAAACATGGCGGTTTTAGTGCTGTAAAAAAGATTTCAATGCTATCAGGTTTTATCGATAAACGTTCTTGGCTCATTTTATTTTAAATATTGTTGAGTTTTATTTATTTGTAGAATTTATACTTTAATGGGAAGTAAGTAGGTATATTGTTATGTGCAAATATGATATGATTTAGATGGCTGAAATCTAAGACAAGTTCGTACTTCGAATTTGCGAAGTAAACGATATGATGATTTTTAAAAGTTGCTACACTGATTTTATAAAGTTGTCGTTTGTCGCAAAACATAAAGATATGGCGTAGTACAGTGCCATCTGCCCATTTCTAGCATGCTAAATGTTATCGTATTTTGAGTACGTGTTTTTCTTAGACTATTACAATCTATTTTAATTGTTTTGCTGACTCGAAAGTCCGTAACACACTACCGCAGCGCACCCCAAGGAAGGTGCGCCGCACTATTGTTGATCGAAGGCCGCACTATTTGAATCACTTTCACTTGAGAGTGATTCAAATTTTAAACTTATCAAGGGACCGCGTGAAAAAAAACACCTACAGAACATTTATTCATTATTAAAAACGTCATTCCTTGTGACTTCTTCTCTAAAATCACTTAATTATTAAACATTTAACGAATTTACAATAGTGTTTTACTCACTGCGAATAAAACTATTTTATTTAAATAGTTCCGAAGAGATTTTGTCGGTAGCCTTTTTCCCGAAATATCTAAACAGAATGTCTAAATATGTTTTGATGACATATTTTAAAGAGGTATTTATGATTAGTGTCATGATCAATAGATTCCGACCGAAAAATGGTGTCCGATTTTTCNGATCAGTACGAGGCTTTGTGGCGGACTGCCGGCGCAGCAGCCCGGCGTCACCTGCGATAACGCATTTCGTGTGACATGCGCAATCAGGCGCATAACGCATTTCGTGTGACATGCTAGTACGATTTTGGTCCCCATAATTTTCATACCCCGGGCCTATATATGTAAATCGATTCTAAAGGAGTAAACTCCAATAAACTCCAAAAAAAACACATACAGTCAAACCTGGGTAAGTGAGAACTGGATAAGTGAGAAAACTCTATAAGTGAGAGTAATAGCCAGGACCCGTCATTTTAAGCTCCCAAAACCTCTATTAGCGAGAAACAGAAACCTCTGTAAGAGAGAGTCGTTTTTCCCTCGTGGACCTCCGTAAGTGAGACTGCTACTTATCTATACCTCTATAAGCGACAGTTGAGCTTTATTTATTTATATTATTTAGGAGGAATAAATGACAAAACAAATTACAAATTTAACATCTGCTATTTTATGACTCATTCTTAACTTTCATGGCACTTCCTACCATTGTTTTTGTATTGTTTTCTCGTCAATATTGAACCTATTCTATTTCGTGGAACTCAATAACGTTGTTATTTTATCGCATTCTTTTCGAATGGACACGTGTGCCTGTGTACCGTCCTGTTTATCGGATTTACTCAGTTTATCGTTAATCGATTGCGAAGGAAAGTTCTGTTCTGCATCATGTCAAAAACCGAAAATTAATGTACTGTCATTAAGTGATAAACTTAAAATAGTGAATGCGTTTGAATCCGGAAAATCACGAAATGAAATTCATAGGGTGCATTAGCGAGAAACTCGGGGTAGTGAGAAACCTCTATAAGCGAGAATGAGATTGTGTTCCCTTGAACTCTCGCTTATCCAGGTTTGACTGTATACTCCAAAACTGAGTTATATATTTACAAACTTTATGTCATCAAATGTCAATGGAAATGCGTAGTTAGCTGCCGCCCTAGGATTGTCTAATTTATTTGACGGCCTGTGATTATTGTCTATTTAATATTATATTTATTCTCAAAATAATTGTAAATGATGGTCTTAAACTCCTTGTAAAACTATAAAAATGTCCCGAAGTGATGATTATCTACATTTAAAAAGTATTTAAATAGCTGTCGATATTATTAATGTAATAATGTGTTTATAAAAGCTCAGTGAATGTATGAATATTTACGTTGTGATGTTTTAAAAAGAGTATATTATGAATAAAAAGTATTGTTCCCAATTTTGTGGCTTTTATTTATGGCGTTTAATATTTAGTTCCGAGGAACCCTCAATTCTTTCACCCCCATAACTAGTGTTATATATAGATGGACAAGCTTACGGCCATCATGATGTTATGGTACTAAACATAACATATACACAGCTGTCTACTTTTAATAAATCGGACGCAAATCGCACACGTCCGAAGTCGTCGTGGCCCAAAGGATAAGACGTCCGGTGCATTCGTATCTAGCGATGCATCGGTGTTGGAATCCGGGCGGGTACCAATTTTTCTAATGAAATTCGTACTTAACAAATGTTCACGATTGACTTCCCGGTGAAGGAATAACGCAAAATTATATTTTAATTTGCACAATACTGGTGGTAGGACCTCTTGTGAGTCCGCACGGGGATGTACCATCGCCCTGCCTATTTCTGCCGTGAAGCAGTAATGCGTCTCGGTTTGAAGGGCGGGGCAGCCGTTGTAACTATACTGAGACCTTAGAACTTATATCTTAAGGTGGGTGACGCATTTACGTTGTAAATGTCTATGGGCACCATTAACCACTTAACACCAGGTGGACTGTGAGTTCGTCCACCCATCTAGCAATAAAAAAAAGACAAATATCTGTAAAATGAATGTTTTTTGCCAAAGTGGGAATCGAACTCACTACCATTGATACATTGATAAGAATTAAAGAGTCAATACGTCCTTCAGACCGGTAGGTATAACCTATGACTACTTCAAGACGTGTCTGGATTTTACTAACCGGTTACCAGGGAGACGAGCATCCCGCGGCAGAAATCACAGTGCTGACCCAAAGCAGATCTGACGTGAAGCACGGAAGATAAACAATGGAGAGCTTTATTACTAGCTACAAATACCACTGAATGTAAATAATCACAACACGCACATATGTACAAATACTAATTGTACAGTAACACTAGCGGGTAAAAACGTCAGGTGAGATGACGTGGGCGTCATATGATGTGGAACTGCGTTTAGTCGCTTGCGAGTACTTGCTTTTTTATGAATGAAGTATTACTGGTGGCCCGGAGGCCTTTCCAGTTTCATCAGGACAAGTGGGCAAGCAAAGGCTCAGCCAGAAAGGCTGGGATTTGCTAACAGCTGCCCGAGCGCCTCCGAAGGAGACCTAACAACTCAAGAGCAGCTGCTTCGCGAATGAATCTACTACCGGATCGGAATCGCGACCTGCTGAGAAGATCCGGCGAGAAACTCAGCGGGCTGATGCATGGGTTAGGCTGCACGTCGACCTCTTTGTAGAGTTCGACGAGTACGGTTACCAGCCAGTACTTGCCTGCTCGATGCCTACTTGCTACAGCGTGCTTTTATGTAGTTGGAACGTTTTCCTACGTTTGCCGCTAGGGGCGCTGTTCCAACTGCATACAAATTTAAGTTAACTTTTACGGTATCGAGAACTTTAAAAAACTCGCGCTAAGTACACAGGACGTGTGCGTTTTAACTCCGCTGTCAGCTAAAAGAACAGGATAAAGCATCTAACTTTAACAACAATAACCAATTGGACAATTTAAAAAAAGGACAAATAAAACAATTAGACATTTGATTGGAATCACATTTATTATCTTACACAGATGTTTATTTTCTTAAATACACGATTTCTTCTCTACACTACAACCCAGAAGTGTTTACTCGCCAGTGCGGTATCTGAAAACATGACCACGTCTCGTTAGAAACATTTGAGACGGCCGCTGTAGACTTCTGATGGTAGGTTCAGTGTTCTTAGTGCGAGTTTTAAGCCTCTCGATCATTTAAAATTTAACTCAAAATTTGTATGGAGTTGGAACAGCCTCCCTTCGTTTGCCGCTAGGGGCGCTGTTTCAACTCCATACAAATTTGAGTTAACTTTAACGCGATCGAGAACGTTAAAAACTCACACTAAGCACACTGTTGCGTGCCCCCGGGGAGGTTTGTACCACTGTCCCGCACATCTCTGCTGCGAACCAATCCAACCTCAACAGGGAGAGCACGTAAAGGTGCTACATAACAACAAGACCAATGTGAACTCACCGATCTATACTAGTGAAAATAACATTTAATGCAAAGACTACAAAAAGGGCTTTAGTAGCAAAACAAACTCAATTTAAATGATTACTTTTTTATTAATATTATAGTGTTAATGATAAAATTCAAGACTTTCAAGTTATTCATGCAGTCGGTGAAAATCACATAAAAAGATTCCATTACATTGATAGTTAAATACATGTCAAGCTGATAAAATTCAATTGAGACTTCAATCTTCGAGATGACTCAAAGGCACAGGCAGGAGCATGCATGCATGTTGAGGTGTCCGTAGTCTCCGGTGGTACTATTTCCTCTACTCCATTTACAACAATTCCACAAGTGTGAACAGTATGAGTAAATGAAACTTACCAAATTTACTTCCAGCGGTTGTTTTCGTAGTCCCACTTGGATGCAAGTCCATCGATGGGGTTCACCTTAAGGTCCAACATTCTCTGGAGCTGAGCCTTCTGCCTCTCTTCGCTCAATGAGTCAGGAATAGGACTGTACACTAGAATGTAGTTCATTTATTATTAGTGGCCAGTTTTAAGCTTCATTCTGTAAAAAATGTTTGGCCCAGGGACCACAACGAACACAGCTTCTCTACCATTTAACATCTCTCGGAAAATAATGTGTAGTCACTGTTTCCGTAAGTCGCTCATCATTTCATGACAATACTTGCAAAAAAAACCTCAAAGATTGTGGACGATATTTTATAAACCGTAGCAGTCCTAAGGGTAAGTATACAGTGTACACATGATGCTTGTCCATGGCATTTAACATGTTAGTTAATAATGTTCAATACTAATTCATTAAATTGATTCACTATTGCATTAAAAAATGTAAATTATCGACCAGAACTTGTAGCTGCAAATTTTGTGATATATAAAGTTATCAAAACATGAACTGCTGCAATCTTCCTACAAAACAAAATTAATAAACTATAAGAGCAGTAAGTAACCAGTGATTCCGGATCACGTGACTCGCAAAAACCTAAAATTTCATATTTTATAATTACCAAAGACTTTCATGGCCATGTAGATCCAAGCAGCCAAAGATGAGAGGACTAGAGCCCAACCAACGACTCCCTTCCACTCTCCGGTGGGGGCCTGGAACTCAGCGAAGGTCTGACAGAATGAAGCTCTGTACAGAGTTTTCTTTTCTTCGAGGGTCAATTTGCGCCAATCACCCTTTTCTTTTTCACGGAGAGCCTATTAAGAATACCGTCACATTTAAAATGTTGTTGTCTTTTTAGAGAGTGTTATATATGTTACATTATATATATTATTATATATATTGTTATAAATATTAGATTGACATACAGTCACGACCCTCAGAATTGAGGGAACGACCAGAAGAAGAATATATTTTATGCTACTAATATCTGCCAACTTGCAATCCCAATATACAATAATGTTATTATTACAATTCAAAAAGCAACAAGCACCATGAATCTCTCTATACACCTGAATTGGAGTGAGTGTTTATTTTGCACTATTTACAAATATCTCAATGTTGTCACCAGCATTAATGGCATGTATAGATTCCAGTAGATTTTGCAGCAGATGCACTTAAATATAATACATAAAATTTTCTATATATATAAAAATAAATTGCTGTTCGTTAGTCTCGTTAAAACTCGAGAACGACTGGACCGATTTGGCTAATTTTGGTCTTGAATTATTCGTGGAATGGAAGGTTTAAAAGATTAGATAAATATGAAAATGCTCGAAATTAAATAAAAATAACAATTTTGCTGTCCCTTTGATGTGTTCCCCATCAGACGGATTTCTTTTGTGTTTTAAGTTTATTTTATACAAAAGTTTAGGTCTTTTATTTATCGATTGAGGCACTACGAAGTCGGCCGGGTCAACTAGTGCTAAATAAAAAATCCACAAATAAATACAAACCTTAATGTCAGGGGTGTCCTCACGGAACCGGATGGCAGGCAGGGGGAAGTCAGGCCTGTCTACGTAGTTGGGCTGGCCGTTGAAACCATAGCCTACCCACTCACGGTCACCAATCTAGGAGAATAATTTTAAGCTATTATCTAAAGCTTATATTAATACACTTTTATACCACCTTCAACTTAGTTCAGCCATTATGCAGTTATTCTACTGGTGGTAGGACCTCTTGTGAGTCCGCGCGGGTAGGTACCACCGCCCTGCCTATTTCTGCCGTAAAGCAGTAATGTGTTTCGGTTTGAAGGGTAGGGCAGCCGTTGTAACTATACTGAGATCTTAGAACTTATATCTCAAGGTGGGTGACGCATTTACGTTGTAGATATCTATGGGCTCCAGTAATCACTAAACACCAGGTGGGCTGTGAGCTCATCCATCAACCTAAGGAATAATATATATTTTATTTTTTATCACAGCAAATTAATTTCATTTTCAACTTTATTACATCTCAACTGAAATAATATTTCTTTACTTTGTGGGAATGTAAATACTCAGGGAAACCTGGCCCAGAAAGGTGAGTAAAACCATAGAGAAACCAAAACATGTTCATTACAAGACATGAGACAGGCACAGTTCAGGCAGTGTGTCAGTCAATTCAAGCTGACAATTTTTAAGCCAACTTGGCTTTACTTTCTAAGTGCCTCTGATTTCATTCCTTCAACCTTGAACACCAAGAATTCCAAATTTAATACCCATAATAATTTAATTTCATGAATTCACCTTGGCATATCTATATATTAATAGGTGAAGCAAAAACTTTGTACCCCTTTTTACAAAAATTGCGTGGACGGAGGAGTATGAAATTCCCCACACTTATAGAGAATATAGATAAGGAGTGCAGAATGCTAATATGTTTTTTGAATTATGCATTGATAATACGTTAAATCAATAAAAAACAATTACACACACTACCATGTATTTGACACACACACATACTCTTTGTTTATTGTCAATTGTCAAACTTTTGTTATTGCTTAAAGTCTGTATCTTTAATATTATTTGTCCTGTAGTCTTGGCAAAATCTGTCATTAAATAAGTCTTGACAATAGAACCACGATAATGTTCAAGCTTATAATTTCAATATTTATATTTTTTTTTTTATTGCCTTTGTAGGCAGACGAGCACACTGATGGTGAGTGGTTACCGTCGCCCATGGACTTCAGCAATGCCAAGGGCAGAGCCAAGCCGCTGCCTACCGCTTAATACTCTCCACAAGCCTCGTTTGAAGAAGGACATGTCATAGCGCTCGGGAAACACTCAATTAATTATAATTAGTCGAATTTCGATTACTCCAGGTCTACTAGTTAATTTAATTTCATGAATTCACCTTGGCAAGTTCAGTGTTTCCAGTGGATCCAGCCCTGGCGCAGACAGGAACACGGATAGCATTGATGAGCGCCCGGCGCATCAGATAATTGGCCATTTTGCTGGAAACACAAAACCATAGCTAGTTTTTAATTTAATATGAATTGTATTGTTTTTTTTTTTATTGCTTTGATGGATGGACCAGCTCACGACCCACCTGACGTTAAGTGGTTACCGGATCCCGGAGATGTCCTACCATCATTAATAATTATGCAAATTATAATTTTGCAGGTTTTTTATGACACTACGTTATTCCTTCACCGTGGAAGTCAATCATGAACATTTCATATGCACATATATCATTGAAAAAATTGGTACCTGTGGCGAAATTCTAAATCTAATGCATTGCTACGTACGAAAGCACCAAATGTCTTATACTTTAGGCCATGACAGCTTCATACTTTTAAACATACATAGTTTTCAATTTACATAATATTAGAAACATTTAGTATTATCAGGTTCTTACTGCATCACGAAGTTGTTCAAATTACTTTATTATTACTTTATACACATTTCATATGAGACTTATTGAAAGAACTACATTTCACAGGGTGTAATTCTTACTCACTATGGTCTGAAAACAATATCCATTAGCTGAGCCTGAACTATCAAGATAAGTTCACCGTGATTGAATATAATGGGTACTAGATTAAACCTTGGACACTTTTAAACATGTTATGAAAATTTATGAAAATTTTTAATCCATTTTTAATTATTGCAGGGTAATCGACCATTTAACTATCGTGCTGCAGTATTATGTAGATAAGTTCAAATAGATTTTTGTTAACATTATGTCAAGGCAATTTAAGATATTATAATTATGTTTAAAAGTAAAAGGATTTTTAAAAGAAACATATAATATTGTTTTGCATTTTCATATTTCTTTACAAGTTGTCAACTATTTTGCAGTCATTTGATATCGTCAGTACTTTGGTCGTCCTAAATAATCGTTTAGTTTAGTTTGATAATCAAATTTTGAGGTTACGTTTTTCATATTATCAATCGATAGCGAAGAGTTACATAACAAAAAAATCACTAAAATTCTAATTTTACATTTAACTATGTATGTGGGTATGTGAAATTGTAAAATAATAAGTGTTTTACAATTAGTTCTAAAGAGTGTCAGTAATTAAACAAAAATATGACAATTTTAAATTTCGAACTACAGCTAATATCTACTTGTCATTTAATTATCGTTTTCTTGATTACTATTTAATTTTTCGCTATTTATGATAGCAACATATATTTATAATAAACTGAATAGTAATTATTACCATATTGAATCAATTTACCTGGAAGGATTGGACTTGAATTGTACGAAAATCACACTCACCAACACTAGCAAAATTAGATAACTCAGAGACCTCTTGTGGCCGATTTCGTAAACTTTGCTTTGATTTGACATTCCGTTGTTTATGGAATCCAAAAACATTAAATTACGCTTTAAATATTTCATGTTTTCATGACTGTTTCAAACAATGCCTCAAAGACAAGGTTATGAAAAATAATGTATAATTTAAAATTACATTTTAACCTCTACTTTTATTACCACGAACACATTTTGGAGAATGAGATGTATGACTCTTCATATGATCTTTGGGTATACATCCAAGAAGAGTAATAGTTTTTGTAGCTCTGGTTAATGTAAACAATTGACACGACGTTAATTTAAATTAACGAAGTGACATCACCTATCCTGGGACACCATAACGCCTTAGCATAATTTCAATAACGCCTATCCTTTTACTATCCTACCTTGAAACTGGAAAGAACCAAAAAAATCATTAGACCACCAACAATTTTTTTCTTGGTTCTTACAAATAGTACAGTCATGCGTCCACTAAGTAATAGGTTGGGGAAAAATTATTTTCGCATTATAGCAGGCAGATTATCTGTAAGGCAAACTAGGCACGTGCCTAGGGGCGTGTAGTTACAAGGGGCGCGCGAGTTCAGAATTTTAAATAAATAAAGAAAATAACATATCGATGACTAAGAACTAAATGCTGATCTTTAATAGATTATATTGCACAAGCATCGATATAGTCGTATTATGCAATATTGCGGGTTTGTTTGTATTTCATTCGCGTATTAGCGTAAGTACAAGGGTCCTGGTCTGCTAAAGTCTAGGGTTTGATACAACATCATCGTAATTGCAAAAACAACTAGTTAAATTTTATAGTATTTATGATGGCCATTTATGGTCGGTAGTCGAAACAGGTCGTGATCAAAGGCCCGTCAGACTTCACAGACTGTGGCTAAGCCCGGGCTAACTCGCAACAAGGTGATACTGTGTGTGTGTGGTGGGATTGGAAGGGCATTATTCATTATGAGCTGTTACCAGCAAGCAGGACTATCGATTCTGAACTCTACTGTGAACAACTGATGAGATTAAAGCAAGAAGTTGAGAGAAAGCGGCCGGAATTAATCAACAGAAGGGGTGTGGTTTTTCATCATGATAATGCTAGACATCACACATATTTAGCCACTCAACAAAAATTAAGAGAGCTTTGCTGGGAGGTGTTAATGCATCCGCCGTATAGTCCTGACCTTCAGATTTCCACCTGTTTCGGTCTCTTTAGGCAGTGTCAGGTTAACATCACGAGAGGACTACCAAAACCAATTGTCGCGGTATTTTGATCAGGAGCCCCAAAATTTCTATAGCAATGGGATCATGTCCCTACCTACAATATGGCAAAAAGCTATCGAACAAAATGGTACCTACATACTTTAGTTCAATGTAAATAAACTATATATAAAAAATGTTATGATTTGTCTTAAAAAATGCGAAGAAACTTTTTCCCCAACCTATTATTAGCAAAAGCTAAACAAAATATGATTTCTTAGGCTGACCTCGTCGAAATGTTAGTAAATATACTTGAGTACTGTATGATTTATGAATCGATTTCTTGAATAACGAAGGTAATTAATAAAGTTTTGCATTCTGTTTGCTTAATGACGCGTACCTTGCAATTTACAACGGTTTGACTGTGACCCAATCTAATAGATTTAGAATCTAATAGACGACAAAATTCCAGCTCATTTAAGTAGACGTTAAAAAACTCAAAAAAATCAAAATATTTATTATTAAATTAAATATGCATTCATCTTTTAGTTCGTTTCTCCGTTTCATCAATAATTTCTGCAATTAAATCGTAAAATTCGTCCTTATGTATCGAATTAATTGCTTTTGAGGAATTACTTCTGAACGTTAAATCTTTAAATGGATCTGTTGCTATACCTAGGCCACTTTCGTTATCTGTGCGTTCTGCCATTTCTTTCTTTTCGTCATCAGACAAATAAAGTAAAGTTAAAATATTTTCGTCTGTGATTTTTAAATCTTTATTTTCATTTTTTACTGATTTAGAAGTTTTCTTATTTTCAGTATACCTAATTTCCACTGGTTTTATCAAATTTGTCTTCGATAGTCTTTTAACTTGAACTTCTTGGGTAATTTTATTTTGATAAGTTTCGGTCACTTCACTTGTTTCAAAATCAAGTTTTGTCACAGATTTTGTTTCATTAACACCAATATTATCGGTATCGATTTCCGTATCATCAATTAAATCAGCATATTGCTTGATTTCTTCCTCGTTAAACATCGTTCTTAGGAATTCTTTGAATAACCCCTTGTTATCTGATTTCGACTGCCGCAGTTCCTTGTTGATGGTTACCTCGTCTTCTAATTTGGACTCGCTCAACGGTTCGATTATGAAAGTCGTAGTTTCAGGCTTGTAAGATGGCATGTGCGTGTAGACTGGAGGTTTCAATGTTGTTCTTTTCTTCCCGTGCGGAACGTCCTGGAATAATTTTGCTTTAATAATACTGCTAATAGGAGCGAACACTGAGATTTCTCATTGATTTACTATTAAACTTTCGAAAATGAACTTGAAGCTTAAATTAGTGATGGCAGCTTACATATGAAGCACAGCAAGCACCATTAAAATTAAATCATACATTTTAATAACCTGCCAAAATAATACCCAAAAAAAAAAAGGACTTTAATAAAACTTTTATATAAAAAGGAAGTGAAAAATCCGATCGTCCACATCATCAGGTTGACATCGTCATCTCGACCGCAATAACATATTCCAATTAAAAGAAAAGAAATCCATTTCTATCCACGATAAGTTTAATCACCTGCGACATTATTTCATCTATCCAATCAGCGTAAAACCCAACTTTGACGAAGACGGTGGGAGCATCGGATGCACCACACACGGGAGCTCCGAAGCTGATAATACCAGCTAAAAGGCCATTCACAATACCCGGTCCGCCAACGTCGTGCTGCGGAAATTAATAACATTTGATATACATACTATTCTATATGATATATATACTTCATTTTTATTTATTTTTCCCGTAGATGCTTTAACGAACTCACAGCTAACCTAGAGTTTAGGGGATACAGGTATAAAGACATCACAATCTGAACGCCACCTTATAATCTAAGACATAAGACCGAAATCTCAATTGTCTAATTTAAAGGCTGCTCCATCTTTGAACTGCTATTTCACGTCGACGTCGCCCAAAACACGTCATTACAGATCCTCCCGATCTGTTAACGGTGCTTTCAGGTACCGCAAGCACCGGTCACCGTTCTCGTCAAGCCCGTCGCTTGCGACGAAGGGCTCGACGAGCGAATTATCCCACAGACACAGCCCACTGAGTTTCTCGCCGGATCTTCTCAGTGGGTTGCGTTTCCGATCCGGTGGTAGATTCTGCGAAGCACTGCTCTTGCTAGGGCCAGTGTTAGCACCACTCCGGTTTGAGCCTCATGAGCTCACCTATACATTAGTGCGAATCTGATATAGTCTCTCAAGGCTATCAGCATAGGTAGGAAAAAAAAGCTATTTCAATGCAGAAATAGGCAGGATGCCTCCTCGTCGGGAGGGGCTTAGAATATGCCCTACTGCCGGATAGCTAGAAATTAGTTCCTAAGATTGTCTGAGCTTAAGATACATTTCGCGTTAGAGATTTTCATTTTAGAATTGATAGTTTTCATGGACACGGATTACTGAGATGTTATTCATTTATACAAGAGAATTGTGTTAAGTACCGTCTAACGTGTAATAAAAATATTAATTTAAATTAATGAAATTACGCTACTTTGAAATTTAATTTAAGGAGGAACCCTAATAACGGTTTCATCTTCGCGATAAGTGGATCTCACTTGAGAAATAAGGTTTATTAAATGGTAATGGTAAGGTTAGTTAATTTCACTTCGTATCTTGTACATTTTTATTCTGCTTTGGTCGATAATAAAAACAAAATATAAGTTTAAAAAAAACTATAACTTCATACATTACAAGCGCCTCCGCCCTTTGATAGGAAACCGGCACAGAAGTTATCCTTTGTTACGTATTGACTGAAACAGGAAAAATTTTAACTTTTTTATATTTAATACTACATAGTTATATGTATAAAACACAATCTGGTCCAGAAAAGCTACCAATAGAGAAGAATGGAAACAGCTGGAAGAGGCCTATGTGTCACAGGACACGCTGATTACTGAACCGGGAAACCCGATGTATTAGATTTAAGTTAAAACAATTTGCTACTGTGTGTAAATATCATTGTTTAGTATCAGCAATAAAGACTTACATAAAAAATTTATATGTATAAGACAAACGATTGTATACACGTTAAAATGAAATATAAAAATAATACTAATCTGAATTAGTCCACATATATATTGAGTTCTACGCACCTGGAATACACATCCTTACAATCCCACATTGGATAAACATCAAGGACTGAAAAGGATAATCTATTTTCCCAAGGATCGACGACAATGTTGCTCGCCTATGAAAGACATAATTATTAATAGTCCGCAGCTTCCGTTCTGTGTCGTATCACTCTTGTCAGAGGGGTAGGGGTCGTCAGTCAATATCTTTGCTGTGGGCAGATGTTAAGGCGCCTCACGAGCAATCGCCAATTCGTCACGTCATTTCGGATCCTCCCGATCCACTAACGGTGCTTTTAGGTACCTCAAGCACCTGTCATCGTTCTCGTCGAACCCGTCGCTTGCGACGAAGGGCTCGACGAGTAAATTAACTCTCAGACACAGCCCACTGAGTTTCTCGCCGGATCTTCTCAGTGGGTCGCGTTTCCGAACGTCGTCAGGTTTGAGCCCCATGAGCTCACCTACTAGTTAAGGTTTCGATGGTCTCTCTAGACCATCAGCTTAGGTAGGGAAACAAAAAAGACAATTCTCCCGGTTTATGGTGAGTCTGGTACACTCTTGTAAACAGCCGCCAACTGCCGACGGTCAAGTCCGGTCAAGTCCACGGCGGTCAAATGTCAAATCTATATCACATAGGCACCCTGTAGTCAGCTATCATGGTCGGTTCAAAAGAGCTTAGAGGAAATAACAATAGAATTGTGACCTTCAAAAGTGACTTCTAACATTATAGTTTTAGAGGACTTTTCTTGACTTTTACAAATTGTAGACAGGTACCTGCCATTTACCTGGACATTTACCTGCACCTATACTCTTAGTTATTTATCCTTGATACCAATATGTACTTAGATGATATTGGACATGAACGGGCACGAACATATACCTACTAACTATACTGAGACCTTAGAACTTATATTTCAAGGTGGGTGGCGCATTTACATTGTAGATGTCTATGGGCTCCAGTAACCACTTAACACCAGGTGGGCTGTGAGCTCGTCCATACATCTAAGCAATAAAAAAAAGGACCCTGAAAACAAAACTAGGTTAAATTTGTTTAGGTGATTGTAAGTACAGATACCTTTCTAGAATACAGAGCAATGCTAACAGTTTCTGTCATTACCTACATAAAAAACATCAACTTTAATAAACTATTACGCGCTGCCCCCAATAAAAAGCGTAATAAAAATAAACTGACCAGTGGTATCAGTGACTTCGTTTCATATCTTCACTCTACATTGTGAGTTCATGAAACTAACTAAAGCTATGAGTTATTTATAACAATTCAATATGGCTATTCTTATAATATATACATATATAAAGTTTAGCTCACCCTTTTAGCCCCCCAACCAACAACGGCAACACCATCAGTATTCAAAGGCAGAGGATTATCTTCTCTATCAATATCAATCTTTCTCACTCTCTTAGTTCTTCTCCTAAATTTGATCCTCCGCTGGAGTCTTAGTAAGCAAATGTTGCTTCTTAAGTTCTTCGGGTTGTAAGAGGGGTGGAAATAGACTTCAAGGACCGGTATCACCTCACCGCCGCCGTTATAATACGTGCTGCCGACACGAACGGCCAAAAACGCTGGGTTCTCTCGGAAGAAGCGGTTATTCCATGCCCTGGATTCAAGGACAGTCTAACATTTACGAAGGGAAGAGGATGTTTAAGTCATTTATTTACACCAAACTGTGTTTAACCAAAAATATCCCGTTGTCAAAAAATAATAAGCTGATTTTATTCAAACCGCCTTCATTCTTTAAGTTCTACTCCGTTTACCACGTAATATTAAATGGGACGTGGACTCGTTTACCAGAAAAATCCATAAAAAAAGCTTATTTGATGTGCTATTTCCTTGTTTATAAACGTTAATGTTGTCGCACCACACGTGTGGTTCTGCCGAAAATAATGAAAATATTAAACCAAGAATCCTAATTGAACTAAACTTACAATTGCAAACATGAAGCTGCGGTGATGACCAGATCAGACTTGATGATGGAACCGCCACATTGAAACTTGTTGAACACTTCAATACTGGCCATGAACGGAAAGTACTTTACTTTAGTTCTTTTGCCTTGGTAGATCCTACGACCGCTTGGTTCTGTGAAATTTGTTATTTCTTTCATTTTGATAGATGAGAAATGGTTTTATTGGTGTTAGAGGATATTGCGAGCCCGCACGAGTAGGTACTACGAACCTACCTGTTTTTGTGGCGAAGGACTCTTGCATTCCATTTTAAAGGGCAGCCGTTATGCAATACATTTGGGTCTTCGATTTCATGTTTCAAGGTGAGTCACGTTCACGTTACGATGTCTATGGGCTTGGGTAAGCACTTAAATCCAGTCGTGGATGAGCTTGGTCACCCACCCGATTGGTTAACCCACTTCATCTGAAGTGGTCACCAGATCTCACAGACGTAACAGGAATCATGAACATGATGGTAAATATCCCACAAAAAAAGCTAAAAAGCTAAAATAACTACTTATACAGTTTAAGCAAATTATTTATCCTTAATACTCTCAAGAAATCTTTAATGTATACAAATTACAAGAGCTATCTTCCGAGCACCCGCTCGTTGGAAAATGTACTCTGTGTTATCACTTCCTATAACATAGGTAATACGTCTTTTGTTCATGAGTGCTCACAATCGACAGCCTATTAGCAATTTATTAAAACCGTTAGTGGAACTCGAGATAGTACTTTAGTTATGTAGCTGTAAGCCAAATCAATTTACACATACGCCAGAATTCAACATCACTGGAATCGTCGTCTTGTACAGATTCATTCGTTACTTTCCTTTTTAAATTATAATTTTCTACGAACAGGGTCAGAGCCCCAGTGTGTGCTGTTGCATCTACTTTGTGATTTAAAAATCCTTTTAATGCACCTAGTTTTTTTGAAGCACTGTTAATGCTTTTCACACTTTCATTGTTGGATGTTGTGTCTTCGTTTAGTATTTCATCTATAACATAAGTTAGAAGATCAGTATTGTTTGTGCGTAAATGATTTTCAAAACTTTTATAGATATCCTGATTGTTTTCCTTAGTCATTGTTGTAAAATATCGATGTATTCTATAGTTCTCCTCAATGTCTTCATTTTCTTTAACATTGAGTTGCGTAAATAGATTACTAATGGTATTTTCTATTTTTGTAATTGTGTCATTGTTATTTGTGTTTTCCGTTAAACTTTTCAATGTTAACACCCGTTTTAAAAACAATGAAAATACTAGAAATTCCGAAAAATGCATTGTTTTATTTTATGCTAAAATTTATGTTTGATTACAATACAAAAACCTGAGAATAGTAAAATGGATTGAACGCTATTGCATAATCAATAAATTGATTGTAACAAAACACACATTTCACGTTATTCATCGAGAAATGTATATATTTGTATTTTTTATTTCATTTATAACTTTTGCGGATGCAGAAAACAAATATTTTCATGATATTTTTAAAAGAGAAAATAATTTTTTTCACAAAATCAATGAGAAAATTCATGCTGTCGTCAACAAATTGTTTTCTGAATTTAAACTAAGAAACGGTTTGAAAAATTCAGTCAAAGGTCAACAATTAACTTCAATGCATGTTTTTTTAAATAAAATACTCGAGGATAATTACGAAATTTACAAGCAAATGCTCGTTGTAAGTAAAAACGATACAAAAAACACTAGTGCAACTGGACCAAAAACGATAAAAATAATAAATGAAATTATGAAAGAATATGAAATGAAAACAACAAAACAACCAAAGGTTGTTGATCAAACAACACGTAATGAAACAGATCGTTTGGAATCCACAGAATCAATGGAAGTATTGAACAAATTTATTAAGAAAATTGACTCTCTCAGTATTCAGGATTTAGTTCAAAACGACACTCATGAGAGTCCGATTATTGATAACAAAACAAAAACAGAAAAACAATATATAAATTTAAAAGTATGGAGTAAGTATAAATTGCCAATCCTTATGCATACAATGTTATTTAAACAACGCCGTGCTCTGTTGCGAATCGCAAGATCGTAAAAGTACGGGTTTTTGTAACAAATCTCACCCCACAGACACAGAGAACACTTTTGAAGATTTCACTTCGATCGCGTGTACTTCGCACTCACTTGTTTTTAATACGTTTAATTTAAGTGTCTAGTGCAGCTTTTCCCAAAGTGGGCGATAACGTCCCCTTGTGGGTGCTGTAAGCCTAAAGGGGGGCGGTAAGAGACCCAGAAAAAAATGGGGGTGTTGTGTAGAGGCTTGGTAGGCGATTTGTAATTTCATTTAGGAGGACTCTTAGACCCCGACGGAGCTCTCGCTATAGAATTTTTAAGTAGGTTAAAAAAGGGGCACTAAATAATAATTTATTCCCAAAGTGGGTAGTAGACAAAATAAGTTTGGGAGCTCCTGGTCTAGTGTAGTTACCGCATGATGAACGTCGTAGCGCTACGGAAGTAACGTAGGGGGAGTTCATTCCAGGATTTTCATGTAACTGGGAAGAAAGAACGCTGGAAGAGCACTATATTAGTGGCCTCAGGTCTCAGGTAAGTCTGGTGAGTTTTCGGATGGTTCCATGGTAAATAGATAACGTTTCCACTACCTCCTCGCAGCCCACTTGTTACAATAAGTGGTGGCATACAGACCCAAAATATCCGCAACCCCAGTAATTCTAAACAAACCTTGAGCCTGGGATCATCAACAACTCGAACGACTTACCATTCAAAAATTCAAATAAAAAATCAGCCAATAAAGTGGACCGATTTTACTGCTATAAGATAAAAAATGTATTATAAAATATAGCCAATTATGGTACGTAGGAATATGTTTCAGATGACAGATTGTCCACAAACACTTCATTTAGAAGAATATTCGATGGGAACACGACTAAGTATGGAAGGTACCCTTTCATGGCTAGCATACACATGTTGAAACAATTTGTCTGTGCGGGCTCCATCATCAGTATCAACTTTGTAATCACAGCGGCTTCCTGCTTACAAATGTACGTTAACTCGAAGCCTCCAAAAACAAACCATCATTGCAACCTGACCCTAAACTTAGGAATCCTAGAAAGTCTTATCTTCAGCAGGACAACTCACAGATAGCATGATGATATTCATTATGGATATCTGATCTGTTAAGAACAAACAGATAGTCCTTATTTCGAATTTCCAGTCTGGGATGTCTTCGAAATCAGGTTATATTTTCAAAAAGCTCGTAGCTAATTACTATCTTGTGTTTAATTTGTAGTGACCACTAAGCCGATTAACATTATGTTAAATGTATGTATCAGAACTGTTATGAGTTGGGGCTCCACTTTAATAAAAACACTGAAATACTAATTAAAACTCAATTTAATTTTTACGATAATTGAGGTATACAAAATGAATGTTTCGCTTTTTTGAGTTGATCCGTTCGTTGCTTCGCTTCACATAGAACTAGCTTCATGTCGCCTATGTCACGTTTGTATAGGCGCTTGAAACATTCTCGGGGCCATTAGAACAATCTCGATAAAGCCGAAATACTGACAAAATATTCTAGAGCTTTCGAAAAATGTTTCCGAAACATTCGAGAACTTTTCCTGTTGTTTCGATATCCGTTCTTGCTATCTAGCGACAAATGGCGTCACTCCTACCGGCATAACAGTAGGTACTATTTGTACGTAACATTACAAGTAATATATTCAATATATTTTAAGAAAAAGAACATGCTGGACTGAGTAGGGTTATAACAGTCTGCGGTATAAGCTTAAAACTATATAAACTTTTATCCTTCCAGAGCGTATAACAACAGATACTACAGGGAAAATCCTAAAGGCATCTTCGTTCGAATAGGAAGCGAGTACGCAGAGGAAGACGGTCAAGTCATAACAATATCTAATTTGCACTTCCATCCTGACTACGATCCTGTAACATTAAAGAATAACTTGCTAATTTTGAGAATGGAGAAAGAAATTAATTTTAACAAGAAAAGAATTAGAAGAATTAAGTATGATCGAACTGCAAGTGCATTGGCTGGTAGTGTCAGTGCTGTTACTGTTTTGGGATGGGGTGATACAGATGTTAGTTGTTTATTATTAAATTAGCTGATCCACCCCTCATGCCATCAATAATGTAGTGTTAAAAGACTTTCAAACGCGAGCAGTCGTGAACACAGTTAATATTGTATATGACTATGTATGTATTTTGATAATGTATGTAATAGTCAGGTCATAAGTATTGTCACACAGTAAAAACTTTTCTTTTAGAATGCTGGCCACAAAAATGTTTATTGAATTCGAATTTCGAATTGTTCATGAAAATAAAAATGTATACTTTTGAAATTTTACTCATTTTTTAAATATGGAGTGGACGCTTAAAGAAGACCGTGTTGCAGTTATTGCGTTGCATCGTTGCGGTTACGCGCCAATTCAAATTTTTAACATACTGAAAAATTTGAATATAACCAAAAGATTCGTTTATCGTACCATCAAACGATACAATGAAGACTCTAGTGTAGATGACAGGTCAAGAAGTGGTCNCCTTACAACCTTTTTCCCATAACCGAGATACCGAATAGCGAAAGTGGTGAATGTTTTAAAATTCTCTAATTTTGAATTATGATTTTCTAAGAAATGGTCTACAAACACTTAAGGTTAAGTGCTCGTAGGAATGATGCATGGTCAAGGTCAAAATCCATAGCAAAACATTTTAATTTATTCAACTATCGACTGTAACACGTAGGTCGTAGAGCATAACTTCAATATTAATAAAAATGTAATATGAAAGAGCTCCACACGCAGTTTCATGCACTCGCTCCATCTCACTCCCTCGTATTCGAGCCATATGTCGCCTTATCTCTTTACGTGGACTCGTGTCGGTTCGAGACTCGTTCGGGTGGACTCGCCGCGCCACGCCTCCGCGCCGCGCGGTACCTATGCTCTAATCATGTCCGCATGTCCGTCATGTTCAACGCGTTCGTAGTTCCATACATGTACACTTGGAATGGAAATGGAACTGTCTGAACATGTTAATTTTGACAACTCGGATTGAATGATATAGTTCCATATGAGGACATAGTTCCAGGAACTATTTAGGTCCGGAACTACGCATGTCTAGTTTCAATAGTAGCATTTAAAATAAAAACAAATTTATAGTCATAAATAGATCTAATTGAAATACTTAAATGTTTTAAGCGATTAAAATGGGCGGCGGTGACTTGGTGAGCACGTAAATCTTAAATCTATCGTTATTAATATAAACAAAGGTAACAATAAAAACTTTTGTGCAGAATTCCAAGAAATCATGGCATCCGAATATTTTGAAAAACCAAGAACGCGTCTGGAAAGCGGAGCAAGCGGTTGCCGAAGAAAAAAAACGTATCCAAGAACTACAACGTGAGCGCCAAGAAGAGAGAGAGAAGATGGAGCTCAACAGTCTAGTAAAAAAAAACTTTTCTAATGCTGACGACACTCGCTTGCACTGGATGTATGAAGTAAGCTCTACTCTGATTTTAGTGTTTTTATAAAACTATTATTTCCTCAGTATTAAAGTAATTGCTGTTCATAGACTTGATATCGTTTTATATGAGTCGTCTATTATCAAAGGTGGCAATCTGTGCATTTGGACAAAAAAAAATTATTGATATGTCAATACAGATTGATTTGAATATAATCGTTAAAGAATATGGTTCAAAACCTGCATTAAATAAAGGTTAATACTTAACCTGTTATTTATCTAAGATGTCGTTCAGAAGAGTTTTGTGACTGCCAATGGAATACAAAGTCAATAATTCGTTTTTCTGATTTACCAATAATTGTCCAAAAGTCACATTGCCGGCTTTGATACTAGTCGACTCATATGTGGTTTGCTAACTGAATATTTTATAATGTTTAATTATAAACAGTTTTACCACTATGGAATTATCCCTTCTCTGCTCCAATTCAGATCTTGGAAAATATATGGTTGAACAGCTAAGAATAGATTTATAGACTTAATTACAATGTTATGTATTACAAATTTAAAGTTACACATGGGCTTGATACAAGAGGCTATTAAATTACTGCTATTTTGACTGCCAAACCTGATACAATGCATATAGATAGTCAGCTGTAAAGAAGTCCGACCGAAAGACTGCCATACTCTCGTTTGTCTGCCTTTTTTTTATTTTCATTTCTTTGATGTGTCGACCCACACGTTCACAGCTCATGTGGTGTTAATTGGTTATGGAGCCTATAGATAGCCTATATATCTACAACGTAATAAAGGCTGCCCCACCCTTTGATCTGAAACGCATTACTGCTTTACGGGAGTAATAGGCAGAGTACCTACCAGTGCGGACTCACAAGAGGTCCTACCACCAGTACCTCTACTATTGTTCCAAATCCTCTTCCAACAACAACATAATTTTACTCATGTTTATATTCTTATTATGCATAACATTTTCTCTTCTATTTTTATTCTATTTATTATTATTGAAATAAATAAAAAAACAGTCTACTATTTAAACATTTTTTTAACTTTAATGCACATTACTTACTTACTAAAAAGTAAAACGTAGAGAAAATAGGTAGACGGAACAGTAAACAAAAACCTGTTTTCTCTTACCTTATCGACATATCGATCCTGGATGTTTTAATTAAATTTGATGGTAAAATATGTACTATGATTGTATTGCATTTAGTATGATAATTAAACAAAATCTGTTGTGATAATGTATATAAAAAAATTGACTATTATGAGTGGTAAAATTGAGAATTTTTGTTAACAGAGGCCTGAAAAAACAGTACAGAATGAAGATTATTTACTTGGAAAAGCTATTGATAAAAGTCATCAAACAGAAAAATCTGAGACTGATGCAATACCAGCAATCACAAAGCGAGTAGTTGGTTCTAGCATGCTGACAGCTTCTGATGATACACAAGTTGATGTAGCAAGGAAATTACGAGAAGATCCTCTTTTGCTTATTAAGGAGCGAGAGCGTGCTGCTCGAGCAGCCCTTCTCAATAATCCTCTTCATCGTCGACGAATTGCTGAATTGTTACGAAAGGAACAAGTAAGTTATTTAATAAATTGATTAGGGAGTATTTAGTAACAAGCAAGATTAAGAACTAGAACTAGTGAACAAAAGAACTAGCAGTGATAAGATTTAAATCAAAATTATTTGTTAATCTGGATTTCAAACATAAAATAGACTTTCTTAGAGATGTCAAAGTGCCAGCTTTTCTGGTAGTATCAATACTTTGGCATGGTTTTTTTCAATTTATGTTTTCAATTTACCCTTTTCTGTACCTTAAGTTGTGTTATGTGCATGTATGTCACACTTTCTGATCTGGTAGTCGATAGCTTATTAAGTATTTTGGATTATTGCACACCTTTGATGTTACCTGATCTGCTTATTAAGATATTGTGCTTTACAATCTGATGCAAATTTTTAAATTACTAGTTTGAAAATATTATTAAACAGTGTCATAAGCTGTAGTTTAACTCTACTCAATGTAAATACTCAACTCACTCAAAAGAGACTGAAGTCTGACTTACTTATTGAAAAAAGGAAAACAATAATCTGATGGCTAACAATTGTTTTGTTTGTAAATAGCAATAGGAATTATAACAGCAAAGTCACAAATAGTAGTGTTTGAAAATATATATTTATATTTTTTTACCTATTTGATGTCAGCTCTAATTGGATGCACTACAGGTGTTTGTGTGGATTGTTCATTGAAAAATGGTTGTTATACAAGAAATGTGGGAAAATTAACAAAACAATACATTTGAAAATGCAGACAAGAACAGCATAGTTCACTTTATTCCCTGTAGTATGACAAAAACATGCAACCTTATTAATCAAATAACATTTACAGAAAAATATGTAGAATGTAAAAATAGAAATCATTTGATTCTTTTCAAGTTTGTTGATGTTTGGTCAATGTGCTAATGATTTGAACAAATACTGACTGCTTCGAACAGATAATGCAAGGAGTTGAACTTTCATTCTCATTTCATTCAGTTTCATTATATTTTAAACAAGTAAATAAAATTACACAATTTTATTTCCACATCATTCTTTGTAGTGTTGGTTATTGTTAGTGTTTGTAAACATGTATTGGATGCTCATATATAATTAGATACTGAGTTTGTGCTGAAAATTTAATTGAAAAGCAGATGAAGTTCTGCAGAAATTATTCAGAACAGGATTTTTGTTAAATACTAGACATACTGCACAAGACTCTTAAACCATTAACAAACTCTTATTAGACGAGTATATCTTAATAGAGATAACAATCAGCAAGTAGATGTAGCACAATGAAAACGTTTTGGTTTATCAATCTCTTATGACTCAAATAACTTATTTATGTACTTACAAATGCTTGATATACGACAGGACTTGATATTATAAATGTTTTCCTCAGTTCAACTCTTTGGATTACTTATATTATGAAGTTCAGTATAGAACACTAAATCGGTTCCTATAATGTTTGAAAGTATACATTGCAGGAACCAATATAGTTTGATTTACTATTAAATGATCTACGAAAATTTTTATTTTTAAATATTATTAAAATTGTGTTTTATTTTTTATTTCAGGATTCGAAAAAAGAGAAACATAAAAAAAATAAAAGCAAAAGTCAAGATCTTGATGCTAAGCTTGCTGCTAAACTAAACGCACTGGGTGGAGATAAAAACGTTGACTTGGCTTCCTTACTCGAGTCAAGTGATTCTTCTTCTGATTCGTCTGCTAAAAAAGAAATTAAAAAAAAGAAGAAAAAGAAAAAAGAAAAAATTAAGCAGAAAAAACAAAAGAAAAAGGAAAAGAGTGAATTTGAAGAATCTGATGACAGTTCCGTAAATGAAAGAAAACACCATAAAAAGAGCGACGGTAAATCACGAGAACATAGTAGTAACTCCAAATCATTAACACACGAAAAAAATAAAATTCAAGATTATCATTCTACAAAAGTGCTCAAACGAAACAGTGACCAGGATCTCAGTCAATCAAATACATTGGCTAAACGCAGTAGGAATGATGAGAGTCGAGAGCGAAGACGATCTAATTCACACAGTAGGACGCATCGGCATCGGAGGTCTGAAGAAAGCAATCACAATTCTTACCGTAAAAATACACAGCATACACAAGATAAAAACAAACATGAGACTAAAAACTCTAGAACAAAACTCAGTGATCAAGAACGCGCTGCTAAGCTGGCCGAAATGGCGGCGGCTGGTGCACAACGAGAAATTGAGCGGGGCAAACGGGTTGCTGATCAGCGCGTTGCTGATGAACAGGTTCCACAAAGCCATCGAGGTTCTCGGCGGAATGAAGCGCGTGTTCTTCCTGATTCTATTGAAACCAGGATACACTCGAATAGACATTACATACAGAGAGGCAGTAGACATATGGATGAACATTTTGCGCGGAGGTAGTAGAAGAAGTGAAGTGAGAATTTCAATTAAATAAAACAATATCAAATTTTATTTATCCTTATAAATATAGATACACATTATATTTTAGTTGGAAAAGGTTGCTCATTAATCTTCTGTACCCAGCAGAATTTAGTCTAGAGGTATTTTTTCTTTCACGATCTGAAAAAAACATGGTTAAGTTATTTACATATTACGAGGAGAAATAATGGTAAAATATTCCCTAACTATTTAATAAGTCGATAATGAATGAATCTTATATCAGGAAAATTTTCATTTATTGTTATCAAATAAATGTAACTGAAAGCGTACTTTTATAACTACACAGCAAAACAATATATTTATCAAGATAATAATATATCGTCTCTGGTATAACACGGTTAATTCATATCGCGCTGTAGCGAAACTGTCCACCATCATTTTGTTGTTTAATTAAACATAGGCTCAATATATTATGTACAATATAATAAAAAAATTGATAAATCTAGACTATGTGAGTCGACTATTATCAAAGGCGGCAATCTGACTTTTGGACAATGACTGGTAAATCAGAAAAACGAATTATTGACTTTGTATTCCATTGGCAGTCACAAAACTCTTCGGAACGACATCTTAGATAAATAACAGGTTAACTATTAACCTTTATTTAATGCAGGTTTTGAACCGTATTCTTTGAAGGAGACTATTATATTCAAATAAATCTGTATTGACATATCAATAAAAATGTTTTGTCCAAATGCACAGATTGCCACCTTTGATAATAGACGACTCATGTGTACTGTGTTGACCTCATCTTGTTGTTTATCGAAACTGTGTTATACGGAAGTGAAGTTGTAGTATATAAATGAAAGGAATATACACCATATTACATATCACCTATGAAAAACAAAGCGTAAAATATACAATTTTATGATGATTTAATGATATTCTGAATATGTAAATGAAAAGATAAGTTAAAAAAGCTTAATAGAGCGTCTTATGAGCCCAATCACCCTATTTCATTCGTGAAACAGTATGTAGTGCGTTTCGGGTTGAAGGCAGGAGCAGCCGTTGTACTGTAAAAACATATATAAAACTCAGGAGTGATGGCATGTACGTTGTTGATGTCTGTGAGCTTCGATAACCACTTAATAATACCAGGTAGGTCGTGAATTCGGCCACTGTTCTTTACAATTAAAAAAAAAAAAAATTAATTTAAACTAATTTTGCGGTTAAATCTCGTGGTTATTATTTTCATATTATTATTTCGGATGTTTTCAGTTTTCGAGGTCCCGAACGACTATGAAAATCTTTTTACTTTTCTTAAAAAATATACAATTTCTTGGTACTGCCCCTATGGTAAATCCGTCTTTTTTAAAGCAAGTAGCAAGAAATTTAATTTACCTACTTTTGGTTAGACATTAATATATACGGTTTTTTTTTTCAAAAATAATTATTATTAAGTGGGCGAATTTATATATTTTAACCTTAAGCAAAAATATAATACAAATTTATTTACTATAATGTACTTTCAATGCAATATCCAGACGCACGCACCCCTGCGGAGGCGGGGCGGATCGCTAGTTAAATATCTAAGCAAATAAATAAAATTGGAGTGTCTGTTTGTAATAATAAAATAACCACTTTTTACTAAATGCGTAAGTATGTATAAACAGTACATATAGGTACCAAAAGAATTTAAAAAAATATTTTTGTCTGACAGTCTGTTTGTCTGTTTGTTTGTCTGTCTGTTTGTTCCGGCTTATCTCTGGAACGGGGGGACCGATTTTGACGGAATTTCACTGATAGGTAGCTGATGATATAAGGAGCAACTAAGGACTGTTTTAGATTAGCTTCGACGGCACGACAATAACCGCAGGTAACATCGCGGGACTCAGCTAGAATATAATTTTAATCTCAAGTCTTATATTACCTGGTATAAAACCATATGCAGGAAGAATATACATACTGTCACCCATCCGTATTAATTGTACCCTAGCCTATTTTCCTATCTGATTGCTGTGAGAAATAGGTATGTATCATTTAGATGATATATTTGCACTGTTTTTCGGCTGAAAGGCGAGACGGCCATTATGCCACAGCAACCGCGATTACGTGCATAGGTTCAATTAATCGTAAGCATTAATCTTTCTATGTATTAGCAGGATTTAATAGGATTCCTTAAAGCGTTGCGTTAAACCGTAACATTGTTGGGAACTAAAGGTGAGTTTACATGGCTGGACCGTTGAAATTATTTTTGTTTTGAAGTCACTTGGAGGCACTTTTAGACACTAGTTGTCGCGGTGTTTTTCATCTTGAAATTTCACGATAAGTTTTTTAATTTGTTAAAAAAACTAGATTTTGTTCGCTGGAAAACAAACAAAATTGTTAAGTTCATTTAATTGTCTTAATCTAATGAATATGTAATCAATGCCTAGTATTTTGAATTAATAGAAAGTATTTAAGAAGTTGATTTGTTGGTTAGTGGGTGTGCTTAGGAGTGTGTACCTCTGCACACATTCCAGCATAGATGGGGTCAGTATCCCAGGGACCGCGCTCGGGGAGAGGCAGCGCGCGACGCCGCAGCTCCGCCACGAGCTCGGCCACGTCCATGATGGGGATGGGATCGAGCCCGCGCGCCAGACCCGCTAAATACTCCACGTAGTGAGCCCTGCAACAACATGAGGGCTTGAACACACCTCGATCAGCCCTCGCTTGTAGAGGCCCTCGAGCGAGCCGTAGGGTCGAGGCGGCAATCGGAGTGCGGCCCGGCGCACCAACGTTTCCAGGTCGTCCACGCCCAGGATCGGCAGAGGATCCACTCCGTGCCGCCGCACCGTCCGGCTCAGGTACTCCAAGTAATGATTCCTGCAACACACGCCGCACTCACCGCGCCGCTCATCTCCCACATACGGTTTTTAAAGTTTAAGTTAAGCTTGTTATGCTTGAATTGTACATTGTTTTTATTCACAACATAGATATAACATACCCACCCACTATTCTATCATACTTACTTGCACAAGCCTGCATAGTTTGCCGGTGCCTCGCTGCCGCACACTCCGTCGACGAGGCCGGTGGGAGTCTCTCGTTGTAATTGTGTCGGACACCGTCCAGTACTTCCGGGAGCTGCTTCCGTTTCATAATGGACATTATTCATCTAAAACGTTTAAACTATGTTAAGAAGTACCGAAGTTAAATATTTCAATAACAGATTAAGATTGCGATTGCGATTAGACCAGTGTGCTTAGTGCGAGTTTCTTAACGTTCTCGATAGCATAAAAGTTAAGCCAATTTTGTATGCAATTGAAACAGCGCCCCTAGCGGCAAAGGTCCGCAAACGCTCCCATTCCATACAAATATGAGCCAACTTTCACGCTATCGAGAACTTTAAAAAACTCGCACTAAGCACACAGATACTGCGAAGGAAAATGTGTTTGATACAAAAAGTGTTGCGTCTGTTCATGTTGTTGTTTAATGCTGGTGGTGGAGATTACCATGATTTCGGTATAATAAAGATTTCCACATAACCTGTTGTTTTGCTGGGCAGACGGGCTTTTATTCCTACCTTGTATTGACTAAAGTCTCAAGGCTGTTGGCGTCATTCATGCTGTGATGTCTGTAGGCTTGGGTAAGCATTCAACAGCAGTGTGCTTAGTGCGAGTTATTTAACTTTCTCGATAGCGTACAAGTTAACTCAAATTTGTATGGAGTTGGAACGTTTGCCGCTAGGGGCGCTGTTAGAAAACTTACTAAGCACACAGGTGGTCCATGAGATTATTTATTCATCATTGCGACAAAAAATAAAGCGATACGTACTTGTAACAATGTTTGCAGTTCGTGTGGTTCTTTATCTCTTAAATAAAATAAACAGTTTCTCGGGTGATGTGCATGAAGTCCTAATTTTGCACAATAGTCGCTCAAGCCGCAGCGTGCGCCCATAGTAAAAGGCTTTCCACATCCATAACAGAACTCATATTTGCATTGAGTACAAGTGAAATGCATACATCCACCTCTGAAAACAATCTCGCTAATTTATTTACGTCGTTCTACTCTAGTTTCAGCAATAATTTACTACATTGATTAGTAAGGGACGGAATTAGTTAGAACACTAGGTACTTTACTTATAATGTTCGCCCGGTGATTGAATTTCGACCTATCGCTGACATCCTAAGATTTATTAATTATTTACTCGTTTTAAATAAAATTACTTATCATTTTGAAAAAATATATTTTTTTTATAGTAATAAAGTTCAATAGATCCTAAACAAGAAACCAGACAGAAAACTAATTGGTTTTTAATTGTTTATGTTTTTGACTTTTTATACAAAATATAATTATTATAGAGATGGTGAATTTTTGTGCTGTTGTACTTTTAGAACGGAGTTCCCTATCGATTGTTTTAGTTCAGATATGTTTGCGGGCCGCGAGGGGTTAGACAGAAGAAAAAGTGTAACAATGAAAATGGACACTAAACACCGACATTTTTTGCAGTGATATTTGAGGCACTTCCCAAGCACCTTGTAAACTGAAACTTTTTTCTATCGATACAGCATGCTGTCAATTTTGAGGATATCCTCCGTTCTAACCGGGTGTTCATACTAGGAGGGATCAAAAAGTAGTGAGAACGACATACTCCTTGGTAAGAATTAAGAATAAAAAAATACTAGCAGGCATAGCTCAGATACATATTTGTAATATTAGTAAAGATAAAAATTCTTTGATTCTCTTTTGTTTTTTTCTGAATGTAGTCATTTGTTTTCTTCGTGTCAAAAAAAAAAAAAGAGAGCTTTTTGCAGGACCAAGACAAAACTTTTTTTTTGAAAGGGATTGAAGACGTGGACTCGGTGTGTAGAGAGACTCGGAGACTGTAGAAAACTAAATTATTAAGTTATCTATAAGTTAGTTATCTATAAGTTAGTTATCTATAAGTAAGATGCCTGCGAGCAGTTCAGGAAATATATGACTATTATACATGGTGTATATGTTTTATCATATCGTACCTTGACAGGGAATATTTGAAGCGACATCGTGGACATTCGAGGCCATTGTCTCTTAGGTGTTGTTGTATCGCGGTCAATGACCTTTCAGGATCGTTGTCATCCAACCAAGTAGCATATTGTTCACATGTCATACCTTCGTGATTAGCCGTCCACTTGAAAATAATTATTTTATTAAATTAATTTTAAATGGAAATTAGAAAGTTTAACAGATGTCAAATACTTAGTTATTACGTGTCAGGTGGCTGGTTCGAGATCGGACACGTACCAAGCAAGTCCCACTGTTTTTAGATTAAATATTTTCATTATTTTGATTGTCAGAGCACGCGGCTCACTAGATGTTAAGTGGTGACTGCTACTCATGAACATCGGCAATGCCAGAGCCGCTGCTCTTAGAAGTTAAGTTGCTTCAGGTAATATAGGTGAAATTTATTTCTGTAGAGCGTAGTAGATAGATGATATGGGTATTATATTTCGAAGCCCTGTTCATGGAATAGATAGTAGCACACGCAGAGATGCAGTTACCTACTACACAGCACACGTCTAGCGTTACTACGCTCGCTACCGGCTTGCTGTTAAGTGGCAACCCGAGCTCATAGATTACATCGTTAATGTCATCTTATCTCAAATATATTAAGTGTATAATCTATGTCATCTTATGACATAAAGTCGAAACATACACTGTGTTGCAAAAACGTTGATTTATTCGTTTATTTATTTATTGCTTAGTTGGGTGGCCGAATTCACGGCCCACTTGGTGTTAAGTGGTTATCGGAGCCCATAGACATCTACAGCGCAAAAGCCGCCATCCACTTTGAGACATGAGTTCTAAGGTCTTACTTTTTACAGTACGAGGCGGATGCCCCGCCCTTCAACCGAAACGCATGTAAACTTGTAAATTGTAGCAGTTTTACTTATTCTTACAGGCTTCCTGCATGATGCACAGCTAACTGAGCGACACTCTGGGCAACGCAATTTCTTTTGTTTTGGATGAACAAAGAATCCCGAAGCACATTCCATGCACCATCTAAAATTGGGGTCTCGAGCCAGAGTACGGTCACGCAACTAAAACAAAGAAAAACTCATTCAAATGTTTCTACTTATGAAATCACACAAACTTAAATATAATTATTTCTAAATTGATTAGCGAAAAGAACTTACAGCTATAGAGATATCTATACGACCAAGAAGAGGTTCAAGAAATTACAGCCGAGACCAACCTTCAACAGTGCAGTAACCGGAATCCGGAGGGACCAATTGTCATTTTAATTTTTTTAATTATTCAACAAACACACAAATTAGTGCATCAATAGGCGTTTTTGAAAAAATACGCCGTGCTGTCTCTGATGTTGAAATGTTTATTAATTTCAGCGCATATCAAATTATAGTTTTCGTTACAGCGATTATTGGACTTGATTAAAAATAGTTGAAATTTAATGTACTCTATTACATTAAATGTTGAATAATTACCTTTCTTTGGAATAATTCGTGCACTTCCGTTTCGAGTAACGTCTTAAGTAGAATATCCAAATGTGCGAAATAATCTAACCAGGCGTCTTCGGGAAGATTTTCTAAATCTGGAACTTTGCAGTATGGGCACACGCAGTCTGCTATGCTCCTTTCCGTGATTTGAACTGTGAAGTAGTGTCGGGCGCATTCTCGACAGCATCGGTGAGTGCAACGTAACATCGATACCATCTGTGCGTAAAAGAAAATTTTAATTTTTAAACTTCTACACCTAAATAATACTCATAATCTTTTTTTTATTTTTTTATTGCTTAGATGGGGTGGACGAGCTCACAGCCCACCTGGTGTTAAGTGGTTACTGGAGCCCATAGATATCCACAACGCAAATGCGCCACCCACCTTGAGATACAAGTTCTAAGGTCTCAAGTATAGTTACAAACGGCTGCCCCACCCTTCAAACCGAAATGCATTACTGCTTCACGGCAGAAATAGGCAGGGTGGTGGTACCCACCCGCGCGGACGATCGCGCATAATACAAAATCATCTGACCCCAAACTACGATTCTTTTACTATGGAAACCAGATACTGCATTATTTACATACATTTATGTGTTTAAATTTAGTGTCAATCATTATAATATTAAAATATAGCGTAATAAACAATTTGATGACTAATATGTAGCAATATTGATACTAACTTCATGTTCAGGCAGTCTAGATGCACAAAGTTCGCAATCTTGATGCAAATACACAAGTGCACCTGTTATATCTGTACACTCAAGAGCTGCTAAAAGTGCAGCTGACGATTCAATTCCACGTGAAATTAACTCTACTGCAAGTTGCGCTTGTTCCCACGTTTCTGTCGCCCCTTCTGCTAATAACATACGGGCTTGTCTCTGTAATCAACATGTTTTCATTTATTGTATTATAATCAATAGTACAGAAACCTTTTTTTAGGATTGAAGGATTACTGGTGGCCCGGAAGCATTTCTAGTTTCATCAGGACAGGTGGGCGAACAAAGGCTCAGCCAGGATAGCGGGAGTTGCTAACAGCAGCTCGAGCGCCTCCGAAGGAGACCTAACAACTCAAGAGCAGCTGCTTCGCGAATGAATCTATTACCGGCTCGGAATCGCGACCCGCTGAGAAGATCCGGCGAGAAACTCAGCGAGCTGATGCATGGGTTAGGTTGCGCGTCGAACTCTTGGTCGAGTTCGACGAGTACGGTTAGTACAGAAACCTACGCATAGTAGATTCATTTGAAAAACAAATTACCTCTGGTGATCCTTCAGGTAAACGTATTTTGGCCAAATCAACTAATTGCCCCGAGACACGACGTAATGTGAGAGGTGGAGGCGGTGAAGGAGGATTGTAATTTATTTCTTCTACCGGTTTCTTTACTGGCGTTTGAGAACTTTCGGAATCGCTTTCAGTCCATTCGTCCTCAGTTCGACAAGTTTCACGAAAGTAATTATTTTTCTTTTCCATTGTTGGCTGTACTTGTATTGATGTGGCTTGTTCATTTTTATGTTCTATAGGTGGAGGTGGTGCTGGCTTTTTTTTACTCATTGTAGACGTTGAAGGTTCCGGTTCTGATATGTTAGATTCCTTAACAGTATTTGAATTTTTAGGTCTTGTATCAAATAGTCTCGTTTGCAATTGTTTTACATGACCGCTTTGTATATGTCCAAATTGTGATTTAGGCGGCGCAGGTGCAGGATATTGTTTGATCGATGCTCTGCGAATGGGTACCTTAGAGGCTACAAATTTTGGGCCGTTTTTTTCTAATTTAGTCTTTGTGCCAAATACATTTTTAATTAATTTCGGTATATTAGATTTTGATGCTGGATTTTTAGAATAAGTTTTTTCGGTGATCGATGCACTGTTTACGGTACTAATTGAAGTTTGTACTTGATGCTGTAACGGAGTTTCTTTAATGATATTTATAGGTTCCAATTGTATTTGATTTGCATTTCCATTACGTTCGTTTTGGTCAACCTTATTAAAAATGTCTATTTCTTCTATTTCTCTTTGTATAGTTTGTAGTTGCACATTAGTATTTCGATTATCCGATTCCTCCGCCGGTAGCGGTTGTGAAATATTGTCTAATTGTATTTGTAGCTCAGTGTTTTCCGTATTTTGTTTTATTTCTATATTTATGGCTCCAAATTCTAGATCGTTCCGTTCGGGTTCATCTTGAGTTGCATTAATTTCACCAAAATTTATTGTTTGTTCTTGTTCAATTTGATCATTATTTGTTCGTTCAATATTATTTTCTCTAGTGCGTTCGAGCGGTGGAAATGGCTGTGTAGTATTTAATACTTCTATTTTATTAGATTCGTAATGGTTTTCTGTATTTTTAAAAACATTTACTAAATTATCAGGAGATGGTTCATTAATCAAATTTTCATGAGTTGGTTCAATTGTATTTAACTTTCCTTTTAATTTAGGTTGCTGGTTTTCCGATATTATTAACTGAAAAGACGCCGATGGTCGATATTCAGATACTGTAATAGCGTGTTTTTCTATTACTGTTATATCTGGCAATGTATTCGTTTGTAAAATATTTTCACTCTCAGAAATTATTTTCTGTTGCATTTTAGTACTATTTAATTGGGCATATATTTCTTCAAAAGAGTTAACGGCCACGTACAAATTATTATTTGAATCTTCTTTTTTCACGGGAATTGTTGGTTTAATTTCTTCTACAGTAACAATATGCTCTTCTTGTAGACTTCGAGCAATTGAATCTAGTATTGCCATGTTAGTATTTTTAAAGTCATCTACTTGGTTTTCGATATGATCCATTGCTTCTTCAAATTGTTCATTGTCTTCAGAACTTGTTCTATTAGAAGCTTCGCTCTGTCGTACCGAATTGTTAGTTTTGATTCTGACGTTCTGTGTGTCCTTGCTGTTTCCATCTTCATCTGAAGTAATATTTTCAGATTCTTCTGTTTCATGGTCCGTATCACTATAACTGGTTAACTGTTCCTCGTTGGACGAACTTTCGTGTTCACTATGCGAAGTGCTATTATTTTTAAAAGAGTGCATGTCGGAGTCAAGTTCTTCTCTCATCTGTTGTATTAGTTTTTGAGTATTATCGACTATATCATTCAAGTTCTGTGATTTATCATCATAAGAATTTTGTATTTTATTTTTATTTTCAGGCTGTTTTTTCTCTAATACATCCCTATAGTAAGTTTGTTTGTTACTTTGAGCTTCTGTTTGTTGTTTGACTGCTTCATTGTTTGGGAATATGTTGTTATCGTTTTTTATTGTTGAGGCTTTTGATTTTTGTTCTTCAGTTTTAGAAACTACTTTAAGGGCTATTAAGTTATCTTTTTTTTCATCCACTAATATGTTTTTTGTAGATTTTCTGTCCGATATATTTTGTCCTTTAATCAGTAATTTTTCATTTTTATTATTTTGAAGTTTAATATTGTCGTGTATTATGTCTGTCGGGAAAGATTTGCTGTTCGGTTCCAAAATGACGTCATTTATGTTAGGTAGTGGACTTGCCTTTGTTAAGGCATTATACGCGTCAATAAAATCATTTTCAGATTGGATTAAATCATTGAAGTTTGTTCTGTTTCTGTCAGTTATAGTACTCTCTTCCAACTTTAATTGTGTATTTTCTAATAAACTACGTAAGAAGTTTTCTTCGTCTGTGTTATTTTTAAGAATATTTAACGTTACAGTTACGTCATCTCTGTCGTCATGCGGGGCATCGTACGAATGTTTATTCCAGGATTTAAGATTCTGGTTCGTCTCGTATTCATCTTTAACATTCACGTCCAACGGTAGAAACATCCAATCGTCGTCTCGAAACACCGGTCGCGTCGGTGCTTCAAATTCATCTGAACTATCTTCTGCTGAAACGTAAACGTGACGGTTATGACGATGTACGATGACGTCACGATCTTATACGTAACGGTACGTCAAGGATTCAGAGGGCGTTGAAGATTACCGCGCGCGCGTGACGAGCGGCGCGATGCGAACCGCGGTGGAGCTGCATCATCATCTGCACCGGCTGGCGAGCCCCAGACACGCCCTCGGACTCGTCCTTCTTCGCCCATTTCAGTTGATCCTGCCTGAAATGTAGATTCATCATTGAATTGTGAGCTTCACTTGGGACAAAAAATATGAAGTTGACAACACGTACTATTAGACTACTTAGGATGAGGTTTGCTCACCTGTCGACGATGTCGTTCAACACATTCTGTAACCGCAGGCCACATAGCGCCTCGATGCCGTGCGAGTGACGCTCGAGCTTCTAGTTCGGAGATGACAGCGTCGGGTGCGAGTCTTGCAGCGGCTGCTCGTACGCCCGCGCACAAGCTCGGCCACCGCGAGCGCAACCATGCGAGTGGTGCTGCCGGACTTTGTGCTAATGCAGCTTGCACTTCCGCGGCACTGAAGCCCAGGCGTTCGGCTTCCGTCATAAGCTTGGCGAGCTCGAGGCCGCGTTCTGTTTCTCGTCGGCCTGCGCCGGATAAAGCTTCTAGTGAAGTGGCGCGTGTGGCTCCCGTCGGCTCGGGTGAAGCGGCCTTTGTCAAAACAAACAGTTGAATTGTTAATATTGCGACGGCGAAGACGATTCTACGAGTATACTCATGTGACACGCACCTACTTTAAACTTTCTATTGCTTGTTATTTTAAATGACATAAAGTACAAAATATCATCATCAGATCATCTGAATTAAAATAATGTAAACGTCCAAAATAATAAATCTAAAATATAACAAAAAGTAATATTAAATTAAAAATATATTTATGGAAAAGCAACAATTAGCGACAAATGGGACTAAATAACACCACCGACAAATATAGAGATTTACACAGATCGGGCAACAATTATTGTAATGGAAACTTAACTACCTCTGAGCCATAAAATCCAGATCGACGATGCGACCTTGGTCTCCGTAGATCTAAATGTGAAGCTCTACGCGACATGTTTCCATGGTCCCAGTCACCTCCCGGACTGCTGTCCTCTTCACGCCACTCCCACCGGTTGGTTGTTCCCAACGTGCGGACACTGCGGTCGCTCTCCTGGGATTAAAGTATCTATTAAAGCACGGTTATCGATGTTTTGGATAAAAAAATTGTGGAGCATACACAGTTAGCTTACACGGGTGTCGCTGGATAGTGAGTGTCTGCTATGAGATCGTTCACGTCGACTTTCGTCCCGGAACCGTCGTCTTGGTCGCGATCGAGATGCCGATGGGGCGCGTTCCCATTGTTTAGGTACTTCGTAGGTCTGTTTTGGAATTAACTATCTTTATACCAGTACTTTTATAATTTAATTAAAAATTTAAGTATAACGAATTTTAAATTGAATAAAATTCTTAAAAATTTTACATGTAATGTAATCTACGTAATTGTCTCAAACAATGATAGTTTGCTTCAAATTTTTTTGTAATAATTATTGCTATACTTAGACAGGAAGTCGAAAGCGATGAGAAATTGAAATTTGAATATCAAACTTATAATAGCTGCCGGCACGGTAGGTCTTTCCACTCAGAACGTATAAGCATTTTTACAGCAGAAACGAGCAGGATATTGACCTTGACATTAATCCGTTCGTCACAATACGCTCAAATACCAGTAGGTACTTAGATTTATAAGAAGGCTAATTTCGTTTCTTTACACGATGTTATTCCTTCAGCGTAACAATTGTACTCTTCATTGTACTCGAACAAGTGAATGGATTTCCCTAAAAATTGGTATATTTATTGTAGATAAGCTACGTCATGTTTAAATTAAAATTTACCTGTGTAGAAATGCTTTGTGGTGGTGGAGAAGTCCCGGTGTTCGAGACGTTTGTTTTATTGGATCTGAAACTACTTGCTCTGACGATGACGTCGCGCGATGGCGACGTCCCAGTGGACTTTTTTTGAACCTGTTTCTCAGGTTCGATAGATACACGATTGTTTTCACGTGGAGGTGATGGACCAACTGAAATGCTGTGTAGTTGTGGTTGATCTTTAACAGGAGAATCCTTAACGCTCCGACGTGGGGAGTCCTGGACCCTGTTGTCGATTTGAGGAGATGACGTAATATTTCTATTCTGCTGGGAGTGACGAATGTCGCGAGGTGGTGACGGACCCACGGCAATGTCATGTCCTTTTGTACTTCTTTCAACAAAGCTGTGTTTGTTTTGTTCAATAACGGGCGATTGACTGTTTACTATTTGCATTGAAATAAATTCTTCTCTAGGAGGTGACGGGCCACAACCAGTAGACTTTCGCTCTTTGCTAATTTTAGGACTGCATCGCACCCCGTCTGGAAAAAAAGCAAATACGTATGAATTATTAGACATTAATTAAACAATTCAATCGGAGATTCAATAAGATTGTATTTTCTCACTTTGTTTAGTTGGTGAATCATCATGGGTGGCAGTAGTCGGTGTTGATTTTTTTGTTTCAATTTTTAGCTTCTCCATCTCTTCTTTTACGCCTGATACAAGGATTTTCGGAGCTACGGTTGGAGTGCGACAACAGACTGCACACACTCTAACTCCGGGCTCATTGACGAACGTGCAGTGCTCGCATTGCCAATTGATTTCCGGCGGGGGAGGTGCGGGTCCTAAGTAGTTATCGTTGTTTTCGTGGATGCTGCTTGGAGGGACAGTGATACTTTCTCCTTCGCTTTCCGTATCGGCGTCGCTGGAGGGCAGTGGCGGGGAAGGGGTCCGATGCTTGGTGCGGCGGGAGGCGCGCGATCTAACACTCGCGGCCGGCGATGGAGCTCTAGACCCGGCACGGGACGCGGCGCGGGACATAGTGCGCGTTTCCACTACAACAAATGAAACAGTTTTTATTATTAATTTGATTTTTACGTTATGTACTGATGTTGTTACATTGGTATTAAATTAATTTAAAATTTCACTGGTGGTATTATAAGCCTGTGATATACGTGATATACTATACAATAGATTTTTGGACGTCATTCTCATCTATGTGGTCCGATAATCCACTCAATACCAGGGGAGTCGCCGTGAACAGGACTATTCTAAAATAATTTAAGTTCCGTATTTATAATGTCGATAGCGGCGAAAACTTAAAACATTTCATAGACACATTAATTTTTTAGTGTATTATAAAATACTAAGTACTTGGAGACAAAAATAGTTGATATTTCATCGGGAATTTACTTATCTACTAAAACAGTTTTTTTTAATATTATATTTTTAAACTGTACTGTATTCGAAACGTCGTAAACAATAAAATTTCCGGTTTCCGCAAGAGGTGAACCGTGAAAACCGTACTATATAATTCAATTTTTAAAATACCAACCTCTACGATGTGGTTGTGGCGTCTGGGAAACATGATGCGTATGCGCATGCAACCGAGGGTCGTGCGGTGGGAGACAGCAGGGTGGGGGCTGCCAGGCTCCCTGCCACGGATGGTCGAGGCTCGCACAGCTGCCGTATCTCCAGCCCGAGCCTGCACATTGCGCGCATCCTCCGCACGTCGCTCCGCCACCGACACCTAGCTCTAATACTGACGCACCACGCCGCAAGGGCCGGTTCCAATTCTGTACATGCGAAACGTTCTCTGGCTCCCATGACTCCGGTGGGACATTCTGTATTTAAAAACCGAAAATTAAAACAGTTTTTATTCAAAACAAGCAGGCAGCTTGTAAAGAAAAGTGTTTGTAACCTCCTTGGACAAGTGTATTGCTGCTATGCCGGACTAAAAATCCGACGACGGCTACGGCAAGTACTTTGTTTCTTAGTAAATACTAATACTATTGATAAATTTGGTGGTAGGTCCTTTTGTGACTAAAAAAGAAAAAAAAACTTGTCAATTTGAACCCCGCATATTTATAATTGTCAGTTTTCTGTTGTGAGATTAGACGATTATAATCAGTACCGTCATTCGACTATTTCTACCGCAAAGCAATCGTAATTTTCGATTTGTAAAATTCTCAAAATGTAGATGACGGCATCAATATTAAGAATTTTATGGGTTCGGATTTTTATTCCGTGAACTAGTCAATAATAAATATACCGCAGCAATAACATAGCATGAAAATTAAAAATTGCGCTTAAATATAAAAGAATGCGTTTTGTATCCCCATTAGGATGTTAGGGCAAAATGACAAAATTATTATATTGTCATAGGTCCTTGACTCGTGGACGAATTTTGAAGTTAGTCGAACGTCTTGAATTCGAAGAAGATTATTGAAAGAATCCCTTACATAGATTGGGGATAGGCTAATAAAAGCGATTTAAAATAAAATCGTTACTAAGGGTGTTAAAAGATACTTAAAATGTCTTCAATACCTACTTGATGCATATTAAATCCTTGAAGAGATCCTCTTTGTCTCGCCCAAGCTGGATTGAGGTGGCCAAGAGTATGGTGTCCTTGTGGTTGCATGCTTGTTAACTGGGGCATATTTGAATGCGGCATTGATGTGGGTAGATACGGCATACTGCCGATATGGCTAGAGGTTGGTATTGTGGTCATCTTGGCTTGAACGTGGAGCGGCATTTGCGAATGGGGATGTGGTGCAACGTGATTGTTGATGGGGGTAGTTCCTGTGCTTCCACGTGAAACTTGGGCTATGCCAGCGGACAAATGACCTAGTGTTGCACGTCTTTGATCCATCATAGGCTTAGGACTGGCGCTTAGTCTGTCTCCGCTCAGCTATAAAAAAATAACAATAGCATTAAATATGTGATGGCCAAAAAAGAATAAAAAAAGTATTTTTGATATTCGTTGTAACGCGAAATTACGAACTTTAAATTACATTAAATATGTCATTAATTTGTTTTGTTCTAAAAATAAGGGGAGAGAAGATGGCCATCACAGCGATAATGAAATCATTGAATTTCGTCCGAGTCACCAAACCGACGAACGAATGTAAAAAAGTTTCGCTTCAGCAAGTTGATGCAGAATTCTTGGGGATCTCTAATATCGCGTTTTTGTGCAATACACCAACGTCATTTGTAGAGTGAAATATATTCTTTGGAGTATTAACGAAAATACCTTGTGTCGTCGCGGAGGCGGCACGGGCGGTGCAACTTTTGGTGGTAATGGAGGTCGTTCTTCTCGTAGTTGGGCAGTCGACAGAGCCTAATAAAAGGATTAGTATATTACATGAGCTATATAATATACGTATAGATATCAGGCATATCTGCCTGAACCATTCTATTTAAATGATAATCAGAACAGAAAGAGTTCTGATGATATTCAAATAACTAGATAGATTTTTATCGGACACTGCTGAAGTGCTCATAAATTAATGAAAACATTTTGTTGAATTCCGTGCCTATATGATACTACAGGGGCGTACCTAAATAAAAAACCTTCACTTTTAGCGTCGCATCAGCTATTATTACACATGGTAAAAAAGGGTGTCCAAAGAAAAAAAGCCTTTGCATTTTATTGCACTTGATGATAGGGGATGAGGTCATTACGTAGGTACCGGAGTCGCAACTGTGTTGCGGTCCCATCTTTCAAATCGGCACGCATAAATGCTGGGCAGTGTAATAGGTTAATCACTATTGTCGACGCGATAGTGGAAAGAGGATTAAAATCACTTTTATCACGAATAGATATAGAGGATATTGCGATTATAGTATAGTATTATAGTACTCGTATATAGTATTGTAGTAAAGCTGTTATTTCCGTTACGGTGCCTTTAAACACAGGTAACCACTTAATAGATAGATCGTGCGATTTGCAGCCACAGCTAATAAATTACAAGTAAGAACACTTTCGAAGTCATACACGTGTATTCATGCGTAGGTGCGTAAACAGTAATTCTGTATGGGTATGAATTACGAGTACATAGTTCTGAGAAATTATTGAAGTATGTATCAAAACCATACGTGGCACAGCGGTGTCACGCGTTTTACCAGTTTATTTGGTCTTGAATGAGTTCGTTAACTAGGCTCCACTATCACCAACGCTAGAGGCTGCGAAGATGAGATCCGAAGACGTTGTGCTGTGACCATATCCTCAGTTGAGAGGCTAACAAAGATTTGGAGAGACCGCAGTATAACAAAAAACACAAAAGTTCGGTTAATGAGATGCCTGGTCTTTCCAATCTTTCTGTATGGGGCTGAGACGTGAACGCTGAGGATGCAAGACCGTCGTAAGATTGATGCACTGGAAATGTGATGTTGGAGACGTCTCCTTAGAATTCCGCGGACCGCGCACCGTACCAACGTTTCGATCCAGAAGGAGCTCAATATCAAGGAGAGACTATCCGTCAACAGTACAAATACGAATCCTCAAGTTCTTCGGGCACATCACTCATAATGAGGACTCCATTGAGCGGTTAGTGGTGCAAGGGCAAGATCTCGCGGGCGATCCAACACGATGGACCGACCTCATAAAATCTGTGACTCACTCCAACATAAACGATTGCTCTCACTCTGCGAAACGCCGTGCCCCATGGTGTCGTATCGCGAGAGCATCCCTATCGCAGGATCCGACTAATGCATGACCACGACCACTCTGTCAAGAGTGTACGAATAGGAAGAAGAGTTCTTTATAACGACTTTTTTTTAAAAATATATTTTATCATAAGTTTGTTTATGAACGGTCAGGTCGGTAGACTATTGGCAATTTGTTAATAATGTCAATAGTTTGGGCTACGATTCAATTTAGGTTTATGTCTATATGAGTAGAACTAAAAATTGTACAAATAAGTGTTTATGGAACAAAATTGAATCTGTATAATTTATTGATTGATTTGAATGATTATAAGGACATATCTCGTGTAACAAACAGGTACTAATATTATAGTATTTGTTTATTCAATTTAAATGATTTGTACAGGGCGCAACGCCAAAATTATAATATGAAAAATGACTATCGTAGAAAGGAACGTATTGTGCCAAATAACTATTGCGTATTTAAATTGATTTAGGTAAGGTTATGCATAACACATTTCAACTGGTTTATGTGATTGTTTGGAAGAGATCGCCGTTATCTGTACTATATTTTAATGTTTATACATTTTATAATTTCATTGGGTCAGGAGGTCAAAGACTTATAATATGAATGTAGAATAGGGATCGCAGCGCATATACTTCCACTGTTCCAAAATCTTCTCAAATTAACACTTTTATTACGCTTTGCTCATTTTTTAACCGTCTTCGCCATCTTCCTTTCTCCGTCATTTTGTCTGTCATTCTCTTCTCCCTTTCTTTCCGTTTTCTCTCACTCACATCTTAACGCTCCGTTCCACACTCTTTTCATACGTTCCGTTCTTACCAATCCTACATGAATGCATGCATCCACCTTCGATCTCATAACCGGAGTTTCAATTCTGTTGCATAACGGCTGTCCCACATCGGAGTGCATGTTTCGCGGCAGAAATAGTCAGAATGGAAGTATATATACATGTGAGCTTACAATACACCCGTAATTGTAGTAACCGTGAAATCAAATTTGAACAACAGTATAGTTGCATCGCTTGATACGAGTAAGCCGTTTTATCTTTTTGGCTACGACGACTTCAAGACCTACGTAACAAGAGTACTGTTGATAAAACTCTGCTATTTATCTGTTGGTTAATGTTAATACTAATAAATAACTGATCCAAAAAACGTTTATCGATTGCGTTTAGATAGGTGTTAAGTAAGGCATTGACCTGACGTTGGTGGTGTCTGCGTTTGGGGTGTCGATGGTACATGTCGTCGCAGGAGGCGCATAGAGCGCGGCGGCCGCATTCCGCACAGCGGACCCGGGCTCCTCCGCCTCCGCACAGTCCGCATGACGCATCAGCATCTACAGGGTGACCTGCACGTGACAAAAAAAACAAAATATTCGATACTTATGATTTTTACTGGTGGTAGGACATCTTGTGAGTCCGCGCGGGTGGGTACCACCACCCTGCCTATTTCTGCCGTGAAGCAGTAATGCGTTTCGGTTTGAAGGGTGGGGCAGCCGTTGTAACCATACTTGAGACCTTAGAACTTATATCTCAAGGTGTCTGGCGCATTTACGTTGTAGATGTCTATGGGCTCCAGTGACCACTTAACACTAGGTGGGCTGTGAGCTCGTCCACCCACCTCAAGCAATAAAAAAAAAAAAAAAATTTAAAAATAATATATAATAATAATAATCATCACCAAGCAATAAAATAATAATAATAATAATAATTGATATTTATATTCATCTTTATTAGACGCAGTTCGAAAATAACTTCTAGCAGTTATTTGACATAAAACCAAAATCTCTAGGAATTATGCGTACAAATTTTATTTTAAAATCGTCTAATCGATTTTATGATACTCCCTATATTTGTATGTTGTTTTTATTTTATATTTATAGAGCACCTTATAATCTTGTATGGAATAGTTATCAAAAAGTATTGGAGTGGTGTGGTTGTAAGTTTTTTCAATAAAAATAAGTATAACGTCTCCATTGGGAACAATCAGTGTAATTAATAAAACTACAATATTCCATATTATAATAAGTCGTTCTGTTATATCCGCGTAAAATTAAGTGATAAAGATGCGATAATGTACATAGTAAAAGAAGAAATAATTCAACTCAAAACAACAGAAGACATGAAACAAGAGATCTTGTCGCGATTAAAAGGACCAAGTTTGTTCAAAGGCATATGCTGCATCCTAAAAGCCTTGATCCCAAAGAAGATGTTAAGAAGAAAAGAAACAACGAATCCGACGAAAAACATAGAAGAGCTGATCGAACATTTAGGAGTTATAGGTATTTCTTGCTCTTTAGCTACAGAGCCCTAAAGAATATCTATACTCTATACTAATATTATAAAGATGAAATATTTGTTTATTTGTATTGAATAGGCTCCGAAACTACTGAACCGATTTGAAAAATTCTTTCACTGTTTGGAAGCTACACTATTCCCGAGTGACATAGCCTATAATCTTTTTTGAAAAAAATTAGGAACCCTTACTAATACTCCAATAATGTAACCCAAGGTGTAAAAAAGTTACCTAAAATATTCTTTACATCGCGTGCAGAATAAAGTAATGTAGTATGACTTTGTAGAAAACATTATTATTTACAAAAAGTGTCACGACAGCATATGTCTAACTATTATAGTTATGCCGCTATAAATGTTCTTTTATTTAAAATAATAAAACAACGTCGTTGTTTTTGTTACAGATCCGGATCCGGAGCAGGGCTGCTTGTAATTTATAAAACAGTAAGTACCTGTAGGTGGTCGAGGAGGAGGCGGCGGCGGTGGATTTAGTTTAGCGTTGACATATTGATCACTGGGAAACTCGACGACTTCGTAGTCTGGTTCCGGTTTTGTTAGCGGTGCACGTTGCATTGGTTGTGTGAAGGGATGATGGGATCCGGAGTGTATAGATCTAGACATCGTCGGCGTTGGAGGGACGGCGCCCCTTGGGTCGCGTCCTCGACCCTTCAGCATCCTTTATGTTTGTTAATTTACTGCGGAAAAATCGTAAATCTGATGAAATGTTTTTAGTTGTTAAAATCACGTTTTATCTAACACTAGTTTTCTGATCGTATCTATGACATAACTACATTAATATCGCAAGGGCGCAGATCTTTAAACAGAAAAGAAATTACATATTAAAGTAATTAAAATGAACTTGTTCATCGACTGCTTTTCTTTGAAAATTGTATATAAAAGTTAATGGCACAATCCCTCATGCTGATCGTTCATGTTAAAATATTTTGGGATTGAGTTATTGATATGTATTATACAATCAGGAGACTTTTCATGAGAAACTATTGTTTTCCAGATAACCATTGACTGCCTTAATGGAGAACTCGACTTTATCAATTGGTGGACTACCGTTCGTTCAATGGCTGCGAGTACCCGCTTAACAGTAGGTATGCTGTGTGAGCATTAACTCAGATATGAGACCTAATAAAAAGGAGGCCCCAAACTCAAAAGAAAATATTCTTTTCAGCTCGTAAACAAAAATGGGGTCGAAAATAAGTCAAACAAGATTTATAAAATTATTGAGAAGTATGTTTAAACACACATACCTAATTTATATATATGAAATAATGTATGTATGTTCACCTAAAATTATCTTTCTGCATCGTCTCATGGCTTTTATGTTTTAATATAAAATTACATATTGTTGCGCGCGAAGCCGCGGGCGCAGCTTGTATTATAATAATATACGTTGCGATGCCGTGTATCTGGCAAATTAGAAAAATGAACATTTACTTGAAAAACAAATCAAAAATTTTTAATTCGAAAATGTTATTTACAAATTTCGGAAAAAATAATTTCTATTTATTTCAAATACTTTGCGTCAGATTTAGCGCGTTTGCTTAAGACTGTTTTGATAGATATTAAATTATGACCGGTACATAAGATGTTGAAAATAATTTAAACATGGTTATGTAGATTTGCTACCGAATTCGCAAGTAAGTACATCGGCATTATTGTTAAGTTTTTTGTGTTTATTATCATGTGCAAATGGCAGCTGTGACCGGGATAGTGCGGGCGTTGCCGCGTCGCCGACGCCTTGTCGACCCATTTACCGCCACTCATATCCCAAAATATCCAAAACGATGTTCGTACTCTATGAATAAAATTAAAATTCAGTTAGGTTAGTGAGTACACTGTAATTGAATATTTAATAAACTATAACGACAAAAAAAAATTGTTAAAATAAATTGTCAGATTTTAAAGTGTGTTATTATTTTCAACGAAACATCAGAAGAATTTACAAATGAAAAATCGGCAGTTAGATAGCGTACATTAATTTATAATCGATTAAGATCGTACCTGTTTGTTTATTTCAAGATGTTGCACAAGAATAAACAAAGCACTGTTTTTTTTTGGAATCTATTCATGGTTCTGAATTATGCAACTCTGGACATAAAGTTCATTTCACTGCACTGTGTCTGGTCACTTGCGACCCACTTAGAGCCACTGTGCTGGCGGAGTAGCTCTGGTCACACGTCTGCTAGCACGAGCGCGACACTCGACCTACTCTTCGTTAGAGTCGGTGGACCTGGTAGCTGATAATCATGCTCCCTAACTGGATGAAATTGACAGCACGTAGACGCGTGTGTGCGACTCGCCTCTATTTCAGTACGCGGCTGTGTTGCCCCGATTTTACTAAAATTACGACGCGTTGCTATTTCCGCACTCTCACCCCGTTGCGCCCACTCTTCGGAGTCAAATACTTCGCGAACTCATATTTTATATTAACAACTTATATTTTTAATCACATTTAATTAATTTGAATCAAAATGAATTGTGAAGTGTTTCTTGTATTTGAATCGTTCGTATGTGCAATTTAATTGAGAGGTATTGTTATTTTTAAAACGTGTGTTGCTGAGATAATGTCACCGCCACCCAGATATTTTATAGGAGTTAATGAACTCTGTAAACAAGATGATTGGAAAAAATGGAATAAAAGACGGATAGCTTTGCGGCTATAAAATAAAAATACGCAACATTTCTTATATTTTAGAAAAAATGTACTTAAAAAAAAAAAATTAAAATAAAGGAAATTTAATTTAAATTAAAAGAAGCAGCGGGGACAAGTAATTTCAGAGGAGTTCGGGTCACTCAAATTTTTAGTGTTAAAACCAGAAAAAAACTTAAAGCTAGTATAACAATAACCAGCAATCAAATAGCCAGTATAACAATTTTAAAGTTATTATTGCCGATGCTGTTGTCGAAGCTCTCTGTGGAAAACATGTATCTGTTTATTTTATTTTTCTTTGTGTTATACAATATTTGATTTAGAATCACAGTAACTATATACAGTATTCGGACTCTCTCTTTTACGGTTTTCTATGTTATTGGTATTTAAATATCAATTAATCTTAAAAAGAGTAAAGAAAATAAATATCAAACTTGGTTTTTGATGATGAAATAAGGAAACCGAATTATAATCACACGAAATCACCGACAAAAACAGCTTACTTAGTTCACACCGAATAGAAAGAGACAATATTGTAGAAAACTTTTTTTTTATTTCTTTCGATTTTACGCCATTTCCCATATTTTTTCGTGTTCATTATCATATTACAATGTGGAATGAGCTGTAAAAGAAAATAGGATTGCAATGTCGTACTATCGACAGATACAACAACACTTCGTCTGTCGAAGACCAGAAAAGAACAGAGCGGCCGCATGCTGTTAGAACTACAGGCTGTTACAAACTGTTAATGCTGTTAAAGCCAGAATTCCTTGAAACCCCATTAGGAAGTAAAAAATCTTATCGCGAGAAATGAAGATTCCCGCTAGGGCTCTGTCGCGTATTATAAAACAAGACCTGAAGCTCGGCGCTTATCGTCGATATACAACAAGACATGCCCTAAATCAATCTTTACAATTAAAGAGAGTGGATCGATCAAAACGTTTTTTGTCGCGATAAGCAGGTGAAAGGCACAGAAATATCCTCTTTACCGATGAAAAAATTTTCACGATTGAAGAACACTACGATAAGCAAAATGATGCAGTGTACGCTCACAGTTCTAATGAAACTGCTTAAGCGGTCGGAAAGGTACAACGTGGACGTCATCCTGCGTCAGTGATGGTTTAGTGGGGCGTGTCTTATCAAGGAGTCACAAAACTACATTTTTGTGAAAAAGGAGCGAAAACTTCAGCCAAATTGTATCAATACTGTCTTGGATCATGTTGCGCAACCTCTCAATAATACACTTTTTAAAAAGATACCGTGGACTTTCTAGCAGGACTTTGCACGTCACAAGGCACGGACTACCCAAGCCTGGCTTGTAACCAACGTTCCAGACTTTATAAGAGCTGAAGACTGGCCCTCATCTGCTGCTGATCCCAAACACTAATGAAAACTCAACACTATCTAACTTAAAGAAACAAAAAAATATTTAGTGCGGATATAGTGACGAAATATACTATTATAATTAACGACAAGCATTTATGTTTACACAAATGAATTTTGTTTTTGGACTTGGCTTTTAAATATATATATATATATATTTTATTGCATAGATTGGTCATACATCACACATTGGACGAGCTCACAGCCCACCTGGTGTTAAGTGGTTACCGGAGCCCATAGACATCTACAACGTAAATACCGCCACCCACCTTGAGATATGAGTTCTAAGGTCTCAGTATAGTTACAAATAAATAGTATAGTTTAAATCGATTCTTATAAATTTTTAGTTCGAAGGCGGCTGAAGATCCTCAAAATGTTGAAATCTCTTTTTTGGTTTAAAAAGTGCACGTCAGTTTTAAAGAGACTGTTTATGGTCCTGTCATACTTGATATTACAATTATTATTGTTGTCAACGATATTGTAACAACAGTGGAACGAATTTGTTTTGTAAAAAAAAACCTGTATGGATATTTTGTACAGGTTTAAGCAGAATGGGTACTTTACCGCTGAACTGTACCACTTGTTACACTCGAAAAAAACGGGCGATCCTTCGGAAACAGTAAGATTTTTTATACCCTCTACTTTTTCAATATTAAACGCAATGTAAATGATTCCATTTTATGCTGTGCCCAGCCACTTTCGATCGTATTCGAAGATCGAGACAGCCCGCTCTAAGAATTCCTAAGCCTTCATCGTTTAAAAATGAGTAGTAGGTCATCAATAAGTAAGTGGAAGTGTATCCATCGCAATTCAGTTTTGAATATCGATGCAAACAACACATACTATTTTTTCTTAAACATGCTTAGTGAGGGAAATTAATAATGAAACATTTTGACATTTGTTGATCATAAAATAATTATTTCGTCTCCCATTTATTCAGCAGATCTAACATTATCGGAGAAATAAATATATTTTGTTTCATAATTCCCGACTAAAAGTTTTATGTGTACTTATCACGTAAATTGTGATTAAAAATGTACCTATATGATCTTTTTGCTTGACGAATTTTTTTGTTAAAATTTTCAGTAGATATTGTGTTTATTATTTATTAGGTCAACTGCGTTTTTTATAGATCATCCCGTCGGAGTATATGACAGAAATGATGATGGATAGTCAAAAGAGATTACAGAGTCTCAATAATATCGAAATTAATAATTTACTGGCAAGTGGGAATATACTAGCACAGAAAGTATTATCCTTTCTACCTAGCATTATCGTGTTTCAAAATTTTAAGCCTAACGAGAAACTAACAGCAAAGTTTTCAATTAAAAACGTTAGCAAGGTAATAAAATAGAATACTTTCTTTGAACGTAAACGACAAACATAAACATAATAATATAATATATATGGGAATAACGTAAATATGTGCCGCAATAGGGGGTCTTTTCGCTTAGTCCTCATAGCTACCGTGTCCCTTGTGTAAATTTCACTATATTGAAAATTGTTATTAGTAGCTACGTATGTGACACCATGATATATGAGGGATATAGATTTACACCATGATCTAGGGCTTGATTCTATCCGTAAGTATAAGTCAGTTTTGGAACGCTAATTCGCGACAGCGCCGCGACACGACAACCTCTTATCGTGACAGTCGCTAACTACACCCCTGATCCGGTTCACGCAGCAACAAACCATCGTTGACAGCCTTGACACATCTTAGTGGATCTAGGCGCTTGGACAGCTGTTATTAGCAAACTCCTCCTGGCTAAGCTCGTATCTGCCTACGAGTCTTAGTGAGCAAATTAGTCTTGCAAGAGAGCAACCCCTCGTCCCTAAAAAAGAAAACTAATTTTATACTTTCCATAAAGCAAATTTGTATTTAATCTTCGGAATTGTGCCCAATAAATACTATTCAATGTGAATAAACAAAAGTAATAATTTAGAACTCATAAGTGCCCCCATTTTGTCATAATATCTTGATCATGAAAACAATGAAAAGTACGATCATCGTTATTGACATAAATGGACGAAGGAGCGCAGCAGTGCAGAAGTTTTAAGAGCAGCACATTTTCTTTACAAGAATAAACGAAGAATGAAACCCAAAAGAGAAACAGCATCATTACCCTTTATTTCTACATATAAATATTATACATTTATGAATACTTATGTACTTAATTTCTTCAGGCACCCGTATTCCTGAATATGGCATTCAAAGAATCTTCATACTTTTTTGTGAAACCATGTAGTGGTCAGATGATTTCCAGATTGGCTCCTGGGATTAGTGTCAAATTTATTGTAAATTTTTTGCCTTTACAATACGAAGATTACGCTCACAAAATAAGCTTTTTTACTGAAAATGATCAGTACGTCTTGCCTTTAATAGGTGAGTTAAGTTTAAATAGATATTTTGGCTAGCTTAACATTGTAAGTTGTGTCTTTCTTTAAAGCTCACGTTAGAAGTATAAATGGTCGATAAAAATAACTTAAGGTCTATTTTTTCCCCTACACATGCTAATAGCCTTGAGAGGCTATTTAATCTTATCCTTGACGTGTAGGTGAGCTCACGAGGCTCAACCCGGAGGGTCGCTAACATTGACCCTAGCAAGAACAGTGCTTCGCAGAATATACCACCGGATGGGAAACGCGAACTATTGAGAAGATCCGGCGAGAAATCAGTGGGCTGTGTCTATGGGTTTATTTACTGGTCGGCCCCTCGGTGACCGGGACAGTCTATAGGAACTAGTTTAAAATACATCAGTAGGCTAAACAAAGGTAACGTTGAAGATATTATTTCTCTTCTAGCCATGGGACCGAGACCTCTACTGAATTTTCCTGATAAATTGTCGATTCCACCTGTACCGGTGAAAACAGAAAGTCATGCGCTAATGTCAGTGAAAAACATCGGAAATATGTCCACTGGCTTTACTCTGAGCACGAAAAGGTAGACACGAATACGTTGCAGACAAGTTTAATAAATCGGAAATATTTAAAAATTACTTGCTATTGTTTATACTAACAACTAGATTAGACTAAAGTGATGCATTTCATATGTCACAGCCCGTTTTCAATTCGACCGGAGTCATTCTATTTGAAGCCCAATGAAAAAGTAGACGTGGAAGTAAAATTCAAGTCATTAAATTTGGGTCAAACTTCTGGCACGCTTTTTGCAAGCTTTGAGACCGGTATGTGTGTATAACCTCCTGATCTCTGACCATATTTCGCTTCACCATCGCTGTATAACGGCCGTTTTCAATAACGTATCTGAGTTTTCGGATAGATAGCTATCTCCGAATATCAGCAAGAGCGTATCTATCCTTAGTTTGCGTTTCACAATCACGGATAATTGCTATCTCTCTTTAACCAACAGTAGATAGCTTCTTCCCTCCGATTTATCCGAGCCTCTTGATACGTTTCGTTCTACTACAAATACGAAACAACATCANCTCTTCGTATATAAGACCGGAGATACGTTTCACTCCACCTCTGCGAGCCAAACGACGGATAGCCGGTTTCGTGATGCCCTGGATGTTATCACGCAACACCTTCCTGTGACGTTTAGCGCCCCCCTTTCCAAGACCTTTGCCTCCTTTACCGCGACCGGTCATCTTGACGAACTTCTCGGTTTGTGTTTTGTATTAGTAGTAGCAGCAGACTTTAACGCGTTGCGCGACGAACGACGAATGAGCCTCCGAAAATTACGTTCGGACCTATATTTATACGCTGCGCCTGTGCGCGCAACCACGGACGATTCTTTGAACGTTGTAAAGCGACGCGGGGAGGGGAGGGGGGGGGTAATATTCACAACGACGTTGTCTTCTTAGTTTATCGAATCGAACGTTTGAATACAANGAGACGGAGACATTTACGTATATTCATGTTTCATTTTATGTACGCACTGAAATACTGTTATATTGTTTTCTTGCGAGTTAAAGTGCTGAGTAAGAACGAGATAGATATATGTTTATGTGTGTGCCTTCAAAATGGGTGCTATTTATATAAGCAATTGTACGTATAGAACAATATGTCGTGTCCCTACTATATAGGTCTATGGTTTATGGTTAATTTAGAGTTTAGACGTCTACTTTCAACTGTCATTCAAGCAAGTAGCAGTACCTAGTTCTATTTTTCCAACTGGAAAGGCAAAGGTATAGTACCATACACACATATCTTTTATATGAAAAATGATAATATGAAGTGATTTTTTTTCTACCTAAGCTGATAGCCTTGATAGGATATTTTAGCGTAACCTAACAAATAGGTAGTTGAGCTCACGGGGCTTAAACCTGACGACGTTGCTAACACTAACCGTAGCAAGAGCAGTCCTTCGCAGAATCTACCACCGGATCGGAAACCTGACCCACTGAGATCCGGCGGAAACTCAGTGAGCTGTGCCTGTGGGTTAGTTAAATTCTCCGAGTTCTTCGTCGTAAGCCACGGGTTCGACGAGAATGATAACCGATGCTTGAGGTACCTAAATGCAAGGTTAGTGGATCGGGAGGATCCGAAATGTCGTGTTTAGAGTTATGGAATGAAATGAAATGAAGTTGATTAATTTGAAACATTAATCAATTTCCATGAAATGAAATGAGATGAAGTGATATGGGATGAAATATAATCTCAGTAGAATGGTGGTTATTTATTGAGGCCTTTTTGGAGGATCCCGAGAAGGTACGTCTAGAGGCTTTGTTTAATTTTCCCACATTTGTGCACTTTCACAGATACTAAACAGTTAATAAACCACCTTTATAACACATTTAAGAAGAAAACTAAATAGACAAAATAAAACAATTCACACAACATCTTTCAGTAAACTAATGCTAATGCCAATTGCCAAATAAGTATCGATACATAGAAGTGTAATACATGGTTATTCTGTATCGATAGACAGATCGTGAATTTGATTTCACCAACAAAAACGTTTCTTTTAAGTGGTTATCCCTCGAATCTATCCAGAAATACATGAAGTCAGCGTCGGAACGGTACTTCGATAAGGATATGCGTCATGATAATCGCCTTATCGTTGCTGCCGCTGACTACTTCCCGAATCCTGATCACGTCAGAGCCAGTCACCGTCGACGCCATAGACACGTCCTTACGGATCCATCAGATCCAATAACCTTTGCATTAGACGCCTTCAGCTCTAACACTAGGAGCAGGCTTAGGGACCTCGGTAACCGTACTTGTCGAATTCGACAGAGTTCGCCGTGCAACCTAACCCATGAATCAGCTCGCTGAGTTTCTCGCCGGATCTTCTCAGCGGGTTGCGATTCCGATCCGGTAGTAGATTCATTCGCGAAGCAGCTACTCTTGAGCTGTTAGGTCTCCTTCGGAGGCGCTCGGGTAGCTGTTAGCAAATCCCACCCCTCCTGGCTGAGCCTTTGCTCGCCCACCTGTCCTGGTGAAACTGGAAAGGCCTCCGGGCCACCAGTAATACTACAATCATCAAAAAAAAGTGGTTATCGATTCTATAAATCTAAAGGCTTCGTCAAACAGAACGCGTATTTAGCGCGCGTCAGAGCGATAAACTGACGGCGCGCTATGACGCCGAAGCGTGCTGTACTACTATGGTAACACACTGTCAAACAGAGCCCCAGCGCTATAGGTACGCAACGCTCTGTCGCGGCGTTAGGACGCTTTGACGTCAGGCGTTGTAATTTATTACAAATTTTATTTTACCATCCGAGTGAATGTGTATTAAAATACTGGATAATGCCCGAAAAATTGATAGAAATAGTTAGAAAATACCCATGCTTATACAATGCCACATCTGAATCACTCGACATCTTAATACTTTTATATTTTCACACTGCTATCGAAAGGCACTATGATTTGGCGAATGCGTTGCGTCAAGGAGCGTCGGACTCATCTAGTCAATTTGTGTGACATGAAAAGAGCGCGACGTTAGAGCGCGACGCAGCGCTAAGTACGCGTTCTGTTTGACGAAGCCTTTAAGATATAGTTGAAGTCGAAACTGTAATTAAATGATTGCCATACCGTATTGGTTCTAGCTGGAGGTTTTTATCTTAATTTTATTGATAAAACTAATTAATCGAAGACCAGCATGAACAACAGAACTGAGAAATTTAATTGTGTTGGTACGACAGGCAGACAACTAATTTACTCACCAAAAATATATTTTCAAAATGATTATTTTTGTACTTTCAAGTTGCTTAAATAATTTTGGTAGTGAAACAATGAGAATTTTTTGCAAAATTCTTTATTTCAAATAAATTACAAACAAAATACCTAAAATATAATTTAGCTTATGGGTTTAGTGTTGCTTCTAGCTCCCCATTGGCTTGTAATTCTTTTATTATATCCAAACCTCCAATCAGTTCTCCTTTTACATAAAGTTGAGGATACGTTGGCCAATCTGAATACTCTTTCAGACCCTGACGAACCTCTTCATCCGTCAATATGTCAAAAGTACCAAATTGAACCCTAAAATCAAGATAACATTATCAATGCCTATCATAATGTTACGCAGGTAAGAGTAACGCCAACTATCGCCGAATAGTCGAAACGAACACCAAAAGATCTAGTGAGATAGAGAACGCTCGATAAGTACGACGCCATCTGTTATCAAATGGCGGAAACGCATATCGAAAATACTCTACTTGTAAGGAATGTTCTCGATAATTCTAGGGATGTCGTATCGACTATAAAAGCGTTGCAGAGATGCCACGAAGCAGTTAGTAATCAGAACTGATCGAAGCGAAACAGCGAACGAATCACCTGAAGCGAAGAGGAAGAAATTAATTGAGAATTTTAAAATGTTCATTAAATGTTTTGAGTGTTTTAAGTTAAATAGAGTGTTAATCTGTAGTTCGGTAGAATTTTTATTTATTCCGTAACCCAGCGCGTAACATTAATAAATCCTTTTTTATCCAAGTATATTTTCCCTTATTAATTAGAATAAACAATATTGTATGTGTTGTTTGTGTAAGCTTGCTAACTGAGGCTAATAAAGTTTCAGTATTCTAGAGATTTCCACCTGCCCATAAAGCATCATCAATGAACTGATTGCAATTGTCATGACGAGCATGAGGAAATTGAGCCAGTAAAATATTAGAGTGGTTAATTAAATTTGAATCCTTTACAAATAAAAAAAATCAAAAATCTTATATTTCAAGACATCAAAGTCTCATAGTGTGCAGTGTAGCATTACAAATAACTTAAGACACAAAGATCCTATAAAAGATCTTACAAAGATCCACCTGTTTAAATATAAAGAATTTTTGAACATAACAATTTACGTACAAAATAAGTAAAAAGTTTATTAGTTACGGTATACCCATTTATAAAATTAATATATTATTATCAGAAAATGCAGGTAACATTATTTCAGTGAAATTTTCAATTTCATATCACACGAAAATGCTATAAAATGTCCACGTGAGTAATTTTGTTCAGCGCACAAGACGCAACGATTCTAATTCACGGATTTCCAATTTTCAGTCATGGAGATAAAATTATTGATGGAATAAAATAAAGTATTATCTATGAGTTAATTAAATGATTTGAGTTTTAGATTGGCGTGTGTTAATAAATTACTAACCAGTCAGATAGCCTTTTTTTGATATTTGAAAAATAAACTTATGTTTTTGTTAGTAAAACTCGTACACATATTAAAATTGCTAAATTCGGTCAACCCTAAGCACCCTTTATTGTTAGCGGCGGGAGACGAATTTTGATGGGAAGTGGTTGTGAATATAAATATGCCACAGAGAATAGTTACACATTCCACGATCAGGCCTGATGTAAGCTGATTTTATTTCAAGACTATTTTTTTAGTGCTGCTAGTATATTAGACCTACGTCATTAGTACAAATAACTATGATAACGGATTGATAAGGACTACCTATCATAAAGTATTTATGCTAGTCGTTTTATCTAGGTAAATTTTTTTTAGTTTTTGTTATAGTATTTTCTTCGAATGGTTTTACTTTTACGGTTTCATTTCGCTATTTTCTGTTTTATATTATTTAAGATGTTACTGATACTTTACAGTATTAATGGAAAGCATGTTTTCTTTTGTTTATGGTCCGTAGGTTCTAGATGGGTCATAGGGCTTCAACAGTATTTTGCTATAGCAATCGGTTTTGGACTATGCACTTTACTCAGGCCACAATAGCCCGATTGTCTTCATCTCCGCCTCACATTACGCCGCCAGCTTTGTTTAAAACGTGTGGGATGTGTGAGGGCTCTCTTCTGAGAGTATGGCCTGTCCATGTACATTTCCGGCGCATGATCTGCTTGTCAATTGACATTTCCCGACACGCCTCCCAAAAGTATTCATTAGAGTACTTCTCAAATTAGAAAATGCCAAGTATTTGCAGTAAGCAGCGTCTGATGAAAACCTGAATCGGCTGCATGATCTTTTTGGTTGGACAAGACAAATTTTACGTTTAATCGGTGGATTTCGAGTTTTACTCCGCAAGAATTTCGTCAAGATGTTACCAAATATTGGTCTAATGCAGCGTGTCATAGGTCTTCTCGAACATTAAACAGACATCGCGTTGCCACTTTGCTCTTTCCTCGAGTATTTATTTGTTTTGTACAAGTTTGGTTGGGGTGGAATGCAGTCTGTGCTTGCCGAAGAAGTTGTTCCACTGCTTTCGCCAATCTGATCAGAAGAATCTTGCTCAGTTTCTTTGATGGCACCGGAAGGCACCGTAATGCCCCTCCAGTTGCCACACTGACTGAGGGCACCTTTCTTGAGAACAATGATTAAACGCCTTTGTTGAGGTCACGGGTAGATCTTCAGGAATTCATAAGGACCTCTGGATCAGTTGAAGGCTTTAAGCATTTCTCCTGTTATAAAAGTCGAGGCTTGGTACTTTCCGACTCTTAAGAGAAAATATAGCTGCTTCAACTTCTTCTCGAAGCGGTACTGTAGTGTTAATGTTTAAAGACTATGGTAGGGTTTAACTTGGAGATGAAGGAGATGGTAGGACAATTGATTTGCTCAAAAACTCCTGAAAGTTCTCGCGCTAACATTCAAGATAACTTTCTGAAGTCGCGATGTAGTTTCCGTTTTTATCCCAAAGCAGTTTCTTTTGGGTCTCTTTCTCCCTGCCAGCTCTTTGGTGACGCCGTACAATTCCCTCAGGTTGCCCGTATCGACAGCTGCTCGAGCACATTCAGCTTACCGTCAGTTAATACAGGCGTATTCTCTGGTGCTGCGATAGATGCACTCATGTACGTATTTGTCTGTACTGCTCCCTAAGGCAAGACCGTTCGGCTTTGTTCGGGGTTTCTAGGATCTTTAGGTGAAGATCGCATCAAGTCTGTTTAAGGTCACAAGTGTCGTCGGAGATCCAATCATCGCGCTTTTTTCCAGATGATCTAAGACAGAAGATCTGGTTTCTTGATAGATTTGATTCGGTTGCACTCTTCGTCTGTATTATCAGTATTCGCATAGAGACGGAAGAAACAATTTCGGAGTTCCAAAGCAAATTTACTTCGAGAAGTCTTTCTATCACGCTGTCCCCAATCGAACTTAAGTCTTATCTTGTTGCTGCCAGCTGCTCGCCTCATAGTCGCAACCTTGTGTCGGAGTTCAGCGACCATCAACATATGGTCTCTGTCGATATCGGCACTACACTTTTTGTGAACACTTAGCAGCTAGTTTGATCTGTGTACGTATGTTGCCATCGGGTGAAGTCAATGAATACTTATGTATATCTTTATGATGGATAAGTGTACCTCCTGACCTTGTTGGTCATGATTCTGGCAGACTTTAAAAAATTGCTTCCCGTTGTCGTGTTGCTTCTCATTGTCGCTTTCCCCTATCGTATTCATAACTCCTATCCAGATGACTGTCTTGCTTTCGAATGCCTTCAGTGCCTTTTAAAGTTGTGTAGAGGAATTATGAAGGGTGCCTTAAGTGTTCTAAGAGTCAAATAGAGTTTTAATTTGTACTTAGGTGAAAGTTTTATCTATCCCGAACCCGAGCATGTAACAGTACCATTTTCAGCACTCCACTAAAAACATGTAACCCACACAAAAAGTAGTAAAAAAGCTATGTCAGGCTAAAAGAAGTGTTTTGATGTGCGTGAAGTGTACAGATTTTTTTTATTCTATAGTTTACTTGTAAAAATAAACCAAGCTTATAGGTAAATGATTTGATACTTATGAAGAGTGTCTTGACAATATCAAATCAAATTGGTGAAGATAGACTGCTGTTTACATTAGAGGACGAAGCCATCTGATTTTTATATGTATATGTTCATTATAAATATTCATAAAAAACAAAAAGAAATTGAAAATTCATTTTTCATTTTGCAATTTAAATCATATCTATTTGTTTTGTAGAAATAGCCAAAATGTTTTCCATTCTTTAGTTTTTACAAAACTTGTCTCGAAGGGCAAGCAAAATTTCATATGACAAAGTCTATCTATACTAAACATGTAATCAAATTATAGGTATTGATCATTTCATCAATAATACTTACCCTGTTCCATTCAGAATTTGTATGAGAGTACGACTAAACCCGCATCTTGGAGTTTCCTTGTTCCCTTTCATGAATACCATTATATTATGCTTATTTATTAAAGCTTTTAGTCGATCTTCAAGTTTCTGAGGGGTTATTTCTGCAGGACTCTTATTAAGACTCTGTGCTTTAATTTTTGAGCTAATTTGAGCAGCATCTGCTCCATCAATCCTGTCTACTTGAGTTCCATTCTTAAATAATATAACTGTAGGCACTGAATCTACCTGAAATAAACATAATCATTAATAAGTTGTCTAAAACACGCTTTTCCTATTTTGATTGTTTTCATTATAAATTATTTCAATATTCAATTACATAGGCTCTTTAATTGCTTAACTGGTCTAGTGTAGTGTTTCCTAAAGAGGTCTATTTCAATCTGAAGAATGACATAGTCTTTAACGCATAATTGAGTACCAAAATCAAGATACAAATTGATGTATCCATAAAGGTATATAAGCTGACTTAACTTAATAGGTGTATGGCTCTAATAAAGAATAAGAAAATAAAATAAAAAAAAGGTATACACAGGTATTGCAATAGGTGACTTAACTGTCTGTGCTTTATGATGCATTACATTTTTAGGGTTAGCACTTATTATTTTTTTATAACAATATATTAGCAGAGCATTACCTTATATTGCAAGGAAACTTCAGAAAGTGCCTCCGCATCACAAACGGCACATTGTGTCTTGCTCGACTGAATTTCAGGAAGTTTTAAGAGTTCTTCAAGTACATCTGTAACTTGTTTACATTGTTCGGCCCATTCCGCTGAAAAGTGTACTACTCCAAGTGCAGGAGATCTAAATTAATGAAATAATTTTTGATATCAGCCAATACCAAGATAGATATTAAAGAATCATCTTGTTGTGATAAAAGATTAATTGAAAGTAATATTCTCAATTTTATATTCTAAATACATATTTCCATTTCAATGAATGCAAAATGTTGACCATCCTGCTACATAGTAATTTATTATCTAACATTTTTACCTATTTACTGTGTATTTAATTTAATTTCTTTTTATGGCTTATTTTTAATGATCCTTTCACAAACGGTTTTAAAAGTACTTTTTTATTAGCGGTGATTCTTACCTTATAAAATTATTAAAATCTTCAACAGAGTCCAATTTACTGACCGACATTTCAGTATACTATGTTTAGGTTACTTTAATAAATTTTGTAAACAGTATATAAGCGCCACTGGATTACAGCAAGATTGAATTACAATTACAGCAAGATCCGGAATCGTAGGTGTACTCGATGCAAAAATTACAATTTATTTAATCACGTTCATTCAGTTTCTGACATCTCTGATTAGGGATGTGGTCTAAGATCGATACTTGAGTAAATTAATTTGTTAACAACTTAAATCGTGAATAGTGAAACATCTTAAGCAGTAGAAAATCGAAATTTAATGAAAAGGCATTAATAAAGTATTTATGGTTCAACTGATTATGAATATATTAAATATAATGTTTATTAAATTTAAATTTACATTTTAAATAATAATAATTTAAAAAGTTGTTGTATATAAATCATGTATTTATTAAATTTTTTGAATGAATTTGTTGTTAATTTCTGTTTGATTGATTTTTGTGTCATTTTGGTTGCACTTGGGTATTTTCTAGAATCGATTTTTCAAAATTTTGGTCTGAAGTCGAATCATCATCTCTATTTCGAGCCAAATTTTTTTGTTTGATTTGTTTTTTGGACAAGCAAAAGGAGTCATAAATAATAAATAGATGTACACAATAAGGAGTTTTAGCAACACAGCGAAGTTATATTATGTCATGTATATCTTATTTATTTAAAATCGCTTAGCCATCTTATTGTTTACGGTTAATGATCAAGTTTAGTGGTAGATTTTTTTGTGTCTGAGCCAATTTTTTTGCTAATTTATATGGTGATTAAAAGGTTTGCTTAGTCATTGCTCTCTCGAAATGCTCGCAACATAATTGTTAACTTATAAATTTATTAACCTCTTTAATACGATTTTCGTTAGCGGTCAAATTGGTAGAAAACTACCAATATGACTAGCCAAATTGATACACACTAATAAATCCAGTTTAGTTTCTGTAAATTCTCAACATTTTACTAAGAGGTTTTCTTTATCGATTTGTTTTTTTTCACTTATTAGGTGTTATAGGCAGAATTTGTTTGCATTTCAATTTGGACCAAACAAGTAAAACTGTCAAATTGACATATTCTGACTGAAGTTTTGGATCCTACCCGAAATCTATCTATTTTGAGGTTAGAAAAAAAGAAATAGTCTGAGGATCCTACAAACAACCAAATAGAATAACTAGAAACGTGTGTTAAGTTCATTTATTATTTCCGTTTATTAATATTTACAAAGATGGCATCCGGTTCAGGCACTCAACAAATCGATTTAAACAAACTACCTTTGCCTCAACTAGCTCAATTGAAACAGCAGTTAGACCAGGTATGTATAAAGGAAATATCTATAGAGCTATTTTAGAAATAGTAAGCATTAAGTATTATTTCTTCAACATAATATAATTTATACAGATAATTATTAAATGCCGTAACTATTAATGTCCTTAAGAGACACGACTTATGTCCTGTCTTAAGGACCCTCATGAAAGCCGGAATGAAAACATTTGCATATGTTTTCTGGTCTGAGTTGTGTATCTAGGTGTACTTGTTAGTGACATGAACCCGGACCTCAAATACCAAATCAGAAAGCTATGAATCTAAGATATGTTAAAGAGAAGACTTCACTGAATGTGCTAATTTTTGGTAGACCAGCAGTCCTCATGTTGTTGTTCTGATGTTTTATTAATGGAAGACTATTTCGTAAACAGTCAGCTTCAGGTCATATTCGCTTTTCTTTATTATATTGTAGCTATTGCTATAGTTAGCCAGAAATGGAACGTCGGACATAATGACTAAATTGAGGGAGAGTTACGTTAGTATAGTAACTGATGTTATGTTACAATATGCATTAGCAAAACAGATGCCCTTTAGTCTTTAGGTCTACTTTGGAAGTACTTGGGCAGCTGTTAGTAAATCTGACTCCTCCTGGCTGCTCCCTTGCTTGCCCTGCCTGTCCTAGTGAAGCAGTAATGGCCTCCTTGCAACCAGCTACATATTGTTCCATCCGAAAAAAGGCAATACTCTCACACAAAATCCATAAAATTTGATTTCAGGAATTGACAGTATTTCATGATTCAATACAAACATTACAAATGGCTAAAAATAAGTTTGGTGAATCAGGAGATGTTTTAGAGAAGATGACGCCTGATATCAAAGGAAAACCGATGCTTGTTCCATTGACTAGTTCAATGTATGTTCCTGGCACAATAGCTGATGTTGAGAATGTCATTATTGACATTGGCACTGGATATTACGCTAAGAAAGTGAGTAACTTAAATCTATACATATAAATAAAATTGGAGTGTCTGTTTGTAATATTGAAATAACCACTTTTTACTACATGCATATGAATATATACAGTACATACACCAAAATAACATTTTTTACAATTTTTGTCTGTCTGCCTGTCTGTCTGTCTGTTTGTTCCGGCTAATCTCTGGAACGGCTGGACCAATATTGACCAGACTTTCACTGATAGGTAGCTGATGGATATAAGGAGTAACTTAGGCTACTTTTTAGATTAGCTTCGCCCCGCGGCGTCGGTTATTGTCGTACCACGGGATAACATCGCGGGACTCAGCTATCAATAATAAAATTTAATGTTTCCGTAGCGAAGCGAGGGGGGGGGGGGCGCTAGTTAAAAATAAATTTAAACCTAATTTAACACTTAATTCAGCTCCAAGTTTGGCAGGATAATATATCATGTATAACTGCTGTTTTCATTTCAAACCTCATTTCAGAAAATGTTGAGTACTTTAGAATATTGGTATGAAGATTGAATCATGATATAGTTTCAAATAATTTCAAATTAACTGCATGGGTTACCCCTTAGGCTAATGATGCTGACATATGTTTGTATTACGTTTTATTTCTGCTTCTAGGACATTGAAAGTGGCAAAGATTACTTCAAGAGAAGAGTAGAATTTGTTACAGAACAAATGGAGAAAATAAGTATGTTAGGTGCAGAGAAATCGAAACTCCGTGAAGCTGTTAATGCATTAGTTGAAATGAAAGTTCAAAACGAACTACAAGCAAAAAAAGCTAACTCTTCATAACATATCTGAGACTTAATTTAAAAAATATTTTGTGGAGAGATTCGTGTCCTTTTAATGTATAGAGTTGACTTAAATTTTCTGCTTTGTTAATTTATAGTTTATTTAAAGTATTTTAATTACTTTTTAAAACATTTTAATGATTACATCTTAGTGTTAAAAGTGGAATCATTTGTGTTTTGTTACCACGTATCACCCTCTCCTAATCAAAGTGGTTACTATTGCTTCTGTACATCAGTGATTTCAGAGCAAAGCCAAGTTTCTGAATGTATTAACGTAATCCCAACAGCTATGACTTATACTGATATTTTCTAATATAAAGCTAGATAATATTATTAAGCCACATCAAAGCTTTTCCTCAGATTTTCTTTAATTTTGGATAAATTTTGAAACTAATTACCTAAGGTAATATTTTGTGTTTAGAATACTCTTCAAGAGTACTACTCAATAGCATCAAGTAATCTTTATAATATTCTTAATTCATCTTTTGTAATTTTGTAAAGCTTTATATCATTTCAAACTATGTGTTTTACAAGTACAAGACTCATTGCTTAGTTTTAAATTTAATTCAATGTAACAAATGTGCTTATGTTTAAAATAAATATATAAATATATTTCCAAGTGTCTACGCGAGACACTGTGGCTTTATTCTTTCTTTAATAAAACCAATTGCATTCTTGCTACTTGCTTTAATTATTATTATACAATGGTTTGGTTGTGATTGTTCGTCGATGAATCTTGGAATGTGACCTTTCTCGAAACGGAAGGTCTTGTCAATAATGATTATTGGGAGGTATCTTCAGACTGTTGTTGAATGCTGTCAGCGCGCGGTGCCGGTAGTAGTAAATGTTTTGGCTAGCTTGCTGTGCTAAACGCGTCAGGCGCCGCGACANCTTGCTTTAATTATTATTATACAATGGTTTGGTTGTGATTGTTCGTCGATGAATCTTGGAATGTGACCTTTCTCGAAACGGAAGGTCTTGTCAATAATGATTATTGGGAGGTATCTTCAGACTGTTGTTGAATGCTGTCAGCGCGCGGTGCCGGTAGTAGTAAATGTTTTGGCTAGCTTGCTGTGCTAAACGCGTCAGGCGCCGCGACACCAAGTTTTACTTGAACGATCCAGTATAACAAAAAGAAAGCGGCCAAAACAAACATCAGCAAAAAGTGGCTTCTTTCTTTAAGATATATTCTGATACTGTTTTCAATGTTTTAATGATCTAATTATTGAATTCTGAAGAATAACACCTTGTATTGTTGTTGTATCTAATCTCAAATTCCAGAAGGATAGTTACATACTCGTATAAATGTAATTTACATCTTTCTTACACAATCCATAGATGTCGCCTTTGTGTATTTCTAAACTCTTCTATAACTTACTAGGGACCCGCCCTCGCTTCGCTTCGAAACTGTAATTTATTATTGATTTCTCCACTATTTAATGGATGTTATTATACATATAAACCTTCCTCTTCAATCACTCTATCTATTAAAAAAAACCGTATCAAAATCCGTTGCGTAGTTTTAAAAATTTAAGCATAGGTACATAGGGATAGACAGATATAGGGACAGAGAAAGCGACTTTGTTTTAAACTATATATATAGATGATGATGATTAATGCAGTCTCGTCCGCGCGTAGCTACAATAGCCCCTTAAACTACCAGCAAATAGGTAGCGAAAAATGCACAGCTATTAGACTTAAAGTCTGTACAATATCACAGTTTAAAACTTGTGCGTTTCCAATGATTTTAGTTATTATCTGAATAATTTAATTCCATGATTCGAATACTAGGGTTTTCACTATCTCTTAAGTATACTTACTGTAAGCGGCAATTTAGACGATCATTTATATTGCCCTGTATTGCGAACTTGGCAGTATTTTTGACTGTAGGGTTAATATTAAAGATTGCACGATGATTGAACGTTTTGAACTATATAGTTTAATATTTATTGCATCATGTAGGGTCAGTGTTGCGTAATGTTTTATAGTCTTTTTTTTTAATGATTGAAGTATTACTGGTGGCTCGGAGGCCTTTCCAGTTTCACCAGGACAGGTGGGCGAGCAAAGGCTCAGCCAGGAGGGGTGGGATTTGCTAACAGCTGCCCGAGCGCCTCCGAAGAAGACCTAACAACTCAAGAGTAGCTGCTTCGCGAATGAATCTACTACCGAATCGGAATCGCGACCCGCTGAGAAGATTCGGCGAGAAACTCAGCGGGCTGATGGGTTAGGTTGCACTTCGAACTCTTTGTCGAGTTCGACGAGTACGGTTACCGTGTGTTTTTGTCTATGGTTCGTCTTGACAAGGAGTATACGCGCTGACTGAGCTCGCGAACATTGTGCAGTTCGTATTATTGTGCAATATAATTGATCGTTTAGATTTAGAACGCCTTTAAACCTAATTCTAGGTACATTATATTGTATGGTACAATGTTATTGTAGGTCGAGGGGCCAACTAAGACGTTATTAACAATCACGTCGGTTAAAAACACGGAACTTTGTCCAAATATTTAATGATATATAAATTGCGTTAAGTTCTGTATTTTTTTGTGTTTCAAATAAGGATTAAATCGAGTTCTTAGTAGTAGGTGGCGTCGCAGGTCTCCGGATTTGCTGATGTCCATGAGCGTCGGTGACCAAATACTATCAGCTGGGTCGTAAGATCGTTTATCTTTTACTATAGTAGAAATGTTCCATATATAGTTCCTAGGGAATTTATTTCAAATTACATTTTTATAAATATTCCTCAAAAACAGGTGCCTCTCTTACCTAATTCCAAACCCTTTAGAGCGTGCAATAGACGTAAAAGTCGAATGTTGATGGTTGTTACAAAGTGGTATGTAGATACATATTTCTTTCTAGATGTATCTACAGACTTTCTGCGATGCCTTAGCAATCCGTAATCATTTAGCTCTAGGTGTAGGTATCACGAGTCCGTCCACCAACCCAAGGCTTAAAGAAAAACGAAATCGACGCCGCCAGCTTTTAAACATGTGGTCAAAATAAATATATTTTAGAACATCTGTTTTATTCTTCACACTGGAATGCATAATTACTTTGCTGACTACGCCCTAGTGTATATATTCTGTGAAATCTTAATTTCTCAGTTAAATCCCCATGACTTTGTCTTTGAATTTGAAAATCTGTCTCCTAAGATCAAGCTGAATCCGTTTAGGGTTCCAAGGCACATTACAAGACCCACAAAATATACTCAATGGCGCTTGGGATTTACTTTTATCGTGTACGATCTATCGGTGTATTTTCATCGTTTAAGATTGTGCCCGGCGTAGCTCATATCTCACTAAATTATCGAAGATTTTCGTAGTACTTAAGTTTAGAAATTTTAGGAAAATATCACTACATAGTATAAAACACAGTCGCTTTCTCTGTCCCTATATCCCTATGTATGCTTAAATCTTAAAACTACGCAACGGATTTTGATGCGGTTTTTAATAGATAGAGTGATTGAAGAGGAAGGTTTATATGTATAATAACATCCATTAAATAGTGGAGAAATCAATAATAAATTACAGTTTCCGAAGCGAAGCGAGGGCGTGTCGCTAGTTGGTAAACCAAATAACAGTACAAGGCTACCAATCGTGATCGAAGCCTTACTGTCACCATTCCTTAAACAAAGTGCACCAGAAACTGAGTGTTTGTAATTTGCGTCTTCGCGTTAGAATATAGGAAATTGTATACAATTAGACAGATAGTTTTCATGATCACCCGCTTTGTGTATGAGTGCAAACTTCAGGAGTCTGACCTCACGCTGTGGGAATAATAGGATTTTTAAAATAAACTAAACTTTTTAGTGACACCAAATGTTTTTTTTTATTCATTACTAGGCCAAAATGATATAGCGCTGACGCCTACATTAATAATGACTTACAATAAAAACTATAGTAAAATGTATCTACAACATGTCTTACAGTCACAAAACAATATGTATTAACTAAATAAGGCAACGACTAATTCTTATTTTTAAAAGACCTATTGAAGAAAAGTCAGTTGTGATCAAGATCAATAATTCTTTATTGTGAACACGTGAACAGAATGTATTTTGTGTTATTTGTTACATTAGGTTGACATTACATTCGAATAAATAATTTGGATAGATCGTAAGGACTTATTTGCGTTTAAAAATACTGTAGGCATCTATTTCATTTTTCCCGCTCTTGTACAATAAAACGCACTAGGGTAGTTGACGTGGCGCGCATTTGCTAAAAAAACTGTACACTTTAGACTAATATTAACACGTTGAACGCCATATGAAAGATCGAGAATTTTCATTCGGGCCACGGTGCTCACCGGTGAGCCTTGTCTTACTGAACTATTCGGGCCATGAGGGTCACCCGTGAGCCTTTTAAAATTTCTAAACTAGAGAGTAAACATCGCTAATTTTTATCTTCCGTGGAAATTATCGCTAGTATTATCGTTATTATATATACATTTTATAATGAAAATTTCAAGTTGATAAAAATTTCTGATTCCCTGATTTTCGCTAGGCCCGAATGGAACTATAGTACGCTAGGCCTGCCGGTTGGTCTTGGATGCGTACAATGTGTTAAACAAAATTATAAAATATTAGTTATTATTGAGATTAAAATACGATTTTTTATAATACTTTATGTTGCTGTATTTGAAACATATTCTCTCTATTAATAAATAATCCTTCCATGATTTTAATATGTATTTTACAATATTCCACTCACAGAAGTCTTTCATAAAAGAAGACTGAATAGTATGGGAGATTTTCCTAGAAATGCGTCCACTTTGACCTATTATGGCGGCCACCATGCCTCTGTTATTATCGTGTCTATGAACGACGGCAAGAATGACGAATAATTTACTTCAGCTTTTTAAGCAGTACAAATAAAGGTTTTTTTTATTAAAATCTACCAAAAGTTTGATTTGTGATGTTTAAACAAAAACGTTCCGATAACCAGTTTTTTAATTTAGCTATTTAGCCGAATTTATTGAACCAACCACCCTAATTCGTATCCAGTGACAGCACCTAAATTTCTTTACGAACAATAAAAGGTAGCGCTTTATAATGTAGTTTCTTTAATGAAATACATAGTTCTAACAATTTATTTACATCATTAATTATATTAATTACATTTTATTATTAAATAAGTATACGTAATGCTAGTACAGTATTTACTTATATTATTTACTAAGATGAATACATAGATTAAAATTAGCAGAAAATACAATACTTGTCGCCTTGGGCGAAACCAGTTCAATTTCACCGTGCTATCGAAACTTCCACAATTTACACTTTCGTGTAATATCGTATTACTATACGAACAGATCATTCGCCTGCTCGGCGAAATCCTTATCTCAAATGGTATAATATTCTGGAGCGAAGTCATTGGCGAGATTACTCAAGAAGTGGAAGTCCGAGGAAGAGTTTGAGTTGTCGCCAGCAGGTGTAGCATGAGTCGCCTCATAAAACTGTTGGAAGGAACTATATCCATCACTACACTCGCCTCCGTATTGCTCTCCCGAAGTACTGCCCTGAGGTCCATTTGGTCCATAGACCGCATTCGGAGTCGGAGCTTGTTGATTACTGTAGACGTTCGCATCATAGTAAGCGTTTTTTGTGTATTCGTTACTGTGTGCATTTTTTTGACCTTCTGTAGCGTAGTAACCATGCGGGTGTTCGTGTTGCGTGCCCTCATGATAGTGATAGCTGTAGCCATGGCTATTCGCATACGTCATGTGTTCCCCGGCGTATTGGCCGTGATCGTATGCGGCGTGACCGTATCCTGTTTGATCTTTACCGTAAGTCGGATATCCGTAATTTTGATACATTTCGTGGGGATAAGCCGACCGAGAACCTATGCCATTTGCGGATCTCGCAGATGCAGATCCCTCTTGTCTCGTATGTTGTTGGTTTCTAGAGTAAGTGTGTTGGTCAGCAGACTGCAGACCGGGTCCATAGTTTTCGTAGGTTCTATTGTTTTGTGGATAAGGTGAGAGTTTTCCCACAAACTGTTTGGAGTCCATACGGAAATCGGGGTGTGTAACAAACTGACCGGGGGGTGCGTTACCCCTAACGACGTAAGGCGGCATAGCGTTCGGTACCGCTTGGGGAAGGGGTGGGCCTGGTGGTGCGTTCGGAGGTGATGGTCGAGGGTAATGACCTATTGGACTGGGGTGCATGCTCGATGGGGTACCTGGTGTTGATGCTGGCGTTATACTAACTGAGGAGAATTTCGCACCATCAGGTAAACCGGCCGCCGTACCGAGGCCATCTTTTGACGATGACGGTGACACTTTACATCCAACGGCGTCTAGTGAAGGAGATCGCTTTCGAGTTTCTTGTTTGATTCTCTTCGCTAAGTTTCTTGTTGTAGTTACCACGGACGGCGTAGGGTCATCACGAGAATCTTCTTCTGCTAATTTATCGAGCGAAGAAGACGAAGTGACACTTGAGGCCCCGTCGCTACCAAAGCTATTATTGTTCGTTGCGCTAGGTGTGTTGTTATTTCTTGTCCTAGAGGTAAGTTCCGGTAGGTCTTCTGCTGGAGAACATAAAGCGCCCGCAGGCAATTCACAGCCCTGACAACTTTTTTTGCCCGAAAGCGGTCCATCGTCATCTAGAAATTTGTCAAGTCTTGCCTTCGTGCTCTTCCCACCTTCGGACGTAGTGGAGTCCTTGTCATCGCCGTCCTCGCTTTTGCTCAATGTTTGTCGTTTGTGTTTCATGCGCCTGTTTTGAAACCAAACTTTTACCTGAAACAAGAAATGCAAACAGTTCAATAATAAATATGAATAATATTTGTGGCTTTGTTTATTTGCTGGTGTTGTATGCGATTGCGCGTCGTTTACCTGTCGTGTTTGAGTTTCAATTTTGGATAATAATGTGTAGTTAGCGCATTTAGAAGGGAGGATTTATTTCAGAGGATTATTTCGTATCAGTTTCCACGATAATCTTAAGTTTGACGGGGTTTCATAGGTTTTAAATAATGGAATATATAATTTTACGATTCATGGCCAAACACAATATTGATGTCGAATGAATAACACTGACTTGTGTGTTATTAGTCATCCGTGTCCACGAAAACTGTAAAATAGTCGAAAATAATTCGAACAGAAAATTAAATAGTAAAAGAAGCTTTAATTATGTCGATGAGTTTAGATGGGTTATGGTTTTACAGTCCACCCAAGGGCGGATCCAGCTGTGGTGCCAGGAGGGGGTCACATAGTCATGGTCAAGTCAAGAACTTATAATTTAATTTTGATAACAATAGATACAAGTAAAAAGTAGGTATTTTATTATAAGCACATTAAAGGTATAAAGAAATTTTGGTTTTTTAGCTTAGAACTATGTTATGATATGTTGAAGCTTAGTCGTTCCGATTCNCTTTTAAAATACGCGACGTGGTTCTAGGTGCTATCTTCATCTCCCGAGATAAAATATTTTGCTTTCGGACAGGATTTCTTCGAATTCTTTCCCTTACTGCTTTGACCACCTTTTTCGTACGAACACTACGTGGACGGCTAGATATTATTCTGTCACAAACAGAGGAGGTCTCATTGCACCTATTAATAGCCCGGTACACAAACATTTTAATACCAAGCGTATGGAGAGTTTTAAAAATTGCATTTGGCTCCATACCTACTTTGCTTAATGCAATCACAGCGATTCGGTTTTCTTTATCACCCCACTCCATTTTAATATCGCAAAATATTGTACAATGTATTGGCGCCAAAATGAGAAAACTCAATGAGCAATCACATAAAAATGACAGATTCCAAATTCAAATGTAATATTTTGTTTATTTTTAATTGTAACAGTATTTATGGCCAGACTAAGTATTGTGTCCTTAAATCATTATGTTCAATATGTGGTCCACCTAGGTCCTGGAACCAGCTCAGGGGGGGGTCATGACCCCCATGACCCCCCCCTGGATCCGCCCTTGAGTCCACCTGGTGTTAAGTGGTTACTGCAGCCCATAGACATCTACAACGTAAATGCGCCACCCACCTTGAGATATAAGTTCTAAGGTATCAAGTATAGTTACAACGGCTGCCCCACCCTTCAGACCGAAACGCATTATAGCTTCACGGCAGAAATAAGCAGGGCGGTGGTACCTACCCGCGCGGACTCATAAGAGGTCCTCCCACCAGTAAAGTCACGTAAACTAATGAAAATACTAACAAAATCTAGACAATTCTTTTAAAAGTAATAAGAGCTTTACTCACTTGTCGTTCAGTAAGATCCAGGGAGGCCGCAATTTCAATTCTTCTCGGTCTACATAAGTATTTGTTGAAATGAAATTCTTTTTCTAGTTCCAGTAGTTGAGTGTTCGTGTATGCCGTTCGCAGTCGACGGGGGAGACCGTTTTCTGTAACAATAAAAATAGTACACATGAAAAAAAAACGGTGCGTGAGCGTGTGTAGCTTGGTGCACGTGAAAGAAGTGAAACTTCTTCGCGGTGTGTAGTATTGTGATTTTCTTTTTTTTTTTAAACTTAAATCAATTTTGTCTTGTAATAGGGAATGTTGTGTATAAGAGAAACGACCTAGCTCGCTTTGTCCTTTCCCTCTCTCCACTGTCGAGTGGTTCGCGTGACGTTCTGTCTATTTTTAATCGACTCCAAAAAATAAGGAGGTTCTCAATTCGACTGTTATGTTTTTTAGAACGAAGTTCCTTATGGGACGATGCGGAGGGGTACCCTTACCGGAAAAAAACGTCCGTAACGTAAGATTTTATGTTTGTTACCTCATAACTTTTGACTGGGTGAATTGATTTTGATGATTCTTTTTTTATTAGAAAGCTGACGCTTCTCGTGTGGTGCCATTTCAATTTAGTCCAGTTCTGATAATGGTATCCATGAGGAAACCATATAAGTCTTAAATTTGCATTAAGTACGTGCGCGACAAATAGATGAATAACTCAATAACTCAATATCACGCCAACCGATTTCGATGATTATTGTTTTAGTGTATATTAAATACTTATTACATTAAACATTATAACATTAAATAATAATTTGTTTTGGTAGAGATTTTTTTTTCTATTTGAAGTCGGTTTTTGTTAAAGCAAGTCTATTTACAATTATCTCACTCTCGCTCTTCCTAAATTGTATCATTTCTCTGTAGCCGTAACGAATCTGTCGCGAGTTAAATTTTACTTTCAACGCACCTAAAGAAGATTCACTTCAAAAATCATAGAATATTCGAAGCGCAATTTAAATTATCTCGTCTTGGTGTCGGTTTATTCGTGGTAGATTTCGATAACTGAACCAGAATGCGTGCTGGCCGGTACGATTTTCTTTTAATATAATACCTTGATCGCATGTCAGGGCACCGCCCTTGACGCCATTGTGTCGAAACGTTGGTCTTTTTATTTTACCACAAAATACGAATTGGAATTCGAAATTCAAATTACAAAAGGGTGGCCGTATAATGGGGCGATCGCGTTCGTGTGCTCGTGAACCGAGTTCGCGATATCGCCCGTGCCGCGCAATTACCATGACGTTTCGCGTTATTCAAATAAAGGCTATATTCCTTTGAGCACGTCGGGTCGACGCATCGCTGCTTGATTGACGTGCTTCGTCGTACTCGCGTTTGCTATTGGATAAGGGCAGTTGTCAATCAAACTATGAGTGAATAACGACCCTTATTTTTTTCACATAAATTACCTATACTTTATACATAAGCTTAGTAATCTAACAATAAGTTGCGTAGTATTTTTATATACAGCCTAAACAGACTCAACAAATATTTAATGTTAAAAAGGAAACTGTTTTATTCGTGTTTTAATAAGTAGGTAGGTTGAAATATATACGTCTAATGTGCATACGTGAAACGCTTGGACGATATAAATTATAAGTTTACTGGACCCGAAACTCGATAGTCCTTGTGGCTGACCACTAGAATTATTATGGGGGTTCCGGGGTGTATTTGTTAGGAGAAGTGGTAATTATACCAAGTACAAGTTTTGGTATCTAGTACTGCTTTCCACGTAAGGTATTCACTTGATGTATTCGTTTGAAATAATTTAAGAAGACCTTTTTAAAGTGTCATTGTTTTGAAAAGTCAATGCAGGTGGTGATTTAAAATAAAACTTTAGTTCAGTTTTAATTTGACTAATTTACTAGTATAGATACGATCTCACGGTATGCCTTCCGTATGTATCACACACAATGCGACTATCAATGGTCGGGCCTTTCAATAATAAAAAAGAAACAGTATACAAAGAAGGTAATAACTTAAATAATAAATAATAGAATATAGTACGGTGAAGGAATAACATCGTGTAATAAAAATGAAACCCGCAAAATTATAATTTGCGTAATTACTGGTGGTAGGACCTCTTGTGAGTCCGCACGGGTAGGTACCACCACCCTGCCTATTTCTGCCGTGAAGCAGTAATGCGTTTCGGTAGGGTGAAGGGTAGGGCAGCCGTTGTAACTGTAACTATAATTGAGACCTTAGAACTTATATCTCAAGGTGGGTGGCGCATTTACGTTGTAGATGTCTATGGGCTCCAGTAACCACTTAACACCAGGTGGGCTGTGAGCTCGTCCACTCATCTATGCAATAAATAAATAAAAAATAGTAATGTTAATATTGATGAAAAGTAAAAGACACTTGCGTGCGCGACTGTACAGAGTGGAGAAATGTTCGATAGATGCAACTTGGTGAGTTTTTGTCGCGTAATAGTGTATATTATGCGGGTTCGAGAGGCGCCGTGTATAATGTTCGCATTATCACGATACCTACCTACACTTCCGAGCCACTGAGCATAGATATTATGTTACACGACAAAATATAGTCTTGTGATAGAAAAAACTTGCATTAAGTTTTTTTATGCGTAATTTGTTTCTGTCATATAATCGACAGTCATCGACAAAATTCATGTTTTTAAATTGTTTTGATAATGTTTTGATATATCTACAAAATACGGCCAAACACAATATTGAAATGTCCAATGAATAACACACCAGTCCATGAGTTTTTACTGGTGGTAGGGCCTCTTGTGAGTCCGCACGGGTACGTACCACCACCCCACCTATTTCTGCCGTGAAGCAGTGATGCGTTTCGGTTTGAAGGGTGGGGCAGCCGTTGTAACTAAGAGACCTCAAAACTTATTATTAAACTTGAGACCTCAACCAAACTTATTATTAAACTTGAGACCTCAAAACATATTTCAAGATGGGTGGCGCATTTATGTTGTAGATGTCTATGGGCTCCAGTAACTACTTATCACTAACACCAGGTGGGCTGTGAGCTCGTTGACTTATCTAAGCAATAAAAAAAAATCTCTACTTCCTAAAAGATAAATATTTTGTGATAACAACAATTGTTTATCCATTAAAAGTATCAGCAACACATTGAAATCAATGAAAAGCAAACATTTATATTATGTTAAACGAGATCCCCTGTCTTGTAGTACATGTAATAAATGATGGCGAAATGCGTTGTTTAACCCTCTTGTGTTCCAGGATCGGTAGGCCAAGAAGATTAACTGCGGATTAGGGTCACTCGCATTGCACAAGTCAACACGTCTTGTCCGTGTTTTGTTATCAAAATCTTTGAGATACATTTATGGGGTCGTCATCATGTATCTTTTTAAGTTTTTTTTGTTTTCATTTTTTTTCATACGTCCAAATAAAGACGAGGATTCTACCATCTGCTTACGTAGTGTTCTGGAATACTTTGGCCACATTGCAAGAAAGGTTTACGGCAGTTTGGAGAAGCTAATGGTGACTGACAAGGTGAACGGAAGAAGACCACGAGGTAGAGGCCTAACGCGTTGGACTGACCAGATCCGCACTACCCTCGACACCACAGTTCACGATGCTCTACACTCGGCGGCAGATAGAGGCAAATGGCGTGGAATGGTCCGTAATAAACTCTTGTTGTGAGAAGGTGGTCACGACATTCAGTATTGAGGAAACCGAAGCAAGAAGAAGAAGAAGTATGATATTTAGTTTGGGGAAAATTTGAAATAGAAAAAAATCGATAATTGTTGTGAATTTTAATGAATCATCATCATCATTCATCATTATCCTGCCCTTCTCCCAGTCACCTGGGGTCGGCGCAACATGTTTTCTCCTTCCATACTCTTCTATCATATACCATTTCTTCGCTCACTCCCCTCCTACCCATATCGTCTTTCACACAATCCATCCATTTCTTCTTAGGTCTACCTCTTCCTCTAAATCCTTCCACATTCATAGTTAACACNGCCCTTCTCCCAGTCACCTGGGGTCGGCGCAACATGTTTTCTCCTTCCATACTCTTCTATCATATACCATTTCTTCGCTCACTCCCCTCCTACCCATATCGTCTTTCACACAATCCATCCATTTCTTCTTAGGTCTACCTCTTCCTCTAAATCCTTCCACATTCATAGTTAACACTCTCTTAACAACCTCATTTTCATTCCGTCTCATAACATGTCCATACCATCCCAAACGTGTGAATTTTAATGAATATTATTTAAAAAAAAAAATTTTTTTGTGTCTTAAGAAATTTAGTTCATAGTTTAACTATATAGGCTACGTATACTCATAATAGAGGAATTAAAGTTAGAAAGCATAAGTAGTAGTCGTAAACAATTTGCGAATGGGCACTCTGTGGCCCCTTGGGGAAGTTTAAATAATTAATCAAGAGCCGGTAAAGGATTAATGCGGTGGCCAGTTGGCGGTCGGGTGCCATTAGAGAAGGTTCGATACCCCTACGACTAAATGCTGTGGTCGCATTATTTGTGTCGGCCGTAGGTGTGCCGCTTGCAATGGGACCGGAGTTTTAGATAAATCCCATTTATATGATGCCTTTAAACTAGATTTTCAGTCTTAGCTTATTACGTTTCGGGTGTCTGTCTCTACGCTGCAATTAAATATATTATAAAATATACAAATTCATTGCTCTTCGTTAGTCTCGCTAAAACTCGAGAATGGTTGGACCGATTTGGCTAATTTTGGTCTTGAATTATTCGTGGAAGTCCAGGGAAGGTTTAAAAGGTAGATAAATATTAAAATGCTCGGAATTATATAAAAACAAACAATTTTGTTTTTCCTTTGATGTGTCCCCTTGAGGTGTCTTTTATTTATCGATTGAAGCACTACGAAGTCTGCCGGGTCAGCTAGTATATTATAAAATAGAAACAAAAAATTTTTTTTGGGGCTTTGTTTGAATTTCAATAACCTTAAACCTAGTTTTAGAATTTAGAAGAAAAAAATATTTTCCGTTCATTATGTTGAATAAAGGAACTTTTTATTAATTCGTGTTAAACTTATGCGATAAAGTAAGCGCAGTAATGTTACGTCTTTACTATTGCAATAATTTGTGGCAAAGACTGGTTTTGTCACGGGCTGACTCCACAATGATAAAG